GGCCAGTGCCTGAACTGACCCACGCTGCTTCAACAATCATGGCCAGAATTGTTTTTCTTCCTTCGGGCTGCAGTCTGTAACTTCTATCACCAGCAGCTCTTGCCAAAATTAACTGACTTTGTCTGTGTGTGTGTGTGTGTGTGTGTGTGTGTGTGTGTGTGTGTGTGTGTGTAGATGCTGAAAGCATGAGCCATTTTGTAGGGGTCAATCAGAAGACAACAGCCAATATTCCCAGAAACGGAGTGGTCAGGTTTCCTTAAAAAATGTGCAGAGATTGTGTTTCTGGCAGTGAGGGCTCAAGTTAAAAGCAAACAAAAATACCACAGAACATAAAACAATTTGTTTTTTTGAAGGATTTGTAATTCTGAATTTGGATCCAGTTCTCTTAAATACATATTGAACTTCTCATTGAATATAGCTCTTTAGAAAAAATTTATTAATACAGAATCTTCATTTGTAGATATTCAAGGAATTTGACTGACAAAGCCTTTATTAATTACCTCTGAATTAACTCTGAGGGGGCAATTTGGCAACAAATAGTGATCGGAGTACAAAGAGTAGCTTCATGAAAGTCACCTGAAATAATCCAACTGGCTGGTGGATGAAACCTATGCTAGATGGGCTTATGCTGCACTCCGTGGAGTTTCCAACAGTGCCTTTCTCTGTGCCCGGGATGTAATGATGGCTTAGTCTGGGGGAAGTCTGTGGGGATGGCAGGGATAAGTCCCAGCCTGGTCCCAGGTGTGTCTATGGGCTCCCGAATACCTGTCTAAGCACTGTGGGAGACTCTGGCACTCTACATAAGGGGTTTGAGTTCAGGTGGGGGGAATCAATTGAGAACAAAAGTGTATCCTTTATCTGAGTACAGAATTCTGAGAGTACAGATGCATGGTTGGGTTTATCAAGGAAGGCTTCTCAGGGACGCCAAGGACACTGCTTCACTTCATTGGCCAGATCACCTCATCTGCCCCCTTCAGTGAGTCCACTGTTCCTTGAACCTCTGTTTGTGGGCAGAACGGGACTTGATGTGGAACAGGGGAGAGGAAAAGGGACATTCTAGTGATTGGGAGAGTTAGGAAGTTCGCCAGGGCAGGCTGTGTCAGTGCCCCAGGTATGGCTCTTATCTATGTGTTCTTTTTGTTGTTTGTTTGTTTGTTTTTTTTGTTTGTTTTTTTTTTTTGTTTTTTGTGTGTGTGTTCTTTTTTCCTTTTCTAACGTTTTTCCCTCCAAGGATTTCAGAAATCTTTGCGGAGGACTAGGGAGAGTTGGCATGAGGGCTTACTTATCTGATATGATGGCCTGGTGTCTTTCCCTCTGGATTCCATTCCTTCATTCCTCTTTCTCTCTCAGAGGAAATGTCAAGGCCAGTTTGGTTCCTCATTCCCTCCTTTTTTTCTCATTAATCACACTTTTTAGATTGGTGTTATATGCTAGGCTTTGGGAATGCTCACATAAGCAATGCATAGATAGCCCCGCCTCTGAAAGCAAGCCCAGCCCAAGAAAAAAAAAGACACCCGTGGGCATACAGGGTGCTGGATCAGTGACCATGGGAGGAACACGTGGTCAGCTGCAGCCCAGGGCAGGGGGAGCCAAGCCATGCCCCCTGTGGGGGACAGACACCCCCCTTCTGGGGCCCACAAGATGGGACTGAGGCTCACAGGAGGAGCCTGATCCAATGAGCCAGACACATCCCTAAAGACGCGGTTCACATGATTCACCCTTGAGGCCGGGAGGGATCCTTGGAGCAGTGCTGGGGTGCATCGTGGACCATCCCCCCTTGAAAAAAGAAAGGAGGAAAGAGGACCGCTGCTTTTTTAATAAAAGCTTTTGCCAGAGAAACATTTCTGCAGCTTACGTTTTGTGGGTTCAGCCTTCTGTTGCAAGATGAGAAACTTGTGGCTTTCTGGTCAGTTTATGTGATTGTTGTGTGCTGTGTCCTCTGTTTAAGGCTGTTGTCTCAGGAAAGGGATGCATACCTGCTTCACGCCTGCTGTGGGAGAAGTGGGGCTGGACACCTCACGCTTCACCATCCTGCTTCCCGTGGTGCCCCACACACCTTATTTTGTGCATGTTCTGGACAAGGACATAAGGCTTGAGTCTGTATTGGTCTGACTCACATATGGAGGAGGCAGTAGAATTGGGGTTAAAATCCCATTTCTGTCTGACCCAAGAGCCCAGGAGATTCCATTGCATTATACTCTTTCCCTAGAGAAAAGACAAACTCTTGTCCTTAGATCAAATAGGAATTTGCCTCGTCAACTGAAGATCTGATAAAACCAGAGGAGAGGCATAGGAATAGGGTCCTTCATGCAGCAGCAGGAGTGGAGTTAGTTTGGACAGACGCATAGGTGCCCAGAAGGCCTGGGTCACTGGGTGGATGTCACTCTATTGATGCTTTCACACCTCAGAATTGATAGGGGAAAAAAATGTGGCAGCAAGCTCTGTGGGCCTTTTTTTTGTTTTGTTTTCCTTTTTCCTGTTTTAGTTTCAAATGTGGACATTGCCCCATAGCTATTTCATGAAGCTGCCGAGCAGCAAAATGGCTGCAAACACTGTCCAGGGCTCGTGTCAGTTCTGGCACTAATCCCAACACCAGTGCAGCAGTGCAAGCCGGTGATTTTGGGCATGTCTGCTGAGATCATATTGCAAAACTGCTACCCAGATATCTGCGACTTTGGCATTTCAGTTCTGCCCTGAAGATGCATGGGATGCACTCAAATTACAGCTTCGTTCCAAAAAGAATAGAAGACATTTTGAAGGAACTGCCTGCTAACTTCTCGCATACCAGCATGCCAGTTCCGCCGCCCCGGGAACCCCGAGCTGTCCTGTTCATTGCATATCCCCAGCGATCAGAACCATGCCCAGCTCACTGTAGGAGCTCAGTAGTGACCGCAAGGACAGTGGGTGGTGACCTTGGGGGAGCTGTGAGCACCGTACCGTGGACCCCCACCCCTGTCAGTCTAGGGCAGGATCCTTTCTGAGCCCTTGAAATCAATGGTGGGGACACTCATAGTGATAATGGTGTTGGTGACCAGAGCAGCCACCATGTGCAGTGCTGGCTTAGGCACTTTGCATAGGGGGTCTCATTTCCTCTGAATTTAATCATAGTGACATAGCAGGGCAGGTCATCTTGACACTCCTTCCTTTGCTAGTAAGGAAATGGAGGCTCAGCAAGGTTGGGACTTTGAACTAGTAGCTGACGTTCTGGCCTCACATTTCACTGAGAAAACAGAACTGGCCAGACAGAAGCATCCTCAAACCCTTGCCACTAAATACACTGGCCTTTCTGTGTCTTCCTGCCTTCTCCAGATCCTGCCTCCTGCTGCCTCTGGAAATTCCTCCTCTGCTCATCTCCTCCAGCCAGCTTCCGCCATCCCTCCCCGGCAGCTGAGGGGCTTCTCAGAGGCGCCCCTGTGCCTTTGGGCTGTGTCTCCCTCCTCCTCCCTGCTCCTGGGAGCTGCACCCTCCTAGATCGCCCCCGCTTCCCTGGCTGTTCCAGCTCATTCTTGCACTGGCCTCTCTCCTTTGGCTCTGCTCCACGTACTGACCGGCTCTGGTCCTTATCCTGGACCTGCGTTCTGCTCTGTCTTCCCTCTGGCGACTTACTCCCTCCTGGGCTGGAAGCAGAGCCTCTTCTCCCCTAACTGCCTAGTTTAGTTCCAGCTCTGCCTGGAAGCGTGCCTTTGCTCTGAACTCACCCGCCTCACTTCTCCTCTACCCACTGCTTCTCTTTGCCTACTCCATCTGAGTGACAGCACCCAGCTGCCTTGGAGGTGGCACTTCCCTCCTGCCCCACATAACTCACCTGCAGGGCCTGCTGGTTCTTCTCTAGAATCGTCCTCAAGCCACTGGTTCATTCCCTCCAGCCATTACACCGGGCTGCACTGCCCCTGTTTGTCCCCTGGGGCTGACTCGTTCCCTTCTTAGTTTTTGTCTGCTATCCTCCCTTGGTAGCACCAGTGCTGTCTACTACTTCTAACAGTGGCATGCTCCCCACCTCTCAGGCACTGTCTCAGACCATGTATGGTCCCCAGTGAGACCCATTGTGTCTGTGCTCTGTAGGCAGGAGCACTGGAGCACAGAGCAGTTAATTAAATTTGCCCCAGGTGAAGGGTGGGATGAGAACTCAGGCATTCAGGCTCTGTGGCTTGTGCTCCTGGCCTCTATGCCATACCACCTCCCAGAAAGTCAATCCTGTAGCTCCTGGGCTCCTTGCTGGACCTGAAGGCACTGAGCCACCCTCCTGGTGGCCTCCCACCATCTTCTGTCCCCCGACACCAGATGTTATCCTTAAGCACTTCACATCCACCATAGCACCTTTGCACCAGTTGGCTCTCTGCCTGGAAGCCTTATCCACTGGTTCCTCATGGGGCCACATCCTTCTGAGCATTTGACTCCCAGCCTGTATGTCATCCCAGTGAGGCCTCTTTTTTTTTTTTTTAAGATTTTATTTATTTATTCATGAGAGACACACAGAGAGAGGCATAGACATAGGAAAAGGGAGGAGAAGCAGGCTCCATGCAGGGAGCCTGATGTGGGACTCGATCCCAGGACTCCAGGATTACGCCCTGGGCCGAAGGCAGATGCTCAACCACTGAGCCACCCAAGCATCCCTCAGTGAGGCCTCTCAATCTTGTAAATTAGCCATATCCTCTTTGTTAAACATCACCTTCCAGTGTTATTATCAATTATTGCTGTCTTACTTTACCTTCGTGTTTGGGTAAGGCTCATTGTACACCATAATACCACACTGATGCTGGAATGCAAGCCCCATGATTTCCCTGTATCCCAAAACCTGTGTCAATACCAAGATCAGAGAGACATTTGGTGAATGAATGAGTGAACGAATGAGCACCTGGCATCACTTAAAGCCAAGTGCTTTTGAGCCCACAGATTATCCCACCATACTGTATGCCTCTGCTTGTTCATTCTAGCTTCAGCCCCTTATGCAAGCATCCTTGCCTCCGCGAGTGCTCCAACATGTCTGCACTTTATTGTAGGTGATCCGAGATGTCTACAGTGGCTGCAGTGGGCCGGCGGATTTAGAAGGCCCACCCCCATCAAGCTCCCCAGTGCACAAGACAGAGCTGGAGAAGGTAAGTGCGTCTTTCTTCCCAGGAATGCTTTAGGCCTCCCTCAAAATTTTGATACCATTCTCTGGGAATTTTTGCACTGAGAGTTGGAGAAAAAATTGCAATCCTGCTGATTCCGCATTTCAAGTTCATGCTCTGTATGAAGCTTGACTTAGTCATTTTAGAGACTATGTGGTTGGTTTGATCATCCCCAGCTTTAGATACAAAAGTGGGTTTAAAAGTATGAAAGGATTTTAGGTGTGTAGGTTACTTAGCCATCACGGAGCAGAGTGGAACTCCACACGTTGGTCTCTGTATGTCTGGAATACAATAGGCACTGCCTAAGCAAGATCCCAAAGGTTTATTCCCAACAGACCAGAATACATTCCCTGTCCCTTTCTGTTCTGTATTCATTTTGCTTGTTGGAAGACACAACGGGATCCCAGTGGTGGGGATAGAGGGCTGGCCTTTCTTGCTAGGATTGTGTAAACCCATCACTGCTGTGTGTCATGCCTGGCCTTCTCCAGCCATGCTTTCTGTGTCTGTGTGCACCAGTCTAATTTTTGTGGAGGTCATGTGGGTTCTGTGGGCTTCTGTGGACCAGGAACCTTCTGAGTCCTCTCTGTCTCATTCTTGCCTCTGTGAACAGATCCTTTTTTGTCTATTCTTGTTTTAGCCTGAGTTTTCCAAGGAAGCAGATCTGACAGGTGTGTGTGTGTTATCAAGTACATATAAAGTTTAAATGTAAAATGTTATATATGTTGCAAAATTATGTAAATATGTATACAGATACACAGAAGTACATGCATATATACATACAAAGAGATTTATTATAAGGAATTGGCATATGTGATTATGGGGGCTGGAAAGTCCAAAATCTACAGTGTGGGTCTGTGGGCTGGAGACCTGGGGGAGCCAGTGGTGCAGATGAAGTCTGCAGGCAGCCTTCTGGAGAATCCCTTCTTGCTGGGGAAGGTGGACTTGTTGTTCTATGTGGGCCTTCAACTGATAGGGCGAGGCCCACCCACGCTGTCATGGACAGTCTGCTTACTCACAGTCCACTGACTTCAGTGTTAGTCTCATCCACTAGCCTCTTTCACATGGATGGACACATTAAATTAAGCTCGCAGGCCTCACCCAGACATTGTGACACAGCAGGCCCATTCGTTTTTCTCCTGATTTCTTTTTTTTTTTTTTAATATTTTATTTATTCATTCATGAGGGATACAGAGAGAGGGGCAGAGACACAGGCAGAGGGAGAAGCAGGCTCCCTGAGGGGAGCTGGACATGGGACTCAATCCCAGGACTCTGGAATCATGACCTGAGCCAAAGGCGATGCTTAACCTCCGAGCCACCCAGGCATCCCTTTTCTTCTGATTTCAAAACCAATGCCTGCTTGCTGTAGAAACTCAGAAAGTCTAGAGAAAGAAACAGGAGGAAAGAAGTCCCTCATGAGTCCACTGCACAGAGGAGGCAGCTCCCCACAACACTGTTAAATCAGCTTGAGTGGTCTGACGCATCAATTGCTTACACTGCCTTTCCATCTGTTACCCGTATGCTATTAGCAATGTTCCAGGCTTTTAAAAACTCGTAATAAGGAGCAGGCAGTTCTGCATTTTCAGCAGGTGTGTAACACCAGATCCATGCACCTCTGCTATTGTTTGGGTCTATACCCATCACCCCAGTCCCATCCTCTCCCTTCGGACAGTTTAAAACACGAGACTTGGTGTCCCACACACGAGACTTCACTGTGTCTGTTAGCTAAGAAGAGACTCCCAGAAGCTGGGTTACTAGACCAAACAGTGGAAATATTCTTACAATTTTGATTCATATTTTAAATATATCACTTTCCAGACAGGCTGCTCCCAAACCCTGTGCTATCGACAGTGTGTCAGAGCTCCCATTCCCCATGGGCAGTGGCTGTTCTCTCTCCCTGTTAGCACCTGGCCAGACCTGCCAGCCCAGACCCCAGTCTCCTGGCCCAAGAGCTGGAGCAGTGGTGGCCTTTGGTTATTCTTTCACTGGGACTCGGCACACTACAGGCTCCCACTAGATGCCATTCCTCACTCACTGCAACTCTTCCCCGCGCCACTGTGGGATCACAAACCCCTGCCTGCCATCCTTGGACAATACCACCCGGACCCCTCATGAGTGGATAATGGGGCATGTTCCCTGGTGCCCTGGTATCGTGCAGATGTTCCATTGGTCTCTAGTTGGCCAGGCTCTGTGCCTTTGGGCTGTGATGTGTGGGACCAGGAGGGTTTGTCCAAGCTCATGTTCTCCACTGTGATGCCACAGTTCTCCCCCAGAATGGAGGATTCCAGCTCTAAGCAACATCTCTTCTCCAGTTGTCAGCTCAGAATCCTAGTCATGGTTCCTACAATCAGATACCAGGGCTAAAATATTGTAGGTACTCCGGTGCGCCCTGGGACAGTTTTGACAGTGACCTGTCTCTGCATATGTTCGGAGTGTGTCTGTTATGGTCAGATATCTGACCTCACCCAATTATTGGCCGGCAACAGGGAAAGTTGAGCAGGTGATGGACTCTTTCCTTCTGGAAGGATAACATGGCTTGGTGAAGGGAATATTTTTTTGTAATCTTAATATTTTTTCGAAATTACTTGCAAGAAAAAGTGATTTGGATGAGATGGAGCTGGGGCCAGAGCGTGTGTTAGTAGTGCCCCAGTGAGGCTGCCCTTCGTTCCTCTGCTATTTCTGAAGCTCTTGTAGTGAGCTGGCTGGCAGCCTGTCTGTGCTTGAACCCTGGCCTCTGTGTGTGGTCGTGGACTCAACCACACTTCCTTTCACCTCAGAGATCACTTTGTACTGATCCCTTGGCCAGTGTGACCCACTGTGAGAATAACTTAATCCTTTTTACCCTCGCAGAAACTGTCTTCTGAGAGACCCAGCTCCGATGGAGAGGGTGTTACAGAAAATGGCATCACTGTGTGTAATGGAAAAGAACAAGGTGAGTTCTGCTCATGCCCAAAACACAAAAACAAAAGTAAGAAAAGAAAATATAAAATGTGTCCAGCTCTATGGACTTTGTGTGACAAGTTTCCTTGGAAGTTCAGTGATGTAGTTGGCATCACCCGGTGTCGTGTGCTGGAAGCACAGAGAAACCCCTTTAGTTGATGGGAACTCCACGTGTTTTAACCTGCCGTCCTACTGAACCCTGGCCCAGGTGTGCCCTGTATATATTTTAACTTCCAGGCCTCTGGCAGCTTATTTCCTTACCTGATTTATCACTGAGAGAAATTTGCTGTGAGGAGGTGGATGAGTGGGATGGGAAGCCTGCGTGCCCACCCCATGCCACCTTTGCTCAGCCCCAGAGCCCAGGCAAGCCTTCCTGCTGACAGAGGCCACTTGCCAGTGTCCCGTCTGTGAAACAAGGAGGCCAGCCTCACAGGTTTGCAATCTTTTTAAAAATGACGTTCTGAAATGTCTTTATTCACTTTCATTTAAAAATGACTTGTTAAAGTTGTGGTTAAATACACGTTAACATACAGTTCGCATTCTCAGTCACTTTGTGTCCAATTCAGCACTGTTAGGGATGTTCACAATGTTGGGCAGCTGTCCCATCGTCCAGCTCCAGAGCTCTTTTCATCTTGTGAAACTGGCAGTCTGTGCCCATAAACACTAGCTCCCTTGACCCCTCCTCAGCCCTTGGTGCCCTCCACTCTACCTCCTGTCTCTATGAATCTGAGGACTCAAGGAAGCTCATATGAGCGCAGTCTTACAGCATTTGTCCCTTTGTGACCGGCTTGTTTCACTCACCACAGCATCCTCAAGGTCTGTCCACATGGTGTTGGGTATCAGAATGTCCTTCCTTTTAAGACTGAATAGCATTCCGTCTTCTGGATGGACCACATCGTTTTAATCCACCCATCCTGTGGACCCTTGGGCTCTTCCATGTTTGGCTACTGTGAATGATGCTGCTGTGAACATGAGCATTTGGATTTTGAATTCTTTTTTCTAAGTCAGCTTTACGAGGCATATATGTCCGATAAAATCCACACTTCTTGGCACACAGTTCTTTGAGCTTTGGCAGACACAGGAGTGTAACCCTCAGCACAGTCCAGATGTGGGACATTTCCATTACCCCAAAATGTCCCCCCATACCCCTGGTAGCACCCACTCTGTTTTCCATCCTTTACAGAATGTCTTAGACATGGAATCAGACAGTCTGTGGTCTTTGGGTCTGGCTGCTTTCCCCGGCATGGTACACGTGAGATGCACCCACATTGTAGTGTGAGTCAGGAGTGTGTTCCTTTATGTGGCCAGGCTGCTTTCCTGGGTGCAGATGGGCCACAGTTTAGGTATCCCCTCACCTACTGAAGGACAGCTGGGTGTTTCCAGGTTTAAGCAGTAGTGCATAAAGCTGTTCTAGACACTTAACAGGATTTGCATGAACGTGTATCTCGTTTCTCTTGGATAAATATCTAGGGGTGGAATTTGAGGGCCATGGGTGTTCTCACCACCTTGCTAATGTCATTTTGTTTTATTCTTTTATTCTGGTCATTTTAATGGGCATATAGTGCTCTGTAATGGTGGCTTTAACTTGCATTTCCCTAAAGACTAAGGATCTTGAACCTTTTTTAATGTGCTTTTTTTTTTTTTGCCAACCATGTATCATCTGATGAAATATCTACCCAAATCTTTGCCTATTTTTATTGGATTTTGTTCATATTTACTGACTTCTGAGAGTTTTTTAATATATTTTGAGTCCAAGTCCTGCATCAACGTGTTTTGCATATAGCTTATCCTGGTCCGTGGCTTGGCTTTCATTTTCCTTCCCAGTGTGTGGGCTAAGAGGAGGGTGGGATTTGTGGGTCATGGGGAAGATTTCTTTGTGCAGAGCCAACAGCCTGTGTGCTCCTGGCCCTGTGACCTCGGCTTCCGAGGGGAGCGGTCTGCCCACTCAGCTCATCTGCACTCCCTTGCCAGAATGGAGCAGGCCCCTCCCAGCTCTGAAGTGAGGCCCCCTTCCACCAAACAGCAACCCAGACCACTGAGAATCTTGAAAGGCAAATAACCTAGACTATTGTGTTATTACAAGGTTCATACCAAAAGGTCACGACCTCTGCCTTTGCCCATGTGATTCTCTAACTGCGTCTCGTCCGAGTGCAATTTCAGCAATCTATGTCAGAAGTCACTCAGGGGAAGGCATCGTCTGTGTCTTCTATGGGCACATTAAGTGTAATCAAAGCCAGGAGAGCTGTCTAAGTTTTGCTCTGAATCAGAATAACCTGCAATCTCAGGTTCTTACTCAGATGCTGGGGTGCGGCAGCCATGGCTCTTTGGTTGGGTCTCTTTCCTCTTTTGGTCCCTATTGGAAATCAGGTTCACAGGATGATACGAATGGATGTATGCCTTGGAGAATACACCTGTATCTAAAATCCTTCTGCTTCCTTTTCACAAGGAAGGTGACCTGGATTCAAAATTGTTCTGCTTTGCGTGTAGCAGACACTCCCTGAGTGGTTGCGGAAGGAGGCCAATAGTTTAAATTCCTCCTGGCTTCTGCCTTAGCTTCTATTCCTGCTGCTCACACTAGAGCTTTTTGCAGTTGAGAGATTTCAGCACAGCTCCCCGTATCCCAGCCATGCCATGGCTCAGAGACTCTGCTGGCCAGAGGGATGGGTCCGCGCTGATGATAGTTATGGCTTTAAAAATGCCAGGAGTTAGCTTTGCTTTGGTGGCCTGTCCCTCACTGCCCACCGTGCGCTCACAGTGTGTGCTGTTTGGACTCCTGGGGCTTTCCTGCCCTCTGACTTCATTTGAGAGTTCTGAGTTTTGGGAATTTCTTCATGATTTGTTGCATGGGCCAGATTCTGCTTTTGTGTAGTAAATAGCGTCAACGTAGTCTCACATTCCTCCATACTTTGGCTTTTTCTTCCAAGGAGTCTCATACTTCTGCTTTTGCAAAAAATTAATCAGTGGTCCTTCAAGGAATTAAAAGTATGATCTCTTTTCTTTGTAGTCAGGCTCCAGCAGGGACTTTCCAAATAGGAGCAACTGCTAGTAGAATTGGAAGTAAACGTAACCTTGAGCCGTGAGCTGTGAAGAAGTGGTCCGCCTGCCCCCTGAGCTCTGCAAGAGGGGGCCTCCAGGGAATGCTGGGAACACCTTCCTTTCAGAGCTTAGCCTGAACGGGACTATGGTCACAGATGGTCTCGAGGCTCTTTCAAAAAAGCTAAGAGGGACCGTCCATGGCTGCTTTCACTTCTGGCATGGCCACGCTGAAAGCACAATGACACAGCCATCCAAACGGCAGATCCCCATGTCTGGGGGCAACTGGGGGGAATGTGCCTTCCCACTAAGGTTAAGGCAGGTTCTTCATGCTTTGTTTGAAAAGAGAGGGTAGGTGGGTATTGGGAGACTGTAAGGGGCGCGAGTGGCCTTCTGTGCTCCATGCTTCTATATCACGTGAGGCCTTCACAAGACATAGGCTGGGCCCTTAAACATCAGATGTTTATTTCTCGTGGTACTGCCAGCCGGGAGCCCCAGATGGTGCTGCCATCAGAGCTGGTTGCTGGGGAGGCCTCTTCCTGGCCTGCGAATGGCCGCCTCCCTCTGTGTCCTCAGGTGGCCTTTCTTCTGTGTTCACAGCCTCTTAAAAAGGACACTAATCCTGCTGGATCAGGCCCCCACCCTTATGACCTCATGTGATTCCATCACCAAATATAGCCACACTGGGGTTAGGGCTTCAACATAGGGACTCTGAGGGCACTTCATTCAGTCTGGAACAAACACTGTGTTTACCCAGAAACTAGGCATAGCTTCTCTTCTGTCAGCTGTTGTTTCTAGAGAGAGAGAGACAGGCTGAAAATCAAATGACTGAGCTCGTGATGGCCCCTAGTCTGCAGGGCTCAGGAGAGTGAGAGCAGATGGGGCAGGGGTGGGTATGTGGGCCTGCACCTCGTGTTCTGCTGGTGGTGGCTGTGGCAGAGTGAGACTGGAAGAGAGAGGATGTTCCCCCACCCCCGCCATGAGGTAGAGCGAGTCATCTGTATCACAGGGGCTTTAAGAATGAGGCCCAGGGTTGTAATTCCATGTCCAGGGGCCCCTCTCTCTGACATTATCCTGTGGCTGTTTATGCTGTGTTCTTATGGTCATGGGCTGAGCAGGAGGGGAAGGAGTTCCTGCCTCATTATATTTTCTCAAGGGGCTGTGATGCCCTGTGGGTTATAAACTGGGAGGTGGGAGTCACCCTGGAGAGGGAGACACCAGGAGGGTTGTTGGGGGCCATGGAGCCCCTCTCCTGCCTACCCCACACCATAGTGAAGCTGCACTTGACCCTCCTGGATGTCCCAGTGTTCTGTGTGGCCTGAGAAGTGGCCTTTGCCCCTTGCCTCCAGGACCAGGCACATAATGGCCTCGGATGATGGGGATGAGTGACCCGTCCCTTTGCAGAGTTACTGTGGGAAGAAGGGTCTTGCCCCCAGGTCCCCCGTGCACACTCACGCACCATCTGATCTCGAGATTCCAAATGGGGGTCCAGAGTTGCCAGACCTTCTAGTTTCCCAAAGGAAGCCAGCAATCATCTTAAGGCACAATGTTGTGAATTTGATATATTGGATGTGACTTCATAATTTAATGCTCTGCAGGCTAAAGCAGACCATGATGGGCTGAGAGTTCTGAGAGGGCAGAGCTGCATGCATGTCTCAGGGACAGGCACAGGGCTGCTGGAGGGCTTCCTGGGGCTGGGGAAGACTGAGGTTCTCCTTTCCCTTCTCGTCCCCTCCCTGAACTGGCCAGGGTGTGGCCACACTGCTTCTTTCTGTTCCTCAGACGTGTCCAGCTCCTTTCAGCCTCATGGCCTTTGTGTTGGCTGATGTCCTTCCGGCCCAGAAGGTTCTTCCTTGGGTTCTGCACAGCCGCTACCTTGTCACCCAGCTCCCAGCTCAAAATTCGGAAGGTTGCCCATTCGGAAGGTTCCCCCAACCGCCCAGTGCCTCTGCTGTGTCACCCACTATAGATCTCTGCATGGGCCTGCCTGCCATCGGACCTCCTCCGTGCATGCCTGTGCATGCATGCACGTGTACACATGTGCACACACGTGTATCTGCTCTTAGCCTACTCTAGAACATGTGTTCCCTCAGGATGCCTGTTTTCTGCTGTCCCCCTTTATGTTTACACTGATAGCACATAGCAGGTGCTCAAGCAATGAAAATTGAAGAAAATAGGATTGACTATGATTTATGCTTTATTATTATTGTCTTAGGTTATAGTCTGTAATTGAAAAACACTTTCTCATTTTCATCATTTTCTTGACAGTTAAGAGGAAAAAGAGTTCCAAATCAGAGGCCAAGGGCACAGTGTCTAAAGTCACTGGGAAGAAGATCACCAAGATCATTGGCTTGGGGAAGAAAAAGCCATCAACAGATGAGCAGACCTCATCAGCAGAGGAGGATGTCCCCACTTGTGGTAAGACGGAGGGTGCCTGGGTATGAGCGGCGCTCATCCGGTGCATGGCCTCTTCTGGAGTTGCGTTTGCATCTGCTGGGCTCTTTCAAGACAGACTTGTGATCCTCAGAATGGCGGGAAATGTACTACATTTTTACTGCTTATTAATAAAAGATCTTGCAGGGGTTTGAAATGATCTCTGAGGTTCTTTCAAGATGAAAAACAAATTCTTTCTTTGATCCCATGAAGTTCTCCCAAATTCCTTTTAAACGTTTCTAAACTGGGACACATGCACAGGCCTTGGTGAGCGAAGGAGGTAGTGTGGAGCATAGCATGTGCATGGGGTGACAGCGCTTTCCCAGGGCTACACCGGTAGAACAAGCATCCTGGCGGGCTGCATGTCTCAGACCTCAATTTCAAGCAAGTAGAGCCTGATGAACCATCCCATCATCAGCCCATCACCTGAAGTCCTTTCTGAGCAGGTGCCCCTGCCAGGACAGGGTGGGCACCCACAATGTGGCCCCAGCCCTCTCAGGGCTATCGCTTGTGTGGCAGAGGCGGGTCTGAAGGAGGGATCACAGGGAGAGACATGCAGTGCGTCCTGGTGATGAAGAGGAGGGAAACCAGGGCAGTGGGAGCGTCTCCCAGGGACCCAAGTGAAGTGGAGGCATGGGCAGGGGGCTGCTGGGAAGGGGTGGTGGTTGTACAGACACCCATTTCCTCAGGCACCGAGCAGTCCTTTGCTGGAGAGCAACACTCAAAACCAGACCGCAGGGCTTTGGCCTCTATTAGGAATCGAGGCGGGCCTAGGTGCCCGTGCACTCCAGCGGCACGGCCAGTGTTCTGTCAGGGCAGGTCCTTGGTCTCTTCCTTCTGCACACTTGCTCTACTCACCCCTGTGTCTCAATGAGCACAAGTGGCCACCCTGTCTGAGCAAGGTATGGGGCCTTATATGGGGGGATACACGGTCCTAAGTGCCCAAGTTGGCCATATAGACAAAGATAAATTAATCCAACAGCTGCCCCGTCCCAGGGTGTGAGCTATGCCAGGAGGACAACAGAAGAGTTAGCGCTACAGTGGAGGGGGTGGGTTACAGAGCTGGCTGGGTGCCAGAGCTTGCAGGAGCCAGGTGTGTGCTGCACCCTAAGGATAGGTCCAGGTGAGGTCCTAGCTCCCCCTGGCTGTGATGGTTGTGGTTCTAGGAAGCTGCACACGTGAGACTTCAAGGCCTGGTAGAGTCATGTCCTTTGTCAAGCCTTGGCTACCCTGGGTGGTGATGCAGAAGTGTCTGTACAGGGGAAGCTGGCTGGGCAGACGGCGGGGAGGGCCTGGTGAAGTGGCCGCTTCTGGACTTTTGGGAGCAGAGTGCTACCAAAAGGAGACCAAGGGTCCCTGCATCTGTCCCTAGTCAAATGGCAGTAGGTAGTAGTCCTAGAAGCAGGCTGACTGAAGCTCTTTCTGTTATCCTACATAAAAGAGAGAGTTTCACCTTGCTGATGTTATAGCAGAGTGGACGGGGCCCAGGCCCAGAGGGCTGAGGTTACAGCAGGGGAAATGGGACCCTAACTCAAGGGGCTATGGTTACAGCAGAAGGGATGGGGCCTAGGCTTTGAGGGGCTGACATTACAGCAGACCACACAAGGCTCTAGCCCGGGGGGAGCAGAAGGAAGAACAGGAATTCGTTGATGCCAGGGTGCTATTTTATCTCCACCTCTGCCTTTCTTGGTGCCACAAGAAGCCCTTGGTGGTGTGGGATTGTTTCTCCCTTGGGTTGGCCCTGGAGGGCAGTTAGGAATTATAAATGGAAACAGGAAATTATCCAACAAAGGGAACTGCTTTTTTAGCTTCATTTTTGTCTTTTTTTTTCTTTTTTGGTCTATTTATTTATTTGAGAGAGAGAGTGTGTGCGTGTGCAAGCGGGAGAGAGGGAGAGAAAATCTCAAGCAGACTCCCTGCTGAGCGTGGAGCCTGACACAGGCTACACTCTCCTGATCCTGAGGCCATGACCTGAGCAGAAACCAAGAGTCAGACACTCAACTGACTGAGCCACCCTGGCACCCCCCACCCCCAGTTTTTGTCTTTTAAACCGCCCTAGATCAGCAGAAGAAGTAGAAACATTTGTGTGGAATGTGGGGAGACTCTGGGGTCCAGACCCCATTACAAACAGTGCACTGAGCCTGGGAGGCCGTGGCCTGCTCTAAGCTGCACAGCTGGGAGCAGCGGTGGTGGGGAAGCTGGCCCGCTGACCCAGCTCTGCCCCCGCCTTCCGCATCTGCCCGCTCATAACCCCTCATAAACAGCCTCACTGTGCTGGTGCTCGGGCACTGCAGGAAATCCTGTTCCTGGCACTTTCTTGGAAACATAGTTGGCTGCTCCGTGTGCAGGAAGGGGGAATCTGGGGGCTGTAATTACATGTGTGGATTTCCACCAAACTGCTCCGAGGACATTGTTTGTGTCTATTAAGAGAACTTCCTCTGTCCCTAAGATTTGAAATTGTCATCTAGATTTTCGCTGAGTCCCAGGGCCAGAGAAGGGATCTATAGAGAAAGGAATGGGGGAAATGACTATTCTCAATTATTTTGGTACAGCTGCAAAGTTGTAGGCAGAAAATGTTAGCTAGCTAAGGGCCCGAGACTCTGACCATGCTGAGCTGTGGCCATGCAGCTGCTTGCCCCTGTGTTGCCAGCAGAGCTGAGCGGAGGGGGTCAGGCCAGAGGGGGCGTGCTGCTAGAAGATCGCTCCCAGGAGCAACAGAGACCTGGGTTCAAATTCAGGTTTTCTGTGAAACGTAATTGGGCAGGTGGGCCTCCAGATGCATAATAAAAACCCGTGTGTTGGGGGGAGGTGGTAAGAGATGGTTTCTGCAGGCACCCCCACACTGGCGAGTGGGGAGGGGCAGTGAGTCCCCTGGCCAGTTGACAGGGTCAGCCCCGCAAGCCCCAAAGCACTGCTTCTTCCTGCCCCGAACCCTGTGGTGATGGTGAGTGTTGGCTGGGTGAGCGCTGCACTCGGACATGTGCATGCTGTGATTTGAGATGTGAGCCAGACCCATGAGCAAGGAAGGATCTTCTATTTGCCTTTCCCTGGTGCTTACAGGCCTATGACCTCCATGGTTGTTGTCAGGAAACGCATGTCCTCTCCCCCGTCTGTGCCCCACTGGACCAGCACACTAGCCTCCTGATCAAGCTGCCTTCTCTGCGCCCTCCAGGCAGGTGTCCTGTGCTGCTGCTCAGTTCAGAGCTGCTGATAGTCTTGCCTCGGCCCAGTTCTGCAGCTTTCTCTCTTGCCTTCCGGGACGAGATGCAGAGCCACCTTGCACCCCAGCCGTGCCCCAGCACCCAGCACAGAGCCTGGCAGACAAGGGCAGCTCCACCAGTTCACTGAGAGAATGAATTACCTTAAGCAGATCGGATTACCTCTGTGAGCCTCAGGTCTTTCCTCTGTGAAATGGGCCTGTACCTACCTTGTTTTCCTAAGGAAATTAAAGATAAAAATCTTGAATGCTAAACTCTGGGCTTAATAAGTCATAATTCATGCTCAGCAAATGGTTGCTGTCATTACTCGTTTATTCACCTGATGTGCTTGTTTTTAAAAACCTGAGCACACAGACCTATTCGAGGCAGTGTGAGGGCAGTGCCGGGTGCATGGCATGGGTAATAAGAAATACGGGAGCCGGATGGAACGAGGTCTCCACGAGGCAGCATAATCTGAGCTAGTTTGAGGGCCTTGCTGGGTATTTCCAGGGCCCCTTCTAGCTCGACTATCCTGTGACTTTGTGACATTCACAGCAATAGTGTTTGTTTTGTTTTGTTTTTTTGTTTTTTTGGGTTTTTTTTCCAGTGGACATACAGGGAAGCTGCCTACCTCTTACCTTGTATCACAGTCAGCCTCACAAAAAATCAGGCGACCTTCGATCGAGGAAGTAGAAAGTGTTCTTGGTATAAATCACAGCGCTGGGGCATTGGCACCCTCATTCTTGGGCACAACCCTCTTGGAGGACAGGCCCCTAAGGCAGTCAGGTGGGGTTCGGGCACCGGTGGGACTGGATTCAGCCGTTGGCAATATTGTCACCTCTGATACCCTCTCCCCACTTTCCCCAGTTGTTTCCTCCCAGCTGATTATAAATCGAGGCCTACCAAATGAAACCAGCCATCACGCTGGGCTGAGGCCTCTCAAGAGCAGGACCAGAGCCTGGCAGGCTGACACCACGTTTCCCACCCTACAGAGGGGAACTCAGTGGACACTTGGCCCCACTTCCGCCTGTTCTTCTGCAGCTGCTTGAACTTGAAAGCAGCTGGCACTGAGGCCAGAGACACCAGAGATCCTAACAGCTGAATGAGAGCGTGTTTGTGTCTCTCTAACCCTCTGCCCTTATGTTTGTTTAATCTCGGGCCTATAAAGTTACTTTTATAGCTCTAATGAAACCCTAAGCCTCTTACCATGGTTTTGCAAGAAATCTTAGTTTTTGGAGCAAGAATAATCTCAAAAAGTCAAACTGGCATTACCAAACTCTGAAGATCCAGTAACATCTCACATAACATGATGGTGGGATCCAGAAAGAAATCAAATTGCGTTGAAATTGCCTCATGCAGTTGGTGGAACTGCCCCGGGTGGGCTGGTGAGCCTGGGTGGGCATACGGCTCTCGCTGGGCTGGAGGACCCCTCTGTCCCCACTCGCCAGCAGCCTGGCTGCACTTTGGCACCACCTGGCGGTGGCTGTGTGCTCTGGCTGAAATACTCGGGCCCATTGGGATCCGTGTCCCCACCCGCTCTGTCCCTGTCCGAGTGTCAGGGGCCATGGGAACCTGCCCTGTGACTCAGATGCCATTTCCCTGTGCTCCCTACCCAGAAGATACGAACTTTAGGCCACCCCTTTCAGAGAAGACCAAAGGGCAGCAGGCCTGGCAGCAGAAGCCAGTTACCATGGGCTTTCCTGTTTGTAGAAATGTGCTTCTCATCCACTGTCATTTTTTTATTTGCTTTTCCCTTTGAGGACTGAAAATAAATGTAGGAAGCTGTAAAAATATGGTAATTTCCTATATCACATCCTCAATAAAAGGAGGATTTGTCCAACATAATCATTCCTTTTGTGACTCAAATGTCAAGAAATTCATAGCATTGGTGACTTTGGGCCAGGTTCATTCAGGGAAGGAAACATCATGAGAGTGCCTTGACCTGTACCAGAGACGACCCCCGACCCCCGCCCTCCCATTAGTGGAGCATGCTGGAAGACTGCCCCCTCCACACTGCGGAGGGGTGCTCCTGAGCCAGAGTGCCCCCAAGTGCCGAGGTCTATAATAGAAAGTCACGTGCATGCTTAAAGGGAATGTGGTCACTGTTGTTAAGAAGTCAGCTCTGCTCTCAGGCCTTGCTGCTTAAATTTCTCTGTAAATATCCTAGCTTCTCACTTCCCCAGCACCTTGTGCATCAAGACCAGGGTCCTACTGTAGTTTCCGAGGTTCGTATATCCAGTTGTGGGATGTTTCAAGCCTTTGTTTCTCATGCTCCCTCTTCTCCAGGCCTATGGAAGAAGCCCCTGCCCCTTGATGAGGGCACCCCATCCCTGAACCACTCGGGCACAGGTGGGTCTCCCTCCTGCCAGCCCCAGTCACAGCATCTGCTGGTGCTCTGGAGCTCAGGACTTCCTTGTGAATTTGTTCCCTATTGTGTCCACTAAGTTCCTGGAGATTAGTTGCATGCTGCCTGCTTCCTCTTAGATGCACCATCACATCTGGCTCAAGGTCCTGCATGTTGGCTCATGCTCACACACCGGTGGTGGGTACAGTTTAAGTCATCTCATAAACATCTAAAAAAGAGGGCTTTCCGTGTGTTTCTGTGCTTTCACATGGTACTGTGAGCCTAGCTGTCCGTGGTTCTGATGGCCACTATGTGGGTCAGATGTTATAGCTGCCTAGATGTTTTTAAGTAGAACATTCTTTCTTCTTCTTTTTTTTTTTTAATAATAAACATATGAGAACTATGCCATTTACAAATAGTATTTTATAGAATGAAAATAACCACTCTCTATTTGCTGTTGTCAACTTTTAAAAGAGCTTCAGGTCAGGCTTTGTCAGGTGGCCTGTAGTAGTCACGGGGGGGGGGGGTTCAGGAGTGACCCCTTCCTTCACAGAGGAGCCCTCTCAGCCTCTGACTGGACCCCAGCATCTCTTCCCCCTCCCTGCACCTCCCTCCTGAATGTACAAATACAAAGGACTTGGCTTCCAGACGCTTGAGCCTATGGGCTAACTTCTCCCCTTTTTTTCTTATTTTACAAATACAGCAATCTAGGCCCCAAATGAAAGCTTGAACTCCAGGAGAAGCAGTGGAGCCTCAGTTTAGGGGTTATCAGTAGAACCGCTGTCATGTCAAGCCAAACGAGAGTTGCCATTTTATGCGTTCACCTCGTGAATTCACTGAGTAAATATTTATCTATAATGTAGGAAGCGTCATTAAGCCCTGTAACTTGCCTGCGTGTTCTGAGTTTTGTTTTATGTCATTGCATAGCCTTTATCCATTGCCAGCGAGGTGTGTAAGATGCAGAACCTGAGTGTGGTAGAGACGTAGAGAGAAGCAAAACGCATCCTCCCGAGCCCTTTGGAAAGGCATTATACACATCAGAACTGGAGAGGATTTCTTTTGTTTTTGAGCAGTGCTTGTGGGCATATGTGTATGTGTGCACATGCATGAATTGAAAGGGTGGCTGAATGATGAAGAAATCCTCGTTTTATTTCCTCCTTTTTGACCTGTGTTTTATGTGCCGTGTCACTCCCTTTCTCCATCTCAACGGCAGGGGGCAGTTGTCTCCTAGCATTATGGAGTGGGTGCAAGTAGCAGCCACCCTGTGAAGTCTGGTTTCCGTGCCTTGTTCGGTCACATTTTGTGTGTTTGTCTGTTCGTTTGTTTGTGACAAATGAGAACGATCAGTTTCTCATATTTGAGAAGTGAGAATCTTCTTTAGAAGTGAGGATCATTGTTCTTATAACTGGATCCCATGTGTGGGGTACACATCTCCCCATAGCGGTAAAGGTGTCATGCAGGGTCAGAGACGTGTGCTTTCAGACCCAAGCCTACCAATCCCATCAGGGTGGGCTTCACCTTGCTGACAAAATCTCAAAGCTGAGGCTGCAGGAAAAGCCAACAGGATGTCTTTGTCTCTGGTAGGACTCTCATGCCAGGACCTTCCATCATTTGCTGGAATGCATCTGGCGGTGGGGGACTTGGCACCTCCCAAAGCCGCCTCTTCCCTGCAAAGCTTTCATTTTCAGAGTTTTTCCTCATGTTATATCAGAATCTGCCTTCCTGTAACTTCTGCTCTGGCTGTGTCATTTGCAGCTACTCAGAATAAATTCCACCCTGTTTTCATTGCTTCAGTTATGTGAGGATGGCCATCATGTTGTCATTTCCCTCCTGCCCTGAAAACACCGACAGCTCAGCCCTACCAAGCAGACCCCAGCTCCCCATGAAACCATTCACCATCCTCAAGTGCTCCTTGGCACACACTACTCACTGCAAAGACCTTAGGGGCTTCTGGGGTGGACTGTCTGCCTTATGAGAGCCCCCAAAGCTGGTTGAAGGTAGTGACCAGGCAGCTCCTGTTTGTATGGGTCTGCATTTGCAGGCATGTGGGGGTTTGGTGTATTCCCTAACCATCTGACCTCGGTCCCCTTGCAGGCTATCTCAACGTGCTCTCCAACAACCGCTGGCGGGAGCGCTGGTGCCGGGTCAAGGATAACAAGCTCATTTTCCACAAGGACAGGACTGATCTCAAGACCCACATTGTTTCTATTCCTCTCCGCGGCTGTGATGTGATCCCGGGCTTGGACTCCAGACACCCCTTGACATTCCGACTGCTTCGCAATGGACAGGAGGTGGCCGTGCTGGAGGTAAGGTGCTGCTCGAGGTCACGCTCAGAGATGGTTCCTGCAGCAATGTCCCTGCCGCTTTCCCCAGGGCACCGTGGCTTCTGATCCTATCCTTCTAGCCTACCATGCACCGTCCTTCCTGCCCACCATGGTGGCCTCTGCTGGGCTTTTTTGTCACCTCCTCCTCTGCATGTGGTGCTGGATGGAGCAGCTGGTGCCCATTCTTCCTACACTCTGCACCAGACCACCTCCTGGCTTCCTTTCCTCCATGTGCATTTGCATGGAGATTAGATCTGCGATTCCATATAGGGCACTGCTTTTTAAATGCAGCAGAAAAATAACTCCATTTCCCCCTGAGTATGGTCTACCTTTGAAACGAGGGTATTTCTTCAACTTGCCCTTTGGAGTCTACTTTGCAGATGAAATGGGTTTTTACTCTTTTTCTTTCTTTCTTTCTTTCTTTCTTTCTTTCTTTCTTTCTTTCTTTCTTTCTTTCTTTCTTTCTGAGAGAGAGCATGCATACATGTGTGGGAGCTGGGGGGAGGGGCAGAGGGAGCAGAAGAGAGAGAATCTTAACCAGACTCAATGCCCAGCACAGATCCCAACACAGGGCTCGATCCCACGACCCTGACATCATAGACCTGAGCTGAAATCAAGAGTTGGACACTTAACCGACTGAGCTACCCAAGTGCCCCAAACAGGTGTTTATAGACAGTGGCTTGTGTGCCAATTACTAAAGAACACCTTTAATTCCCAAGAGCCCCCAGTTTTGTGTACATTTGTTATATGTTTGCCTGCTTTTCTGGAGCTTCTTTTTCACTACAGCAGAAAAGCAATTGAAACTGGTTTCTTAGCAGTCTGCTGAAAACTTCCAATTGTGATTTTCATCTATTATACTATTAATTTGTTTTCTATCTACTATTAATTCAGACCTTCTTTTCTTTATCTTTTTGTTCATTTACATGATTAAGACCCAAAGACACACACACACACACACACACACACACACACACACATACCCTGAACACAAGTACCAGGAGTGTGAACCTCCAAAGCTTGTGGATGTGGGATGTGTAGATGGTAAACACAAGGCTGCATAAGCTTTGGAGGGAAGGCTGGGGTGATCTCTGTTTCTCAGGTGTAGGATGCTCAGTGATGGTAGTGGTAGATGGACGGGGAGTGAGCCCGTGGCTTGGGGCCATGATCAAGGTGGTCCATGAGGTTGTCTAGTAGGTCTTGATAGGAGATAGGAGTTTGTTTCAAAGACTCTGTTCAAAGAAAAGACCATTTTTGTCAGGAACAGGGAAAAGACTAAATCTGGAGCTCTTCGTTCCATGCACTGGTGGCCTGTGAGGGTGGCCAGGAGCAACACATGGACTGCAGCCGTCTGCGGACTCACAGTCCTGATAGCACTGGGGTCCGCACCTCCAGGCCCCAGTCCTTGTTCTGCCACACAGTGGGATCACACTACATCTTTTGTATTCTCTCAGCTTTTAGATTCACCTGTAAAATATGAGCATTGGGCCAGAGTCTGTACTTAGTAAGATTTATGCAGGCTGAAGTAGGGTGGGTGCAGGGGACAAAGCTAAAACACAAAGGAGGAAACTGTGCCCTTGATGTGAAACAAGGCAGGTCTCCTATACGAGCTTCAGCAACAGAGCTGGGAAGGGGGCCAGGGGCAGGAGTTGGAGCATGCTGGATGCAGGAAGGGAGAGAGGGCGGACCTGGGAGCAGCCTGCTGAGGAAGGCACCCTTGTGCCTCTGTAGCCCTCAGGTGGGGCAGGCTCCCAGCTCCCAGGTTTTGTGAGGGAGGTGGCCCCTTCCTCCATGTCCTGGTCATTAGTCATACACACACACACACACGCACGCACACACACACAGAGCCACATAGTACCCGATACACAGGCTACCTTGCCTCGATCATTCATGAAATACAGAGCACCAGCCAGTAAATGTAATCTGTATGTTTTCTAAGGTCATACTAACTTTCATATTGAGATAATTTCAGAATTTCAGGGAAGTTGTGACTATAGTAAAAATAATTTCCATGTACCCTCTATCCACATCCCCCAACAGTAACATATTCCCATGTGCGGGGTCTCTTATGTTCCCTCCGTTACTCTCCCTCTGTATAAAGTTTCTCAGAACCTTTTACAGCCATGTTGACCCTTTACTCCCTCAATACTTCATTGTGAATTTGCTAAAAACAAAAGTGTTCCTTTACCAAAACCAGAATGTAGTCATCAAAATCAGGAAATTGACATTCACACACTCCTGTTAGATAACAGGATTCATAGATCTTAATTGGCTTTTCTGAGCTCGATGGTGTCCCTTGCAGGCAAGAGGAAACCCCAGACCTTGTGTAACCTCAGTCACTGTCTCTTTCTCCAGCTGTCTGGTTTCTTAGCACAGAACCGTGGAGGGTACAGACCAGTCCTGTGTAGAGGGCCCCTCCATCTGGGTGCCATCTGATGTTTCCCTGCTGTTGGGCTCCACATCAGCTCCCTGGCTGGAGCCCATGGAGGCAGTGGTGGGTGTTACAGCACATCCTACCAGGAAAGTGCACCTGTCACTCTGCCCCATAACCAGTGGTGTTAACTTTGACCCCTTGGGCAGGGTGTCTGCTCAGCTTTCCCCCTGCACACTTACGGGGCTTTCCCTTTGTCTTTAAAAGCATCATGTGGGAAGGTACTTTGAGGTCATCTTTGTAAATATCTCATTATCACTCACAGCTTCACCTGCTAACATTAGCGTACATGATGATGCTTACCTGAAATAATCATTATGATGACAAGCGTTAAATGGGAACTTTGTAATTCTGTTATTCCTTCTATATTTATTAGTTTGCATCATCTATAAGAAAGATTTCTCCTTCTCTCATTTAATTACTGATCGCTTCATGTATGTATTTCAGTGGGGATTCAGAGAATATTGTGTTAATCAGTGATTGTAATGGTTTATTGTCATGATTTACTTTGATGGAATTATCCTCGATTTGGCCAGTGGAAGGCCATTCGAGCTGGCCCCTGAGGCCTTTGCTGTGTCCCTGTATAAGAAGCCACAATCCCCGCTATGCTCTGATGAGACATGCCCGGCTCCTCTTGTACCTTTTCTTGGCCTAGGCCTGGAATCAGCCATTTCTCCAGAAAGCTGTTAGTGGATTCCTCCTGGTGGGAATCAGAAACAGATGTGTGTGTGTGTGTATTCATGCACTTGTCTGTTGTGTACATGTATTCATTTATAAGTATACATATGCACACATGTGCATTCATACACCCACATCCATCTCTATTTCTGTATTGAGTCATGAGATCAAACAAATACCTCTAATTTCAGTCTAACAACACAGGGTTATTTTTTTACAAGCTATGAGAAAATTATATAAACTATGAAGAAAACAATAAGCTTTAGTGTAAGTGTATCAATCACATGTTACATAGTGTGTTAAAATACTTTGAAAAATGCTTAGATAGGGGGACGCCTGGGTGGCTCCGTGGTTGAGCCCTGCCTTCGGCTCAGGGCATGATCCCAGATCCCAGGATCGAGTCCCACATCGGGCTCCCTGCATAGAGCCTACTTCTCCCTCTGCTTGTGTCTCTGCCTCTCTCTCTCTGTGTCTTTCATAAATAAATAAATGAATGAAATGAATGAATCTTTAAAAAATTCTTAGATAGGGGCATCTGGGTGGCTTAGTCAGGTGAAACGTCTGCCTTCAGCTTAGTCATGATTCCAAGGTCCTGGGTTAAAGCCCCTGTGTGGGAATCCTGATCAGCGGGGAGTCTGCCTCTCCCCCAGCTTGTGCTTTTTTTTTTTTTCTCTCTCTCAAATAAATAAATAAAATCTTTAGAAACAGTTAAAAAATAAAAATAAGTAATAATGCTTAGATAAAATAATAACAGACACGTCAATATAGATTTAGTTATAGATGCATTCTGGCTGTAGATCTTGTTTTGGGAAAGGACAGAAAGACCAATGAAAATAACACATTTGGGATTTTTTATTTAATTCATTTTGATTCCATGAACATTGGCTACATTCCCCCTCTTCGAGCACATGACTGGAGTCTTTGTGCTTTGTCCTGTGGCCTCAGTACCGGTGAGGAGGGATTTGTTACTGCTAGCAAACACGGTGAACACATGAAAAATAGCTTTTTTCATGTTAATAGCTCTGGGAATATTTACAATTACGTGTATTCTGATCAGTGTTCAACTTGTCAAGGCTATAAATATAAAACCTCATTTTCTTTAAGTTGTTAAGCTAAACTTAATAGATCTTCATATTAAAAATTAGTTATTTTAATGAAAATATTTTTTTTCTTTTTTTTTAAAGATTTATTTACTTTAGAGAGAAAGAGAGAGAGCATGAGCAGTGGGGAGGGGCAGGCAGAAACAGACTCCCTGCTGAGCAAGGAACACGATGTGGGCCTCGACCCAGGACCCTAGAATATGGCCTGAGCCAAAGGCAGACACTTAACCAGCTGAGCCACCTGGGCACCACAAAAATATTTTTTTACACTTATGTAAACATAGTAGATATGGAAGAAAGTTTTTTTGTACCATCTAATCAAGAGAATTAAGATTGCCATTTCAGGCTGGTTTAGGAGCCCCAACAAGGGCTTCAGGGGGATAGAGTTTGGGGCCCACAGAGGCACAGGCCCCGTGGGGTTTCCCGGTCAGTCTGGCTGAGGCTGCTGTTTCTGGCCACGATTTTTTGTGGAATTAATGACACTTGATAGGCAACTTCCTTCAGCTGAGATTTAACTCCACACAGTAATTCCTGCACTTCCCACCCACTGTCTTTCCCCAAAATAAGATAGTGAACACATCACTCAGGCCAAGACCACGTCTCCGTTGCTTCTTCATGCCCCTCACGTGCTTCCAGCCGCATTCCCTTTGCTGCCACGCAGTCTCTGTCCTGCTGTGAGGAAATGTGAGAGTCCTTACCATCACTTAAGTACATGCATGCTTCTCCCTTCTCCTCCCTAGGCCTCCTCTTCTGAGGACATGGGCAGATGGATTGGGATTTTGCTGGCTGAGACAGGATCCTCTACAGACCCTGGGGCCCTGCACTACGACTATATCGACGTGGAGACATCTGCGAACGTCATTCAGACGGCCAAACAGACCTTCTGGTAAGATCCCTGTGAACTGGCTCTGGAGCCAAACTATGCTTTTCTTTCACTATTTTTTTTTTTTTTAACTTTTGTGTGCATAGACTCAGGGGAGAAAACAGCTAGACTTTCCCTTTTGTATCATATTGATCCAAACTTTGCTGAATTTTTTGTCATTTTCTTCCTCTCTGTTTTTCTATTGGAGAAGGGGTGGCAAACTTTTTCTATAAAGTGCAAGACAGTAAGTATTTTTGGCTTTGGGGCCCAAACGTTTTGTGTAAAAACTATTCTGCTCTGCCATCATAGCCACAGACCACACATAAGCAAATGGGCATGCTAATGCCCATTTATTAGTTCTAATAAACCTTTATTGCAAATACAGGCAGCAAGCTGGGTATGGCCCATGGGCTGTAGCTTGCTGACCCTTGTATTAAGGGGACAGTTCTTTGCAATAGATAATTTACATCTACTGTAAGTAATGAGGGCTGAATTTTCAAAGTCATTGGTCATGTACTTTTATTTATTGTTGTGGTTTTTATTTTTTAAAAAGGCTTATATATGAAAACATTTTTTGAACCATATATCTATAACATAATGATGACAAAGATAATCATAGCAGCAGTTCTCAAGGTTAGGTCTGCAGACCCAAAGGCATTTGAGATTCAGGCAGCCCAATAGGCTAAACTGGTTTCATAGTAATACTGGTCTAAAGCCTGTGCCTTGGGGCTGTGAGGGAAGTGGCTCTGGACCAGGAGGAGGGAACTCAGGCTCTGTGTGGCATTTCCTAAGGGGAAATTCTAGACAAGGGCTCTATTACCTCTCAGTGCTCCAGCTCCTTTTGTAGAGATGAGGCTAGGGGAGGCGATATCTGTCTGGAGCCACATCTGAAGCTTCCTCTGGTCTCATGTCTCCAATCCCTGGACCTCTGCTCCTTCTTCCCTCATTGGCAGAGACGTCTGCTTTGGAGGCTGAGGACAGATGGCTCAAAACAAAGCAGGTGATGGAGTTGTATCAGACGCCCATGATGATAAACCCACTGGCAGCTGTGGGCAGACCCACCAGTGCTGTCTGCGATGGAGAGACCCAGTGTCCATGAGCTCCACCATCTAGTTTTAACACGTGTGGTGTTTGCAGGGAGTTCCAGTGGTCTTCATGTATCTCTCAAGTGGTGCTATAGAATGAACATTTATTGTTTGGCCAGGATGTTCTGGGGCCAGTGGAAGCAACGTGGGCTCCTATGAGGGATTGAGCCACATGTTACACCCAACTCCGGTGAATAGCCTTGACAGCATGAATTAATTTCTGTATGACTTTTCCAGAAAATCTCCATGAACATTAGAGGTTTCCTAAAGTATAGACTCCCCATTTTTACAATTGCCTTTTGTGTGAAATCAGGGTGACCTAGTCGAGTACTGACTCTTCTGTTCATAGTCACTATTTTTCCATAAACACACCCTATCCAGTCGACAGCATGCGGTCGATTGCAGCAAACCCCTTAATCATTCAGCACACGTACTAAATGAGTACATTTAATCAAGTGGTTTTTAAAGAAATGTAATATCCATAAACCAGGTTTTACAAAATCTCCACATCTAGAGCAACATGAAAGAAAGGAGTTTGTGGTTTTTAACTGCTTCTTTGGAACTTTATTAGATCACGGGGCCTCTCCTTATGCATGAGTGTCCTCAGCGGTAATCAGCAAACTAATAACCACACCTCAGAGAAGCATGAGTAACAGTATTTCCCCTAGAACAAAACCCAGCTTCTACTTCCCAAATGAGTGCAATATTAATCTAAACGAAATGTGGGCAGGTCACATTTTTGAGAAAGGAATGTAGATTGCAATATTGAAAAATTATTGATTAACAATATGCATGTAAGGAGTTTACGACTGCTGGAATTTTTGCTACCTCATTAAAATCTTTATAAATGTTAGCCATAAAGGATATTTTCGTTTTTCAGTTTTCTAGCTAAACATTCTTATAAAACTTGAGAGAAGAGATTTAACAAGCAAGCAATGTTCAAAGTATAAAATATGGCATCTTGCCAGTATGATAAATATCCTGAGATTAAATTAATTTTTGCCTTTATGCAAATTGGCAGCCGGTTAATGAATCCTTTCAAGGTCGTCAGGGGGAGTGTCTGTGCACTGGATACGTCTGAGGGGGAGAGGACAATGGTATATTTTGGGAAGGAGGCAGTTAAAGAAAAAATAGTAATTTAAATTCTCCCAGGAAAAGTCACGATTTAGGAATATTAATAATGGTAAACAATTGGAACCTATTTTTCCCAAGGCCTAGCCTATTTTTAAATGAGATGCATAGATTATGTGACACAAGGGAAACATTCTGACTTTTTTCCCTGGAACTGTTTTCAAGCCATGCTCCATTGGAGACCGTGAGCAAGCTGTAGTTGTAGTGGCTTAAAGGCTGTAGATCAGTGTGGGCAGAGAGAGGGCAGTGACAGACTGGAAGGGACCTGTTAACCTGAGTCGCCTTCTCATGGAAACCCCTTAAACAGGGATGAACCTCGAGGGTGTTTTGCTGGGTGAAATAGGCAGAGGGAAAAGGACACGTTCTATATGATGTAGTCCTGTGGCAGATCCATGGAGGCAGGAGGCCGGTGTGGGGTCAGGGCCTGGGGCAAGGCGAGGGAAGGGGTATCATAAGGATGGGGTTTCAGGTGGGTAAGCTCTCTGGGTGGAGGGCAGTGCTGGCTGCTAGCAGCGTGATCGCACATACTGCCCCAGGACCGTACACTTGGCCGTGGTAAGATGGCGACCTTACATCATCTGTATTTTTTGCACAGTACGTGTACTTCCTCTGAGGGGTTCATGTTTTTAACAAGTAGCATGGGCTCTCCTGTCTCACTTCCACTTTTATATTTGATTAAAACCCCTCCTACAGAAAGAGCTCTGAGGCAGAGGACGGGGGCCTGGTCCATAGACGGGGTTCCACATGCTGCTTAGGGCCCGGATACTTGTGTTGGGGTGCAGGTCCCTCCATGTAAATCCCAGGCCTCTTCCACCTGGGCCACCCCGGGTGTCTGTGACTCACTTGTCCTCACGCTACATGACTCACAGCACCCTGCTGGTGACCGCTCTGAGCTCTGTCCTGACTGTGGGGGACCCTGCTCCATCCTGGCATCTGTGCCCTGTGTGCCTGGCACCACACAGCAAGCATGTGAGGGGCACCACCACCACGGCTCTAGACACCCAGTCACTGAGCACCGTATGGGGCGTGTGTTAGCCTTATGCAGGGTGCCTCACCCCAAAATCCCCTCAAGTGAGACACTTACATTAGAAAACCTTAAATACGTATTTTAAAACAAAACAAAACAAAGTCCTCTGTCATGGTGGAAGACTTAAGTTCTTGAATTTTTCTGTCTTTCCTTCGCGCATTTTCCTTTTCAACACATTTCCTTTTCCTGTACCGAATTTTCTGTGTTTTAAGTACAGAATAATCCTATACATTTTTGTTGGTTGTACACATTAAAGAGCCTGTGTGAGGTGGGACTGGCGTGCCCGCCTTTGCCCAGCAGAGGGCGTGCCTGTGCTTTGAGCGCTGGGAGGACCCCCGGCCACTGCAGGCCTAGCCTGAGACCTCCTTCCCTGTCCTGCCCTCACCAGTTTCTTTCCTCCCATTTTTATGCATCTCGTTACTACAGAAATGTAAGATCCTGCAAAGAAACACAATTTTTAAAAAATACACTTTTGGGGGGCACCTGGGCAGGCTCAGCATCCAACTCTGATTTAAGCTCAGGTCCTAATCTCAGGGTTGTGAGTTTGGGCCCCATGTTGGGTTCCACGCTGATTGTGGGGCCTACATTTAAAAATGTTTCATATATTCATATGTATATATGTATATTTTTAAATCTATTTTGTCATATATATTTTTTCTATTCCACACTTTTTTAGTTTAGCTATTTACTCATTAATTTTAGTTTAGAGAAAGTGCTATCTGGGTTCTCTCTTCCCTGGACACTCACATCTGCCACTTGTAACAAACAACTTCATGCGTGAACCACTGGCATGCCGTGCATCCAGCACGTGTTTGCCGAGAGCCCCGTGGGCCTGACGCTTGAGGTCCAGAACAAGTGAGAGTGACCATGGCTGTGCTCTCCTGAGGCTGACATTCTGGGGGATGAGCTAATCACACGACAGGTCAGATGGTGATGAGCAACATATGCAAGGAGCAGAAGGACAGCGACTCTGAGGCGTGGAGGGTGGGGCTGCTGCCTACTGTGGGGCTCAGGCTTTCACGGGGCTTTCACAGGGAAGTGAACCCCCTCAGGGGCTTGGGAAAAGTACTTCTAGGCAGAGGGGACCACAGGGCAGTGGGTGGCAGGAAGAAGCAGAGAGGTGGCTACAGGCTGTACAGTGCTCTGCTCTGGGAGCACCACGGGTGCCAGTGCAGTGTGCATGGAGAGGGACCCCACTGGTTGGCCACTGTCAGCCTCCCCTAAGTTCAGGGGTGGGAGGGACGGTGGGAGGTGAGTGGCACTGAGGTGCAGTGGCAGTAATGCTACATGACCGTGGGGAGCTTGAAACATGAGTGCAGAGTAGGTGCCGTAAAGAATGTGGGGTCCATGAACTTCCACCAGAAAGGCCAGATGGTAAACCCTTCACTTTCGCCAGCTGTGTGTCTGCCCTTGAGCACTGACGTTGACAGGCTCAGGGAAGAAGCATGAAAATGCTGGCAGGCAGCTACAGCGCATACCAGCGGAGGGTGGAGGCTGTGCCCCAGCCAGCAGGCGGTGGGCCCCGTGCCCCCGCTGTGCACTACAGAAGTGAAACATGCTGCAAGTCTCAAACACGGTTACGTGTGTTACGTGCCAGGCACTGCTTTGTGTCCAGCATGTGTTCCCACCACCCTTGCCACAGCCCAGCAGGGTGGCTGCTTCCCTGATTTTACAGGTGAGCAGTCTATCCTCGTCACTCTCATGAACACCACACCTCTGCCGGGCCAGGCCCTGAGTGTCCAGCTGGACTCAGGTAAGACTCTAGATTACTGAGAGGGGTCTAACCCACTTCCTGTCCTGCAGTTTCATGAACAGGCGCGGTATCTCTGCCAACCCGTACCTGGGGAGCACCACCAACGGCTACGCCCACCCCAGTGGCATGGCGCTGCATTACGATGACGTCCCATGCATTAACGGCTCGGTGAGTGTGCCCTTCCTAGGATGGCCCAGGCTCGGTTGTGTCACAATTGAGGCTGGGGAGGATTCCTGTAACCCGGGACTCCTGACTTCAGGCCCAAAGCCAGAGGGCTTTCTGCTGTGCCCTCGGCCAGGATGAAAACCGCATCCTCTCCCTTAAGTATCATGCTGCACATCCCAGAATACGGAGTGAAGGAAAGCACATTAAAGTCTGTAACTTAGATACATCAAAATAGAGCACAGTAGAAGTTATCACTGAGCAGTGAACGCTTGGAGAAGAGCTCAGAGAAATCACATCGCAAAGAAAATGTTGCCACCGCCTTGGCCATACTGCACGCTCCCCAGGCCAAGCCCCGTGCCATCCTCTGGGCCACCAGGGGTGAGGCTCACAGACTCGGCAGGCTCATGGAGAGGCACTGGAGAAACCATCCTACCATTGGCCCCCCAGTATTGGGTGAACTTAAAATGGGCATCTGTGGCAAGATATTCTTCAAAGGTGGCACAGAATGTGTTGATTATTGTTGGTTTTGAAGTTGGAAAGTGTTTTAAATTTTTTTCTTGTTTTGCTCACCCGTTCTTTTCTCAGTACTTTGATGGAGTCCCCAGTCAGCGACCTGTTTTCCATGGTCATAAACCCACATCTGTCTGAGGCAGGAACCAGGAGACTACAGCCTTCCTGCGGGAAGTGGAGGTCAAACAGGGACTCCCAGAGCTCAGAAACAGAAGCACACTGAAAAGATTACTGTGTGTGGGCCAGAGGTGGCCAGCCAGTGACCAAGTGCTGTGACATCATGTGTCCCCAGGGTCTTGGATATCTGGTCGTGAATGTTCTTCCTTCCATCCACTTGGGCCTGCCCTGGGGTTCCTGCAGGGATTCCTCTGCAGGCTCATTACTAGATTCCAGAAAGGGGCTTCTCATCACACAGTCTCTCCTCCCTGCCTGCCTCATCCTACCTGCCCATCCTTTCCTGCCTTCCTGATTCTCTGCACATCCCCTAGCACCCGGGCTCTGCACTAGGAGTGGAGGACACAATGGAGAAGACGTTGCCTCCGTCCTCCAGCAGCCTTCTGGTCCAGCGGGGCTGCAGGTGTGGGTAGGGGGAAGCAGAGCAGAGCAGGGACCAGGCCTGGCAGGTTCACATGAATGTTAGGGTCTATGCTGGGACGTGGGGGCGGGGGCAGGGGTAGTAGGAGCAGAGCCACACTTCAACCCAACCCTGACTACAGGTCCATCAGATAGTTGCCTGTCTCAGGCTGGGGTGGTCAGGGCTGGGGTTGAAGGGGGAGTCCTGCCCCAGTAAGAAAACATGAGCTCCTTGGCCCCCCCCCATTCCTACCTCCACCCCTGCCACCAAGGTCTCCAGGGTTAGAGGGGCTCCTGGTGCCCGTGATACCCCCAGCCCTCCTCCCCTGAGCCCACACATTTAGGGAAGGCTGCATGGTGACATCGTGAGCACGGGTTCTCAGGCCGTCTCAGCATCTTCCCAGGCACCGTGCCACCTTCAGGGTGGTTCCTGGCTGTCCTAGGCAGCCACCAGCTCCTGAGCAGCCGTACCCCTGGTTGTAGGCCCAGCCATCACACTCATGCTCACAGAGCGGCCTGTTTCTCTGGGCCCTTGGCCTCAGCCACCACTTGTGCTGGACAGACAACACCCAGACCTGTCTCTGGACCTTCCTGCCCGAAGGCCCCTTTGTGCTCCTTTTCCTGAAAGGTTTTCTCCTCTCTTCCTTACATTCCACGTGGAAGCTACAGGACCATATGAGCACACCCCCCCCCCACACACACACACACACTTACCCATGCCCTTAGATTTGTGTCATGGGATTCAGGCCACCTCCAGGAATGAGCTTTCTTTAGAGCATCCACAGTGTCCTCGGTCTCAGAGATAAAACCCCACCATTCTGGAAGAACTTTGCATTTAGCAATTGTTCCTGCACATGCACGGTAGTGTTGAAAATGTGAGGTCCTATGCACCGTCTCTGTGGCTCTCTGGCTTAGTGAGGGCTTCCTTGAAGCTCAGGCCCCTCTTTTAACTGTGCCTCTCCACACCGGCTCCAATACCAGGCAACCTCTCGTTTGGAAGGCTTCCTTTCTCAGTTTTATGAAGTTCATCCTTTCTGAGCCCAAAACTGACATCGACTTCAATAATCCTTACCCCTTATGGCTACCCGCCCTCCCCCTATGCCCAGCACAAGATTGAAGTGAGTCTCCCAAAGGATCTCTTGACATGCTCTTAATCTAGAAACCTCTATGGAGTATCTGTTTCCTAAGTGTTCCATGTGACTTGATCCTTTGGTATTTGGGGAGGTGATTGTCCAGTCTAGAGCATTGAAATCACCCGGGACAACAATGTGCGGTCGTCCTCAGGGAGCCATCCCGTCCAGGCTTGTGTGCGTGGGCCGCTGTGTTTAGATTGTAGGAGGGTCCCCGCATGACAAAAATAGACACGTCGGAGCGGCTGCAAAGGGACAGAAGTGCTCCTCCCGTGAGATTTCAGACTGTTCCTATTTTGGTAACAAAAGGCTGTAATTACAGTCTGGCAGAAGGAGACGCTGCCAGAAGGATATAAAAATAGGGTGAAATGAGCATAACATAGGAATTAATATTTCTCTCCTTTTTTTGTAAATGCAAAGCAATTTATAAAGACCTTTAAAACGTAAAGGCTGTGGTTGTGAGTTTAGGTTCCCATTTATGCTTTAATGTCCACGTTCTGAAGCGGCTCGAGCTATTTTAGTCCTTTGTGAAAAAGCTTTCTGCTAAGACAATGCCATTGTATCAGTTATTTGCTGAAACATCCTCTTTTCTACAATGATCGCATTTCTTCCTTACAACAGACTATGTTTTGGTCACTGCACTTTCTTCAGCCATAGGAGTCTGGTCCCTGGGTGCATGCTGACAGTCACCCCTGATACCCGAGTCCCTGATGTCTGCACGCCAGATGGGGAGGGTCAGGAGGTACTTTCTACCCTGGGGGAGCCTGCTACTGTATGCGGTTAGGAGCACGGCTCTGCCTCAGTTTCCCCCTGCATCTTGAGACTCCTGTGGAAATTATATGGCTCAACACCCAAGAAGCGCTTCAAATGATGTCCGGGACATAGGCATTGCTGTAAATGAAAGTGCTTTGCTGTGATCATAAGTTGCTTTCTGGGGACAGCTGGAGCTCCAAGATTCAGGGCCCCCAGGTTGGCCCGCCTCTCCTTACCTCATGTGGCTTCTGCTCTCTGGATTAGGGCTTCAAAAATCTGGTTCTTTAAAGAAAGAAATGTCAAATAAGTTTTTTATTTTTCCTCTCTCTCTGCCTTAAAAAACAGAACAAACAAAAATGTCCTAAGCCAGTTACCCTGGGAATGATTTCGGGAGAAAAGAAAATTTTCCTGAAGTCTCTCAAAGTAGAAATGTTGTCCGTCTCTCTGTGTGTGTGTGTGTGTGTGTGTGTGTGTGTGTGTTTTATTGGTAACAGTGTGGGGTACATATACATGTTTGGGGGGGTACTAATAATGTCTCAATATGCTAAAATCTCTGCTATGCTTTCTGTGGCCGAGGGTACTAACGACGAAGCTGTGTGTTGCAGTGGGACCCCGAAGACGGCCCTCCTGCTTCCTGTGCCAGAGGCCTGGGAGAAGAGGTGCTTTATGATAACGCGGTCCTGTACGATAACTTGCCGTCTCCGAAAATCTTTGCTCGCTACCCACCTGCTGACAGAAAGGCTTCTAGGCCGTCTCCTGACAAACTGTCCTGTAACCATTACAAATGCCCTCCCTCCTGCGGTCTGCCTCTCATTCAGTCTGCCACTAACCCCTCTTCTCTGGGGAGGGCGTCTCTCGGGCTCAGCTCTCAGGTACAGCATCTCCTTGCATCCTGTTCTAGAATTATCTGAATCGTGGTCCTCCTGCCAGGCATAGTCACCAACCCTGTAGCAGATGAGACTCATCAAGGGTGAGGTGGAATCTTTGCCTCAACCAGAATAGAATTTGCAAATGCAATCAACGTTTGGCTGCCTAAGAACTTGATTAAGCACTCCTAACTAGTTCGTGGCTGAAGCACTGTATTTCTTGGCCTAAATCTGGCTCTCTTTCTATTCTTGGAAATTTCCCCAGTGAATTTTGTGCATTACAAAATTTGACTAAAGGCAAAGATTTTTAAAAGGACAGGGGCAATAAAACTTTCCAGAAGATTCTTGCACATCCAGCTTTTTTAATGCTTCTACCATAGGTACACAAGAAACGCTGGACTCCAGGTAGTAATTGCTTTCGATCTTTAAACGTTAACTAGAATTTTCAGGGTCCCACAGTGTTTTTCCGTAACAAGTTTGAAAGTGTACTGCCTAAAACCGAGTAAGATGGTAATGAGGATTTGGGATTATGAGCGAATGATAATAACCTTGATGTTGAACTGCCAGCTGCTCCACACCCACAGTTACAGCAAACAATGAGGTTTCCGTGTAAATACTAACCTTGTGTGTTCATGCATTTTCCACCAAAGAATGCTGTGTCCTTCTCACACAAATCCAAGCACCACAACATGGCAATACTCGGCAAACAAATAGCAGATGCGTATACTTTAAATTATACTCTCTTTTCCCTCCGTTTCTTTTCTTTCATTTTCTTTTTTTTTTAAAAGATTGTATTTATTTATTCATGAGAGACGAACAGAGAGAGAGAGAGGCAGAGACACAGGCAGAGGGAGAAGCAGGCTCCATGCAGGGAGCCCAATGTGGGACTCGATCCCGGGTCTCCAGGATCACACCCTGAGCCAAAGGCAGGTGCTAAACCACTGAGCCACCCAGGGATCCCCAATTTCCCTCCGTTTCTTGGGTAATTTTAGGAAACACAGAGTGCCTGGTAGGGTCCTGGCATTTCACATAGCGATGGCTTACAACAGCTCCCTGCAACCCATCACCTCTCAAATCACAGGGCAGGATTTGTTTCTGATTTTTAGCCAAGCTGCTCAGATCTCTGGAGATTTCCACTAAGTGAACACATATGTGTCAAAGGACTTACTTTTTAGTTGGCATTAAAGTTTCGTTAGGTAGAATCTGTGGGACAAAGTACACCACCTTGTGCATTTGGATTGTCCCCAGATTACTTTGGAATGACTGGATACATCGTTTCTATGTGCTTGTTTTTATTCATTTCTCCCACTTTAAGTAGGAACACATTTGTGAGTTGAATTATCACACCTTTTGTTTTCCTGTGCTCTATTGGTCATTTTCGTAGGGCACCTAAGTGTTTAACGGAGACGTCTCCTGGTTATTGAGCACCTACAGTATGCCGCGTGTTGTGCCCCTGTCTGGCATGTCACCTGGCCTTTTTAGGAATGCTGCAGGGAGAAGTCAGTATCTTTATTAATTTTCTTTAATGAGCAAATGGAAGCTCAGAAAGTTGTAATGACTTGCTCGGCCTATCCCAAGTCATGGAGCCAGAATCTGCAGCAAGGTCTGTCTGCCTCCCCCAAGTGAGGCTAGATCTATGGCCTAGTGAGGGTACACACAACTCCCTTAAGCAAAACACGGCACTTGTTGACTTGCAGCAAAGGAGCAGAGGTACTGCTGAATGTTCTTTAAGAACCTGTGGCTACTTAAAAAACTCAGTTTGTGCTGTTCTGTGCTCTCCCTTGGCTTCCATCCTCTGCCCATCAGCGAATCAAAAGGTAGTTATGTGTCCTGTGAGGGCATCAGTCAGCGGCAGAGCCCTCCAAGCAGAAATCTGATGCTCGGCCATGCCTCTCCCCTAAAGAGCATCCCCTGGAGAGAAAAACCATTCATTTTTAGAAACACAAACGTTTAGTGATCTCAACCCACTGCTCTCAGATACCCAACTGCCTGTGCCAATGTCTTGATGAGCATTTATAATCTCCCCTTAGAAATACATATAACTTTGACTCTATCCCAACTGGACAGGTCCAAGTTCCTCACCTGCCTTGGAGCTCAGTTCTACACCTGCTTGTCCTGCGCAGGAAAACCATAGCAGCTCAGTGTTTGGAGATCAGACTGGTGTTCTGCTCCCTTCATTTTTCCTATCTGTGCTCGCTTATATGAATGATTCAGGGACTGAGACAATTTACTGGAAAAACAGATTTTTCTTTATTGCTTGTTTTTAATTCTCTTACATGTTTATGTCAACAGGTGAAGGGTAAAAAGCCCCCAGTAGCCTCTAGTGGGGTTACAGGGAAAGGGAAGACTCTGAGCAGCCAGCAAAAAAAGGTAGATTCTACAGCCGGCGTGAAGCGAACATCTTCAAGTAAGTTTATCATTCAGTTTCTTGGTGTAGTTTGCAGAGTAGGGGCCGTAAGAGCCATCTTTCCTCCCCACCTGCTCAGGTGGAGATGCCAGGCATGGGGGTAAGCTGGAGAGAGGGGACTCTACTCATTGTCACCCTCCCTCCTTGCTGGATTAAAGAATGGTGACAGTTTTTAACTCAGCTTTGATGACCATTGTGTATAAAGGAGAAGCCGGGCTGGTCTGTGATGTGTTGACGTGTTCAAACGTATTTAAGGAGGAGATGGAGTAGGTCCAAGGGATCTGGGGCTTTGGGTCAGGAGACCTTGATGTGTGTCCCCGATCTGTTGGTGACTTAGTCAAGCTGTATAAATGCTCTAAGCTCAGCCCCCTGTGTTGGAGATGGAGACAAATGGCCACTGTGGTTTCTGGGACGAAGTAATTGAGGCACTGCATGGGCCTCCAAGCATGAGAGCCATATAAGGATTGGTAAGGGGTGCGTCTTCCTGAGCGCCTTATGGTTTGTGAGCTGATACAGACCTTCTCCTGCTACTTCTCCCAGCCTCATCTCAGGTAGGTACAATCACCTGCCCCTTATGCAAGGGCAGAAATATTGTCTGAGAGACCGAGTGGCTCACCCAATGTTTCACAGCTGGCCAGTGCAACTACCAGGTTTCACACTCCAAATCTGAGCAGAGAAGCAGGAAGACACAAGTGAGAGATTCAACCTACCTGAGCACCTTACCGGCAGATGGATTAATTTAGGTGACAACATTGTGCACATGGGTGTGTGTTTGCTTCAGCCCTGGTGATGGTGGGCACCCATTCATTGTGCCAGCCCGGCAGCATTTATTCTCTTTGAGGTACTCTGCTTGCTGCCGGGGCTGCACAGATAAGACCGGGCAGTTGGCATCGAGCTGTTTTGAGCTCAAGAAGATGCTCACAGGCAGATCTGCAGGTATATGGCACAGGCTTTTACAAGGTTCAGGAGCTCCTAAGTGGATTTGGCTTGCTGGGGGCTCCCAGGGGAGGAGGATGTGAGGTAGGCTTCAGTGATGGGTTTGATAAGACGGCTTGGGAAGTTGTGTGTATACTTTCAGAATCTGGCTCAGTGTCACCAGTAGACCAGTCTGTGTTGGTGAAGATGAGGTTGGCCAGCTGGCTCCAGTTAGTAACCTCTCCCTGACTTACTGACCTGCCGGCACTGAAGGATGTTCAGAGTTTGAGAGGACATGGGGATGGAGAGGACGGCCTTTTCCGTCGTATACCCAGACGAGCCTTGGAATTGTCCAGGAGGGCTTGGCTGCTTCCACCCCAAGGGAACTTGTACTCTGCCCATCACCTTGTCTACACTTTCCTTGTCCTCATCCGCACATTTCTAGCAGACGGGTTGGGAGCCAGCTGGATCACAGTTTTATTGTGCTGACTTATTTTGACCTTATCTTTCTGGCAAATCTTATTTCCCTAATGCAATTGGGTGTATTTACAGTCACTTAAAATTTTAGTGTTGTTCATCTGGGGAGGGGTGGAGAAGGGAGGAAAAAGCCTGTGCCTGAAAGCTCTGCTGTGCAGGGCCCGAACCTCCTGGGATCTCTTCTCAATAGCTTTTCTCCCAGTGCCTTTGCTCATTTCATTTCCTAGGTGATTTATTCCTTTATTTTATGAGACCTTCTGTAGGGAATCTTTATTAACTTTGGTGACATCTAATGGTGACAAAAGAGAAAAATAATTGCATTCTATGTTTTTGCTGAATTCAGCCAGTTGCATTATAGACTAGATGAGGTTTACTGCATGGGAACCAAAAGATGTGAATATTTATAGGTTATTACATACCAGTTTCTTGGGGAAACATATCTGATCAGAAATAAGTGAACAGGGTGTGGACTTTGTCTGTGGAACGTGTCCTAACCCTGGCTACTCATTGCAGTGCTTTTCTTTCAAATTGTTGCTTTTGTTATCCTCACACTGAGATCCTCCTATTATCATGCTCTGTGTGTGCATTTTCTGTTTGTTTCTTTTTAGTGAGGAGAAGTGCCCTGGGGACAAATGAAAGATTTTGCACCTGCCTTCATAAACGCAGTGTTGCATCATAATCCTGACAGTTTGCATTGCAGGATTCAGTGAATTCAGCATCAAGGATAGGTGCTGGAAGTGGCTGGCCATTGTCTCTGAGTGGACAGGGCTCTGAGGCATCAGCTATCACTGGCAGTGATTACAGCGGCTGGGGGGTGTCTACCCCACCCCAGGCATCGCATAGTTTTGTGAGATAGGTTTTGAATATAAATATCATGTTTTTTTTTTTTAAAACTCAAGGTATGCCTTCCTGCTTCTGCTTTATAGAGGGTGAAGCTGAGGTTCATGGAGATTAGCTGCCAGCCCAGACTCGTAGGTTCCTTTCTGGCCCATGTCTCCGCCATGTTCCTGCCCAGAAGTCACTGCACACCCAGTGGGGCAGCAGACATGCAGGCAAACAAGTGCAGTGTTGCAGGGGGTGCTGTGGGGCGTGAAGACATGACGGGGCACATGATGTGCAGCAGACCTCCGAGTGGTGATCATGTGTGGAAGGCAGTGGAAGCTCCGGAATTGGTGACCCTCCATCACACCTGTGACATCTTCATCTCTTCAAGCTATTTTTCTAGAGAGGGTCTCTAACTTAGTATTATCAAAAGTTCAACTTAATTAGAGGAAAGAAGCTTGGGGTGGGATGTTAATGTGACATCAACTAGTGGTGTGACTCTGGTCAAGACTCTGATGGATTTCCTAAAGACTGGTTTCCTCTTTATTCTTCATGCATTCCTTTTATTTAATGAGCACTGGCATTGTGCTTGTTTGGAATGCTTCGTAAATATTAAATTGACCCTCATAAGAGCCCTGAAAATGACCACTTCACAGATGAGGGACCTGAGGCCCAGAGAGGACAAGCGGCCTCACAGCTGATACAACAAGCTGGAGCTCAAACTCAGCTGATTGGGTCTGGGCACCGCCGCATAAGACTCCCCATGTTCTCCATCCTTCACTCACTCAGTGGATGCCTGCATGCTCGCTGCACCGACCCCAGCGCAGGGGACAGAGCTGCTGTCCAGTCAGCCTGACAGCCAGATAGCACAGGCACTGGGCTTCGGTTTGGCCATGTTACAGAAGTGTCCTGAAAAAGAGAGAAGTACACAAATCCCAGAGAGGAGTCTTGATTTTGATTATAGAGTGCTCATCCTGTAATCAAGCCTTCCTGCCTCAAAGGATAGGGAGTTAATGGGATGTTCTCATTTTCTCACCTTGATTCAGACCATTGGGAAATTTGCCCTACTCACCTTTCTATTCCATTCAAACTAGTCCCATTCCTTTTCTTACCAAACTAGCAAAATAGCCAGATTAGAGTTTCTTTTCCTGATTTTAAACAAGTTTTATGAATTACCCTGTTATCTGCTTGGTTAAACTGAATTTTCTTTGGCTACTTTTTCTCCCCCCAAGATGCTGACCAGTACAAATATGGCAAGAATCGGGTTGAAGCCGATGCCAAGCGGTTGCAGAGCAAAGAAGACGAGCTGCTAAAGCGTAAAGAAACCCTGCGGAACAGGCTGGCCCAGCTCCGGAAAGAGAGGAGAGACCTGAGGGCTGCCATCGAAGTAAACGCTGGTATGAGGGCCACGGTTCTGGCCAGCCTGGGCACCTCCTTGGGTTAGCGCCTCAATTTCCACCCATTCTGCCCATGGGGTCTCACCTTAGTAAGGCCACATCTCCCCGAATGGTGCTGCTTGTAGTTTGGAAGCATTGTATGAGTAAGCCTGGGGCAGGTGCCATGGCCTGGGACAGTGGACTAGACAAGAGGAGGCCAGGACCACTTCTTGGCCTGCTCACCTGGTCTGCTCACCTGCTCCCAGAGACCCATGGTGCCAGGAGCTATCCCTGCCTCGTGTGTTGGCTGCAAAGATTGTCTGCAGGATGAGGGACAGTGTCTGAATTCTTGGAAGGGAGCAGGGAAATAGGCCAGGTTAGCAGAGACGCTCTCAGAGGGGAAGTCCTACCTAAGGCAGTGTTGGGGAGCTGAGTCTGGGCCTGGGGGGTGTCTCTGGCTCAGGCTTGTTCATTTGTGTAGTTCCTGGTTCTGGGGATGGAGCCGTTTAATGTAATCAGCTCAAGACTGGCCCTGATCCTGGGGCAAGACCGACTCCTCAGGTTTGGATTTGGCTGGCCTTGTTGGGACACAGAGGACCAGGAAGGTCCAGAAGGGAAGACAGCTGCTTTCACGTAGCTTTCCTGCTCACAGAGCAGTCAGCCAGCAGCTACAGCCCTTCTTGACTCTGCGCCTCAGTGACTTTTATGACAGGGAGAGCTTTTGGAGTTTAAAGTCTGGGAGGTTAGGTGTAGGCTACGCAGGTGGGAGATAACCCATAGGAGGGGCAGGACGTGGCGTCCGCCACCTGGAGGGAACCAAACGCGGAGTCAGAGGCCTGTGTGGGAGCCTCCAGGGCAATAAGACAGCAAGAGGATTGCTTCCTCCTGTTGTTCCAAGTTTGCAGGATAGCAAAGATGCAGAGAAGTGAGACTAGCTCCGACAAGGCTGGGGCCACACACAAAAAAGTCAGGCGACCCCTTGGAATCCATTGTTCTGCATGTCCAATGGCCATGTTACCTGCCTCCTTGTGTCACTGAAACACATTTCAAATAAAATGAATAAGTGAATGTGCCAGCTCTGTGAGGCACAAGCTTTATTGTAGTCGACCTGACGGGCAAGAGAGAGGACTCCGGAAGAGAAGGTAGAACCATCAGAGCAGGGAAGTAGTCAGACTACAAGTCAGCCACACCTCCGCCAGCCATCTGCTTAGAGTCCCATGTGCATAGGTGAGCATGTTGAGGCCTGGGTCTAGAATTCTGGGATTTGTGAGAATTGAGGGCTCTGGCTTCCAGTCCACAGTCTTCCAGCTGCAAGAAAATAGGGTGGTCAGGAAGGGCCTCTGCTCTTTTAAAGAACAGCTGGACTTGAGTTTTGTACTAGGGATGCAGGTCAGGGCCGCTCAAGGCAAAGACGTCTCTAGGGCTCCTGGGATGGGCTCCAGCACGGATCCTCTGTCATCTGAGACCTTCACCTGTGGCTGCAGTGACAGTGTGTCTATGGGATTTCAGGTAGGAAGACGCAGGTGGTTCTGGAAGACAAGCTGAAGAGGCTGGAGGAGGAGTGTAAGCAGAAGGAGGCAGAGCGTGTCAACCTGGAGCTGGAGCTGACGGAAGTCACGGAGAGCCTGAAGAAGGCCCTGGCTGGCGGGGTCACCCTGGGGCTGGCCATCGAGCCCAGGTCAGGGACATCAAGCCCACAGGTAAGGTCAGCGCCACATGTTCTGAGTCAACGTGCATTCTGAGCTGGTGACGTGTTTTCTTCTCTCTGTGGAAAGGTGGTGGAACCGGAGCCTATTTCCCTTCCTTTCTCCCATTTGATGATCAGAGGCACTGCTCTTCTTATCTCTTTTGAACCATGTCCTAATTCGATTCCAATTCATTAGCTAGACACCTTAATCTAATGTAGCAGATTGTTATGAGACGTGCAGCACGTCTTGGGAATCCTGCCAGGTGCCAGGAAACACGGCCTCCCCCTCAGATCTCACAGAACGAGTGGGAGTCACTTTGCAACATGAATTATCACCTTCAGTGACTCACCATTTGCTCTGATTGGACTAGCAGTCACTGAGAAGTTACTGCTGTCCTTTCCTCGTGACTATGCCCTCGGGTTCCTAGAGCCTGGGGAGTCTCGTGTCACCCCTTCCGTTTCACAGACCAGAAACCAGAAGCCCAGAGAAGTGCAGCAACCCTGCCTAAGCACACACAGTGTAGCAGGGGCAGCAGCCCTGGATGCAGGCTCCTTCTCAGAGGGGCCCGCAGCTCTCCGCCCCACCTCCCACTTTAAACCTGTCCTTCTCTGAAACTCCCATCCCCCCGTCCCTTTTGACAGCCACCCCTCAACTCAACTTTGAGAAATTGGCCCTCGCCTGGCAGAGCTGCTTCTAGCAGCAAGGCAGGGGCTCTCATCACAGAAAACAGGACACCAATGGTGCACCACCTCCTCCAGCCGCAGCTTCTAGGAAAGCAGCCTCTGGGGCCAGAGAGACAGGATTGGGGTCATGTCCCTTCTCGAGGCCTCACTCGGTCATCCACAAACTGAGGATGATGACATTGCTGCATCTGTGATAGCTCATGGCACCGTGCCTGGGCAGAGGCAGTGTGGGTTCATCATTCATGTATTTGTTAGTTCATGTGTTCATTCATTCATTCAACAAATTATGAATACATACCCAGGCAGTGCACATGCTGGGGGCCATGTGCTCCCCCAGGGACAGGGCGCAGTAGGCAGAAGGGCTGCCCCCAGGGAGCCTGTGTTCTGATAAGGGAGGAAGCCTGCGGGGTACGTGTGTGTCCACATTGATTCCCCCTGTGAGAACAACATGCAGGGAGTGTGAGTACACTGGAAGCTGGCACCCAAGGGCCAAGCCGCCCCACATCTCAGCGTCCCGCTTGGACAGGACCCAGCACAGTGAGGTCAACTATAACTGGAGGTGGGGCCCTGCTGGAGACACATGGCTTCTGGGCCCCTCGTGACCTCCACAGGGGTGGACCCCATTAGGCCCTGGCCTCCTGCAGGGATGGCCGCATCACCCCCAGGGGTCTCTCCTGCCCACCCCCTTCCTTCAGAGCCCTTCTGCATCCTCTGGGCCCCACACCCAGCCCCCTGCAGTCTCCCTCCTACCTCTCATCCCTCCCCTTCCAAATTAAGGTTTTGGAAATAGTTGTGTCTTCCCACAGTGTCCTGTTCACCTGCTCACTTCTCCACTTGCCAAACCTGCTTTCCCTAAGGTCACCTCCAAACTGGAAACCCCCCACCTCACCCCTGCCTCCAGACCCAGGCATCTCCAGACTGGCTACTTTCTTTGGTGACCCTGCATCCCCCTGGGAATCCCCTCTCTCTAGCAGTGACCCTGCATCCCCTGGGGGTCCCCTTTCTCTAGCAGTGACCCTGCATCCCCCTGGGGATCCCTTCTCTCCAGTGATGACCCCGCATCCCTGCAGGGGTCCCCTCTCTCCAGCAGTGACCCCGCATACCCCTGGGGGTCCCTTCTCTCTCGTGGTGACCCCACACATCCCCAGGGTCCCCTCTGTCCAGTGGTGATGGGACTGAGCCTCCCCACCCAGACCACAGGACCTGCTGGCTTCCTCTCCTGGGAGGGCTCTCCCTGGACTTGGGTTGCCATCACCTGCCCTGGTGTTGGCAGCTCCCTGCTCTTCCTACCCAGCCCTCCTCCCCAGAACTCGGGTGGTTGGGTGTATGTCCCAGAGGACTGTCATGGGCTGCCTTACAAACTCAGCGTGGCCTCTCACAGAGAGATGGTGGTGGTCTCTCCTTTCTGCCAGACACTCCATCCCTGACTCCTTCCCGGCCAGCATGGCTGGTAAGCCAGAACATGAGGAAAGCTGGCTGCTTGGCGTTCAGGGTCAGCAGCCCCTGGTAGGGATCCTAAATGACCCACTTTAAGGTTATTGAAAGCAGTGTTCTGCTTGACAGCATGCTAAACAACCCAAGCAGTGTTTTCAGGTCATGTGTTACACAGCAGTGATGGGGTTGGGGGGCGTCTGTGGCCCTGGGGGCTCATCTAGGCAGGCCCAGCTCACTGCCAGCACTCTCCCCTGAGGAGCAGCCTGTACCCCCTTTGGGGGGTTGGGAGGGGGGGTTTTCACTCCACTTTAAGTCTTCCAGAAGACCTCTCCATTTGGCCTCTGTATATGCTACAGATGGTTGGGAGCCCCGGTGTCACCCAGGCTGGGCTTGGGCCACGCTGCCGCCAGCCTCGGGCCCAGTGCCTGGCGCTGCCCGGTGGTCAAGGGCAGGTGTGCACGCAGAGCTCTCTGCAAGCACAGAGCAGTGTGCAGAGGGACGGGGTGGGGCCCCTGCCGGCCTCCTAGCCCCCCGGCCGTCCTGTCTGTAACGGACATGGAGAAAGTGCCATGAGACCCGGTGCTGACCCTGTGGAGTCATTCTCCTTCTCATTCTTGCCTGTTCCCCAACCCTGTGCGTTTTCTTTGAAACCTGCAGTCCTCCTGCTGGGACACACCACGGGCACGGAGACCACACCTCACTCGGGTCTTCTCTCTGCCTTGACAGTCCCCGGTTTTCAGGCATCGCACCCTGGAGAGCTCACCCATGTCCAGCTGTGAGACCAGCGATGCGGAGGGCCCCGTGCCGGTGAACAGTGCAGCTGTGCTGAGGAAGGGCCAGCCGGCCAGCGGCTCCCCCTGCCGGGGGCATGTGCTGCGGAAGGCCAAGGTGAGCTCCGCCCTCCCGCCTTCAGGACACCTGCCCTGAGGGGAGCTGGCTCCTGCAGGAGGGATGGGATGCGGGGGGAGATGCCCTGTCCTGACTCTCCCCAGTCCTCACAGTCCCAGCCTCCTTCAGGGGTCCCCCTTTTCAAAGGTGAAAAGCCCAGAACCTCACCCCAAGGCGCTGACCACCTGGTGTCAGGAGAAACAGCAGCTCTGGGTGCTCCTAGGATTTCCTTCCCAGAGTGGGGACTGGACCAGGTGACCTCTGGGCTCTTCAGAGAGGGCCCAGGTCTAGACCCTCCTCCTGCCCATGCTGCCCCTGACATTGTCAGTGGTGTGGGAGGTGCAGGATGATCCCCCAAACCCGCCCGTGCTCTCCAGTCTCCACATGGGACTGGCACTGATGAGCTTTGATGCTGGACTTTAAAGCTCTCAGAAATTGTAAAAACCACTTCTAGGTTCTCAGAGCAGACAGTTCCTGACGGTGCTAACTACAAGTGTGTCATACAGAAAAATCATACTTGAAGTAATTACATTAATTCATCAGATGAATTTAATTTGCTCTGACGGGTGTGGAGGCAGACGGCCTCTCTTTGCTGCCTCTGGGCCCGGCATTGCTATCGTTACGTTTGCTCCTGGGCAGCTTCAGAACCTGGTCCAAACTGCCTAGGAGTCTGCAGTTTTCGGAGAGGCAGGTCTGTCTTGGGGAGGAATGCGAGCGGCAGTGCCTTGGAGCCCTGGTGTGCTCATGGGGCGGCCCTGGTGGCAGTGGCTGTGGCCCCATCTGAGAGCTGGTGTCCTGCCCGGCAAGCGTTTGAAGCCCGTGTGTATTGCCACATCTAGGGCAGGAAGGGCTGCTGGGTATTTCTGTTACTTTTCCTAGCAGGCGTTGGGCATTCCGGGTTTGACCCTGTTAGCTCACGTGGGGGGGGGGGGTGCAAAGTGCCTAAGAGGTTCTTAGAATGGGGCCGTCCAGTGCAGTCCCACAACTGTTTGCAGCTGAGAAGTGAAGTAACAGTGTCTCATTTACTTGGTCTCTTTACTGTCAAATCAGATTTACGATTGAGCCGTTGCCAAGCCACGTGTCACACGGGTGCTCGGCGACCACCAGCTTGGGGACTGCAGCTCCTGCTGCTCCTCTGTGCTAAAGCAGGACGCATGGTCTCGGCAGGTTCATGCGCGGGGGCCACACTCACCAAAGGACCTAGCCGTCCCTGCTTGTGGGTCCAGGAACCATGCCCACAGCCTCACAAAGGGACTCCTGAAAACAGTGACATGGGACTCTCAGCTGGGGGCAGGGGTGGGGCTCGGCCTCTCGGCTCTGATCCTGAGCAGGGGCGCCACACACATGCCCTCATCTGCCCACGCCAGCCTCCGTCTGAGGACCAGCACAGGCTGGCTCATTCTGGGTGCAGGATGCATTAGCCTAGGCGGCGTTCCTAAAGTGACTCCAGCTCCTGACGAGGAATGTTCTGCACATGATAGCACACCCTGGAAACTCAGATAGTGTGGGGCACCTGTCACGGGCTTTCAGCTCCAGGTCCTCCATCCCCCTCCTTGGTCGGGAAAGCTGCATGTGTGGGGTCCTCTGGTAGGCCTGGCATGATGGCCCCAGCCGTGCTCCCAGAGCCGCCACAGGCGAGCCGCTGCCAGAGGCTCAGGTGCCTGGCTCCGCGGTGGCATAGCCTGGCTCTCCACAGCCGTGTCAGCAAGAGCCTCATGGGGCTTCAGTCTCCCTCTGTACACTCTCCTGGTGCGGTGTGTCCCTGCAGCTCTCTCTGGCCCTCCCTGCCGAGTGGCCACGGTGACCCCTGCTTGCCGATGGCAATGTATTTGCCAGACTCCTCGGTGAGACGACATGCATGCCTGTCCTGGCTATCAAACCCGCACGGCCCGGGGCCATCATGCCAGGCCTGCCAGAGATTGGTGAGCTGGGAAGGGGAAATGCCAGCCTCTGTTTTCCCTCTGGACACCTGCTTCCTCGGCCCTGTGGCCGTCTCAGGGCGCTGAGGAAGAACAGGGGGAGGCTACACTCGAGTTCCTCCTCCTCTCAGCACACCTGCCTGAAAGTGCTCGTGTGTGTGTTTTTAACTATTTTATTTATTCGAGAGAGAGTGAGAGTGCACGAGGGGAGGCAGGGCAGAGGGAGAGGGAGAAGCACAGTCCCCACTGAGCAAGGAGCCCGATGCAGGGCTCGAACCCAGAACCCTGAGATCCTGACCTGAGCCAAAGGTGAACGCTTCACCAACTGAGCCCCACAGGTGCCCCCGTGTGGTTTTATTGAAGTGGAGGGTGGCTCCGTTTTGACCTTGTTTCTGCCATGTTGGCTGATGCTCCGTTTTTCAGAAAAAGTGAGAAATGCCTAATTTCATAAGATGTGCAGAGCTGTGCAGCGAGTGAGCTCACGGCCCAGTGAACAAAGCCCTGGAAATTTCAGCAGGTGCTGGGTGTTCCCTCCGGCCAGCCCACCACACCGGGTGCCAGGCCCTGCGTCCACACACACCTTCCCCTTGATCAGCCCAAGGGCCCCATCGTTGATCTAATTCCTGGGTCAAACGGTAGTTCTCGAACTCCTGAGTGGCCACCTCATCGGTTTCCACGCTGTAGGCGGCCGGCGGCCGTGGGGGCAGCCTGTCTCCCAGCATCCGGCCACTTTGACCTGTACCCTTCCTCTCGCCACACCTAGGAATGGGAGCTGAAGAACGGCACGTAGAGGGACGGCAGGACGCCCCGCTCGCAGGCGCTGCCCCGCCGCCACCGCCGCAGGAAGCTCCGCCCGCGTGGCCACTGCGCAGGACGCCAGGGTTTGTGACTGAGCTCCGACGCCAGCGCCAGACCCGCCCGCGTGTCCTCTTGCTACTGTACTTGTTCCTTCTAAAGAAATTCACTTATAACACTTTGGTTTCCACCTCTCTCTGTCGGAGAGCAGTAGGGAGGTAGAGAGGTCCTACGGCAAACGAGAAGCTCAGTGAGGGCTTTACCCGTGTCCCCTGCACCCTGACCGCGGGGGACCGGCCAGTGCCCCCGCTGAGGCCTCGGTTGGCGGGAGGCCCGGGCCCCGGGCAGGTGAGCGCGGCTGGCGTGGGCCCTGGGCCCGTGGCGCCCGCCTGCTGAAAAGGCCGGGGCCTCCAACAGCGCCCTCCTGCCCCCCTCGTGCCTCAGCGTGCCCTTCCCACGCGCCCCTCCCCCTCATCACGAGAGGCGGGTGCGTGAGAAACCCGTGCTGTGAAGCATCTGTTACCTTTTCATTGTCTTTCCTCTGGACAAATGCTTTCGTCACCATGACGTGAAAAGCTGCCATTCTTTTTAAACTTTTTAAAAATTTCTTTTAATTGTGTGTTGCACTTCGCTCTAAGGGTTTTTCAGAGATTCTGTATCGTATTTTATTAATTATTTGTACTGCTTCTGAAAGGCAGCAGAGTGTCTGCTGCTTCACTAATGTGTGTTCCCCACCCTGTTCCCCAGTGTCCCCGACCCTGTCTGCCCCTCAGAGCCAGCAGGTGCCCCGGTCTCACCGGATGTAGATGGCGCTTCCATTTACAGGACGGGCTAGCCCCTTGAGAGGGAAGCAGGTCCTGGAAGTCGCTTGGCCTTAGAACCCTAGCATCCTGAGCCGAGCGAGAGCGTCTGTTCTCTCCCCGTGGCCCTGCCTCCCCCTGCAAACCCAGGCCAGAAGCGCGGGTATGCTGGGGCTGCTCCTAGCCCCTCGGGCTGAGGCTGAGGCCGGGTCTCTGCACCTGTGCGGCACTTCTGAGAACCGGCCAACTCCACTGTGCCTCCAGAGGGACCGTCTCAGGAATCCTCATCTATGGCCAGGTGCAGCCCCGGATGCGATGAAAGTGGGTCACCCCAGGATCCCTCTGCAGGCAGATTGGGGGGCGTGAGTCACACACCTATGCAAGGGCTTCCTGCTGAAATGTGGAAGCGTGGAGGTGTCAGCCTTTCATCCACCAAATACAGGGATGGAAGGCACGACACAGTCTACATGCTTCCCCCCCTCCCCCGTCCCAGCACACGTCCAGAGCCCCTCCAGGGCTCAGCCACTCTCCCGTAGGCCCTTCTTAGGACTGGGGTCAAACCAACCTCAGGGCTCTCAGGCCCCGCATGGCTGCATGAGATTTTGGCCATAGAGCGGGCAAGTAGTCTCCTGTGAAGGTGACAGTTTGCAGCAGGGAGCGGGGGCTGGAGCTGCTCCTAGCGGAGACGCGGGCCCCCATCACATGTTGGCAGATTAGGGCACATCTCCCTGGCACCCAGCACAATCAACCCCTGCCCCAGGAAATCTAGGGAGGAGGCCCCCAAAGCCTCTGGGTCCATCTTCCCAGTGCTGTTAGAGGAGCCCTGTCCTCCGTTGTCTGTCTGTGTGGGAAGCTGATTTTCTGTAAAAGGAAAAAGTTTGATCTACGGTAGGTTTTTGCTGCCTTCTGGTCAAATAAGATTCGCAAAGGCACTTGGGCCAACCTGCTTGGCAGCCAGCTTTGCCCAAGCAGCCCCCAGGTTTTGAGCATTAGGAGAGGAAACCTAAGCAGCCCGTGCTCCTGACCGTGGCCCAGCACAGCCAGGGAGATCCTGGGCAGCATGGGGACCCTCATCCCCATGGGTTTGCCCAAGGACATGGCCCGTCAGAGCCAGAGCCAGGATTTGGACCCTGGTCCTCAACTCCTGGTGTACCTATTCTGTGTCGAAACCCAGGTTTCAAATTCCCAAGCATAAGCCCTTTAAAGAGGATGGCAAGCTTAGACGGATCCTGCTGGTCCCACGGAGCCGTTGGAAGCGCACCGCGTGGAGGGTGAGGCCGCCGACAGGCTCCCGTGATGTTGTGTGTTCCCCTTGGTGTCTTTAGATTTGATCAGAAAGTTAGGTGAAAGGATTTGCTTCAAAATAAGTTATTTATTTGTATATGTTCAATAAATAGAGTTTTTAATTTATATCTGTACATATTAGACACACATTAGACGTCTTGTCAGAATTCTGGCAGCGATGTCATTTTATGGCCCTCCCCGAGCACCCCACCCGGCGGCCGCAGCTGACACATGGAGCAGGTGGGCCTCGGGAGCTCGCTGCGGGGGTGTCAGACACCTGCCACTGGGAGAAGTTCCAGTCCCCTTGAGGCGTCACCCGTCCCGTCACAGATGGTCCTGTTCACAGTAAGAGGATCCTGACCCAAAGTGGAGGGAGCGTGGCGGCCGTGCAGATGGGCCACCCTGCAGCTCCTGGCCACTTCCCTTAGCACCTGAAGCCTCACCGTCAGCTCTGCCTCTGGCTGTATTTGGTGTCATCAACCTTCAAAATCTCCTCCAGTTTTATGTGATTATAATGTCTTTAATCACTCACCCACCTTACGCACAGAAACAAAATAGTGGTTAAGGGCTTGCCGTGTCACCCGTGGCGCGAAACAAGCAGAAACGGTCACTTTTCCCCTGTTCAGAGACAGTAGAGGGTGGGGCAAGGCCCTGTGCAGGTCAGACCAGCCATCCCTGCCCTCTCCGGCCTTGTGGATGGTTCCACCACCTAGGAACCAGCATGGGGCTGGGGAATGGTCCAGATGAGTCTGGATCTTTCCCGGGTCTTCTCTGGATGACTGTGCATACACCCTGGTGTAAACCCATTCTGTCCACCTCCTGTTCGCACACCTTGGTGTTTTGGTGTTTTCGAGCCCGATCTTCACTTCAACTGTCCGAGTTCCAAAACCCCCAAAGCACTCAGGTTGGAGATTTGCCACCTTTTGCAAAGCCTGTTTCACACCGCGTGTGCGCTCGGCCCCACATCCACCCCCAGGAAGGAGACTCAGACCCATCTGAAGCGCAGCAACCATCGGGAACCTGGGTGCAGGTCTGCACAGGGACAGGCGCACGACTGGGGGCGGGCCCGGGGGCTGTGGGCAGAAGCGGGCTGCCAGCGTGCTCTCGGGAGGGGCCGGAGTCACAGCAGGCAGTGCTCTGGGTTCGCTCCCCCAGTGCTGTGTCAGGGCCTCCCGACGGTGGGCAGCAGGGTGGGTGCCTGGGGACGGGGCCCCTCGTGCCAGCGAGGACCCCTGTGGCCCAGCCGGCGCACCCCTTGCAGGTGCCTCTTCCAGGAACGCCGCAGTCTCCACCGCCCCCCGGGGTCCTCAAGGTGGCACCGCTCAGATGTTCAACTGTTGCCTTCCTCGTTTGTTTTCCAAAAATGATTTTTTTTTTCTTAATGGGATGTTTTTCAAATCTGTGGCGTTGTTTTAAAGAGAGTGATTCTTACTCTTTTTTTTGTTGTTCCCGTTGTCACTGCTGGCTCATCACTGTCCCCATGATGGGCCAGGTTGATACTGTGAATACATGAAGGTAAACTGCACCCCGTGCCCCGCGGTGGGCACAGCCTCTCGCAGGGGGCTCCTCTCCACGAAGGCCCCTCTGGCCCCTCTTCTGTGAACAGCGCCCCCACTGCCTCCCCCCGGGGAAAGGTGCCCACCCCTGGCCTGGGCAGGTGTCACCAGGGCTCCCGAGTGCTGCCCGGGGAAGGCGCGTTTTCGCCATAGGATCATCAGATCACGATTCTTAGGGACCAAAGGCGTTTTTAATAAGATAATCTTTGTATTTGATTTTCTAATGAGAAAGGAAACAGTGACTTTAAATTTTAACACCAAACTTTTTAAAATTATAGATATTTAGCATTAATTGACCACGGCTCTAAGTTGTAAAACGTTTTCATAGTAAGATTGTAATTATTTCCTTAACTGTATTTTTTAAAAACTAAAGTCATATTTAAAATTCTCTTTGAAAGAAACAAGCAAGAAACAGCAAAGATTTTTTTTTAAATTAAATCTGTTGGCGGTGCCCATTTTAGAGGACTGTAGATATATTTTCACTGTGTTTCTCAGTGTATTTAATTCATAAACTAAGAACTTTTATCAGAGGAAACTTCCGATGGAAATACCAGTTTTCTGGCCATTTGCTCCATGTTGTAATCACCTCACCTGAATTTTCTGCTTTACTAACTGATTTTTCTACTGTTTCACACGGTGTATAGCCCACGGACTGGCGCCATCCGGCGTGCCTCATTTGTGTGTTACCAATAAAGCTGTACGCTTCCAGCCAGCCTCCGTGTCCTCACTCCCGGCCCTCCTTTCTGCCGAATGGGGGCACTTCGTTGACAGCCACCTGCCAGGTGGGAGAGGAGGGGGAGCAAGGAGCAGGTGAGGGAGAAGGTGGGCGCTGCGCTTTGTTTCTATGAGCAAGGATCCTCTTCCATCGAAGAGCCTCAGATACTGTATTTTCAAGTTGCTGTTAGTCCACGGACCCGAATATGCAATTGAAGAAACGTTTGCGCACCTGCCGAGGGCCGGGCTCCGGGGTCAAGTGCTGGAAACAGTGGTCAGATGTGACTGTTGCTGTCAGGAGCCCCGTCCTCACATGAACAGCCCCTCGAGGGCACAGGCCGACGCCGAGACACCTGCGTCACAGGGGGAGGTGCAGCTGCCCTCAGGACAGGTGGGTAGGGTGGGTGCTGGAGCTAGGTCACGCTGTGTGAATAGGAGTTCAGTGGGGAGCAGAGCAAGGGAAAGATGTTGCCATCGAGGGCAACAGGAGCAGGGGGTGGAGGGTGGGAACGAGGGGCGTGAAGATGGGACAGGGGCGAGGGAGATGGGAGTCTGGGCAAGCCCAGCCTCCTCGTGTGGGTGCAATGGGGAGGACCGCTGCCAGCCAGGACCAGGATGAGTCTGAGTGACAGCCGTGGCAGGTCTGTGTGGACACACCTGCCTGGTGTCAGAGAGGCAGAAGTGCCACCCGCAGGTGCACACGCCCGGTCTGAGCTGGCTGACAATACCGAGCAGGCGCCCCTGCCCCGGTGACTGGCTCTGCCCCGAGCACTCCTTGACCTGGGCCCGCGCAGGGAGCTCGCACAGGCAGGATTCGGCCCGAGCGGCGGGGCCGGCCGGTCGTTGGGCAGAACACACGGACGGGCAGCAGGTGCTGCATGGGTGAGATCAGCGTGGGCCTGCTGGTCTGGAGTCTGCCGGAGACGCCAGGTCTGATCTGGGGCCAGGTGTGGGCGACGGCCCAGTGACCTGTGTCTGTGTGGGACCCGGGGGTGTCCAGGTGACTGAGTGCCCACCCACGCCCACTGTTCCTGGGGCAGGGCCAGACGGCCCAGTGGTACCCCTCACCCCGAACTCTCCCTACACTGTGGGGCAGGGCTGGTCACATGGCAGATGGTGGGAGGCCGGAGGCGGACCATCCTCCCTCTGTCTTACAGGAAGGGGGTTCCCAGAGTACCCCGTGCACTTAGAGGCACAGAAGTCACACGCCCCACAGAGAAGCAGGGGGCAGCGTGTGCCCTGCCCCGGCATCAGCTGTTCCACGTGGGCCTCTGTGTCTCGGGGAGGCTTCCTGAGCCGGCCTTAACGATGCTCTTCCTCGGGTCTTGAACGCCGGTCATGTCCTGGTGGGCCGCCGATGGAATAGGAAGCACATCTTTGATCTCTGTTAAAACTGGGCTAGAAGACAGCAGAGCTCCCGGCTTTGCTTTCTAAAACCACGGAGACGACTCAGGGACATCCATCACGTGTGTTATAGTTTTGGGGGCGGGTGACACGAAGCCTCCCTGGCCCAGCTCCTTCATGGGAAGCAGGGAAACTTCAGCTGACGTCCGTGATCCAGAAATTTTATGATGGAAACCATCAATTTTACGATGCTGTTAAACGGGGCCATGTCTTCATACGGCGGGACCAGTTAGTCGGGAAGCGCGGTGGGAGACACGGGAGGGAGGCTGACCCGGGCAGCGGGTCCAGGACGCTCACCTCCTGACCTGGGAGCTCGCTCCAGCTGGTCCATCCGGAGCTGCCACCGGGCTGGGGGCCCCACAGAGCTGCCGGCTGCCGGCCTGCCCCCGGACGGACAAATGCCCTCCAGGGCCGGCCAGTTCCTGGAGATGGCGGGGCGAGACCGCACATGCTCACCAAGCACTCTGGAGCCCAGCCCCCAACCATGTCCACCGTGGTGCCCCCACGCCCAGGCCCTTCCCTGCTCCCTGCAGGGCCGGGTGCCAGACAGCAGGGTCAGCACCCCCGGTCCAGAGCCCGCTGAGCTCCCTCACGCCGGCCAGTCCTCAGCCTGTTGGCAAGGCCCTGGAAGGCTCCGGGCAGGGAAGGGGCATGACCTCGGCATGTGTCCAAGCTCGGAGGACGCCGTGCGGAGCTGGCCCCAGGCGGTGGTAGAGGCCATGGGAGGCCAGCTGGACGCAAGCACAACCAGGCCTGTGTCCAGCCTCGCGCAGCCCCTCCTGCCTACATGGCCCGAACGCCCTCAGATCGGCCTGTCCCCACGCTGCCGTTGCGGCGTCAGCCCGTCCGCTCAGGAAGCCTGGTGGGCTCCTCCCGTCCACACCTCCGCCGGGCCAGCTCGGGTCACTCGGGAATGGGAGCAGCAGCTGGTGGCAGGGCTGGGTGACCCCGGGGCAGAGGTGTGGAGGGAAGGAGGCGGTGAGGGCACCCGGAGCTGGGAGCCGCAGGCCAACAGGCAAGGCACTGGCTGGGCCCTCCTCCCTGAACCCCTGCCACAACCCCCACCCCGCCGCCCCCCGCACCCGCCCACCTTGCTCAAGCCAATCAGGACACTCAGGGAATGTTCCCTGGGCATCTCAGGTACACACCTCCTGGAGAACTGCGTCCCTCCTGTGTATGGTGGTGAGTGTGTGACTCAGTGTCCCCCCAGGACCACTTCTCCCCACACGACCCATGGCTTCCTCATCCCACCACGTCGAGTGGCATCTTGGGGACCCCCGGCGATAACGACACAGTAGAAGGGGCCCGACCAGCAGGGCCACCCTCCCATCCGCCCACCCCCTGGGCTACAGCCTTCCCTCCCCCTGTGCTCGGCTCTCTCCTCCTCCCTGCCCTGGAGCACTCTGGATGCCCCCACAGGCAGAGGGGCCCCACTGGCGCGGAAGCTACGAGGAAACATCCCTTGCGGCGGCCAGGCCTCCCGCATGTCCCCTTCCTTTCTCTCCAACGAGGGCTCAGCGTTCCCGGGACACTGAGAGCCCGAGGACCTGGGCGCAGGCAGATGCGTGCCTGAGCCCTCCCTGCACGCCCCGCCGTGCTGCTGCCCTGGACAAGATGCACGTGGCATCCCCGTCCCATCCTGCTGGATGAAGCCGACGGGAGGAGCAGGACCGTCCACTGCCCCGCGGCCTTCTGCTCTGTTCGAGGTGTTTTTAAACACACTCCGTGTTCCACGGGGCCGGGAGCTCTTCAGGGGCCGGCACGGGCCGCTTGTCTCGGCATCTTTGCTGCCCAGCGCAGCCCTTGGCCCGGAGATGCCGTTCGCAAACACCCATGTGACAACAGCAATGCCGACCCCACCGCCTACGGTGACAATGACAGCCACACCCGCCCGTGCTTGCCCCACGCCGGGCACTACGCCTGCACTTTTCAACATGGGCTCGCCCAGCTGCCGTGCGCTCGCCGAGGACAGGCCTCTGGTCCTCGGCACCGTGAGGCTTCGATGGAGGCGAGACCCCCCGCTGTGGGGTGTTGGGCCCGCAGGACGGACACTCTGCTTCCTCAGCTCATCCTTCATTCATTTCCTCATTAGGGATTTATTTGTTTAATGCCTACTGTGTTTGGGGTGCTGCAGACACACGAGGAACAGGCAAGCAGAACCCCGGCCTCGCTGAGGCCGCCTGGCGAGGTGCGCGACCCCAATACACGTGCAGCCAGAGACTGTGGGGGCCGTGAGAAGGGACGCCGGCCTCAGGTTGCAGCGTGCTGGGACTGCGGGTGCTCTGTGGGGCACCCGGGAGAAGCCCGAGGCTGGGATGTATGTGGGTGACTCCCCCCGCCCATCATCCTGATCCCAGGGCGTCCAGGGGACACCAGCAATGCAGAAGGGGGTCGTTGGTCCAGGGAGCATTCTAGAAAAACACGTTGTAGTGGCTGCTTTTTGCAGGTTGGAGCTAAGAAGAGGGCTGTCACCACTGAGCCTGGGTCCCCGAATCCCAAGGGGAGAGGGGACCCCGGGTAGCAGAGTCTGGATGGCAGCTGGAACCTTCCAGAGACATGTGGGCTTACTGTGTGAAGTGGATCATGGTAACTGGGCCGCAGGGATGTGCGCAGGGACTGACCATGGTGTTCCCTGGATGGACAGGTGGACGGTCCACTGAGGTCACAGCTCGGGCCCCCCAAAACAAGCACGCTCCAGACCTGGCAGTTATAGTGACAAGGGTGGCTGAGTCCCCACTGCCTCCCAGACCTGGACGGGTCACGTCCCTGGAGCCCCTGGGACCCGGGGGGGTTGCAGGCCCTTGAGGCCTGATGCTGACCCGAACCTGGAATGTGGATTTCCTCCTAACTTGCCCCAAACGTACTTACAGCAGGCACGTGCGCTGGAGAGAGAAAATTCGTTGCTCTAGGGCATTCGGGGACGCTGGCTCTCACCTGCGGCAAGTTCCTGGGGACCCCGACGCCAGTAAGGCCACCTGCCAGAGCAGGTGCGTGTGGCTGTCGGGTTGTTGGTGGAGCACTGGCCCCCGCTGTGTCACCGCGGGTCTGGTGTGTCCCTGAGCCCACCCCGTGATGACTCCCTCTGTTCTGAACACGCAGGTGGCAGCCATCCTTAGCAACCTAGCAGCCTAAGAAGCCTCCTTGGTCCCCAGTGCCAGGGGGTCACCCTGGGAGCCCCTACCTGCGAAGATCATGAACAAAGGCAATCCCACGAGAGAGTAGTGCCACCTGCCCCCATATGGTGACTCCAATCACATCCCCATCCCTTCCTTATTTTCCCATGAATGGCAAGGAGAGCACGTGACCCGAGGAGGTGATGGGTGAGCAGTCGCAGCCGCTCTTCCAGGCGTGGCATTTCCTATAGGAGTGCACAGAGCCCCCAGGCCTGGGGTGCACACAACCTGGTGTGTGCCTTTCTACGCTCTACCTGCTTGGGGAAGCCCCCACGAGCGAGCTCCCAACCTGGTGGGAAGGGCGGCACACCTGCCCAGGTGTTTCCAGAAGGCCCATCCACGCTGCAAGCACCCCGCTCAACCCACCGGTCAGTCGGGGCTGCTGAGGACAAGCAGCGGGTTTCCGGGGGCCTTGGCAAGACGCGAATGCGCCGGTCAGGTCAAGTCAGGAAAACGGAGGTGCCCTGGGCGACCCTGGCAGGAGGGATTCCGTTGGGGAGGCAGGGGCTTCTGCAGCGGGGGCGGCCGCCAGCCAGGAAAGCTGCCCAGGAAGTCTCCCCCTTAGCACCGGAGACACCAGGTCTCCTGACCTTGACCAGCAGCGGCCGGGACCCTCCTGGAAGTCGCCAGAACCGAAGCAGGTGAGGGGGTCCCAGGAGCCAGCCGAATGGCCACAGATGGCGCACCGTCGGTTCCAGGCAAGGCCCTGGGGAAGTCTCATTTCTTACTCGACCTCGTTCCACGTTTCCTTGGGTAAATACTGGGAGGTGGCGCGAAGCCACCACGGCCCTTTCCCGCTGGCCCGCCGCCCGCTGTGTGCTTGCAGTCGGCCCCTCGGTGGACAGGAGAGCGGAGTCGTTCTCTCTCAGAGGTGCGCACATCCTACTTCTTTTTTTTTTTAAGATTTTAGTTATTTGACAGAGAGAGTGAGCGAGCACAAACGGGGGGAGGGCAGAGGGAGAAACAGCCCCCCGAGCAGGGAGCCCGATGCGGGGCTCGAGCCCAGGACCCGGGATCACGAGGTGAGCTGAAGGCAGACGCTCAACCACCGGAGCCCCAGGCGCCCCAGACATCTTGGAATGTTTGCAGACTGCGCACTGTCTCCCCCTTCCCCGCCGAGTGGCCGCCACCTGGACCAGGCTCCTGGCTTTGCCCCTTCAGCCTGGGGTGGAGCGAGCGGGCAGGCTGGCGGGATGCTCCCCCCGCAGCTGTTCTGTTTATTCTGGTCACCACGTTTTCATCCTCGAAGTTGCAATTCGGAACGGTGCCGTCTCTACGCCGGCGCCCCCTCAGCTCAGTCCGTGCGCACGGACACCCGTGATGCCCGTGAACGACGCGCAGGAGGCTGCCTTGTGGATGCATGGGGAAAGGCCGATTTTTCTGCATGAGTTGATAAAGGGCGGCCTGGCGCTGGCGTGGGCTGTGGCGAGGCCACAGGAGAGGTGGCACAGAAGCCCCGGGACAGCCCGCTCGGTGCAGCCGGGACAAGGCGCCTGGCCGTTGCTGGGGCTCGTCGTATCCACGCGCAGACGGGGCTGCCGCATGTGCTCGGTTTTGCCTTGACTCCCGTGGCCCCAGGTGTGTCTGGTGGGGTCAGGACCACACCTGGGGAGGTTTCCGAGCACCGTCCCCTGACGCGTGGGAGCCCAGACCTGAGGAGCAAAGCCAGACACAGAGCCGCGGCCCCACCATCCCCTGGAAAGGGTGCCGTGTCCCCGAGTGCTCAGGATGCTCGCATGTGCCAGCCTGCTGTCCAGGGCACCCCGCCGGCCCCGTCTCTGCCGCCCACCACCCACTTCACCTCACTTCCTTCTGGGACCACATGGCGAATGTGCATATGCTCCTGCACAGCAAACCCGGGAGCGTTTCCACGTCTCTGACGCAGAGAGAGGGGAAGGAACGGGTTTCTTGACAGGACCTCACAGCTGAATTCCAGAGCAGCCCCGGTGGATGCTTGCCCACCAGGGCCAAGGAGCGCCATTTGGAGGCCAGGGCAGGTGAGTCTGGCCTCCTGGCTCGTCCACGACAGGCTGCATGGCACCTCAGAGATCGTGATCGCCCCAGAGTGTGCTGTCGGGCTGGCCCCCTCTTGGCCCTCCACCCGCTGCGGCCTCTGCTCCTCACCCGGTAAATGGGCCGATGCCTCCAGGCCCTCCCGCTGGCCCTGAGAGCAAGAAGGGAGCCAGCACGCAGGTAAGGGCCTCAAAAGCTGACGGGGAGTGCTGTTGCGTTCGTTGCAGGTGGCGCGTCCCCAATCCAAGAGGGTGACCGAGAGGGTAATGTCACTGCCACCTGCCCCCAGGGTCAGGCACAGCACAGGTCCCTCTGCTGTGTCCCGGAGACCACAGTTCCAGGGGCCCCATGTGCATATGTTTAGGTAAACGTGGAATAATCGCTTCATAATAAGGCAAAAGCTGATTATATTCATTTAATCTTTGTTAAAAGCATCACAAATGATTTATTGATTTTTAAAAAGGAAAAATAAGAAAGAATTTTTCGCATCTTTGTTATGTGCATATACCAAGTATGGGCCTAGCCCGGTCGAGTGAAGCGTTAGCTGCCCACCGCAGACCACACCTTATCCCCAGGCGCCTGCGTACACCTGCACAGCAAATATGCAGAACCTCGAACGTACAACCAGATCATCCACAGACCTACACGCTGATCTATATGGTTATGGGGATGGACAAGTGTAAGGTTTTGTCAGATGCCACCTTATTCCCAGGCTCTTGGGTCCACACACTCAAAATAATCTTAATAGAAATAACAAAATACAAGAAAAACACAAATAACTAAGGGAAACAAACAAACAAACAAAAAAAAAAACACCCAAAAAAACCAACCCAAACAGCAGAGAGAATGAAGTCGAGTGGTCAAGGAAGGTCCAAGGGGTGGTGACCCGCAGGCACTGGTGAGCTGGGGGGCGGGGGCCGTGTCCAGGGGACTCCATGCTGACCTTGACCTTGGACCTGGATGGTGTGGACAGGTGTCTGATCCTGTGTGTCTGATGCTCATGGGGCAGGCCGGTGGGGGGGTGGATGGCAGGATGCAGGGCTCCCTGTTGTCTTTGGAGACTGCACATGGGCTGAGGGGAGGTCATGGCAAAGGTCCCGAGAATCCCCACATCTTCCCACGCTGACCTCACAGCAATGACCCCGGGTCCTTGGGCCCTAGCCCTTCCCCCGGAGGGGATTGAGAAGGGCCTAGAGGTGTCCTCTGGGGTGGCACCCAGGAACCCCAGCTGCTGAGCAGGGGGCCTGGGAAGAAGGAGGCCTCCACCGCCTGGTGTGTGGGCACAGTGATCCCTTCCTCCCTGTGGTCTCCGAGTCCCTATTTGTGACACAGAGATGGAGGGCCTCCTGTGTGCAGGCGGGCGGCTGTGGGTGTGAGGGTTCGGCCCTGGGCCTCCCCTCCTGCAGGCGCCACCTTCCTTTCCTAGGGGAGGTGGGTTAATGCCCCTGGGCCTCATTCTGGACTCGCCAGCAGCCAGTGAGCTCCTGGCCTGGGCTCTGCTGTGCCCACCTCCTAGGGAATGGCCCTGGGCCATGGGGAGCCCTGCCGTGGAGGGGACAGGAGGAGGGGCGGAGGGAGGGAGGGGAGAAGGAGGGAGGAAGGGAGGGGAATACTGACTTCCGGTTTCAAGGCAAAAGGTGAACATCTCCCCCGTATATTCGCAGGTGTAGACTTGGGCTAGCGTCCCTGATTCTAGGCATCTGTGACTGAGCTGAACCAGCGCACCAGGGAGCAGAGGGCTGGTCCCTGGGGCACCTCTGCTACTGCCCTGCTGTGTGACTTTGGGAGAGTCACTCCCTCTCTGGGCTTCGGTTTCTCCACCTTCAGAATGAGGGGTACCCTCCTGGATGACCCTCTGGTTCCGCCACCTGAAACCACTGCTGGTCCCTGGGCTCCCACGTGGGTTCCTCACACCCACACGGTGAGGGAGCTCGGAACCCTGGGCGTAGGGCCTGCCCGGAGGAGGAGACCCTGGCGGGTGGGTGGGGAGCCTGGGGAGCACACTGTCCGCTGGCTATCGGCATGAGGGGTGGCCCTGGGTCCCTGTGGTCCAAGGGCCACCGGGGACAAAGCTGGGACAGCGCTGGCCGCTCTGAGTCCCCGGGAGACTGCGGAGCCCAGAGAGGCAGAGGAGCAGTGCTGGGCCCTCCTGAAGGGGTCCCGAGAAGGGGGCTCTGAGAAAGCAACACAGGTGCCTACTGCCTGGAAAGGGGTGCACACCCCCAAAATGCAAGCAGCTGCCTAGAGAGGTATTTACAACATCTGCAGTTTACAAACAGGCGGACAGTGGGAGGGAGGCCTGGGGCAGGCCTGGGGCAGGTCCCAGAGGGCGAGGGCGGCTGCAGAGGGAGGCCATGCAGGTGGGAGCCGCCCTCCCAGGGCTGATGAGGAGGGAAGCAGGCCCCCCGAGCCCCTGTGCCGGGACAGGGCCCACGGTGCAGTGACGGGCAGCCCGGGCAGGCTCACCGCCATCTCCAGGGTGGCCGGGCCTCGGGCTGGGGCGACAGGGTGACGGGCAAGGGTGGAGCAGCCAGGGCAGCCAGGCGGGGGCCAGAGGCAAAGAAACACCCAGAGTTGGGGTGGGGGCAGCGGGTGGCGCCAAAGGCCTGGTGTCCAGGGGGTCGGGGGGCCCACAGGGCCCCCCCGTGCGTCTCGTGGGCTGGGCGAGCGTGAGCTGAAGAGAGGGGACAACTGTCACCGTGTGTGGGGACAGCTGGAGGAGGTGGCGCTTCCGCAGGTCTCTGAGGGGACGCGGGTCCAGGCACCGGCGCCTCCGGGGATGAGACGGCGCAGAGGAGAGTGTCCCGGGCGCAGGCCTCCGGGGACATCAGCTCACCAGGTAGCTGTGCATCTCTCGGGAGTTGATACTCAGGACCACGCCGGAGTGGTTCCCTGGGAAACAGACACACGCCTGAGCACCGGCCCCCACTGTGGGGGCGCCCCGACACAGGGTGGCCTCAGGGGCGCCCGTGGCCAGCATGCGGTGGGCACCAAGGTTCCTGCAGCCGCGTGGGGGGTGCCTGAACCGGGGGCAGGCGGGGGTGAGTCTCTCCGTCTCCCAGGTGCGAGACAGCGTGGCTCTCCCTGTGCAGCCCTGTGTGGACCCCGGGGGGCCCCTGGAGGTGAGGCCCAGGCCACCCACTGACCTGCAGAGGGGCGGCCGGGGCAGCGGCAGCAGGGGGCTGTGGGATACACTGCGGGCCCAAGGGGCAGCGGGTGCTGCAGGGCGTGGTTTGGGGAGGGCCGGGTGGCAGGAGACAGAGGGGGCCCAGGCCTTAGCTGGGGGTTCTGGGTGGGGGATGTAGTAGGAGACCAGGGGACAGAGGTCTGGCCCCCTGGGAAGGGGCAGGGGCAGACCCAGAGGGCCCCTGGGAGGGGGCGGGGGCACACGGGGAGCTGCAGTCCACCCGGCCTCCCTCCACCTCACCCGCAGGGAGAGAGAGGCCCATGGCTGTGCAGCACCTGCCAGGTGGCCTGCAGGATGAGGACCCTGAGCCCGAATTCTGGGGGACACCCTCACCAAGGCCCACCACCTTGTGGCCTCGGTGTTGCCACCTATAATGTGGGCATCACAGCACTGCCCTCGAGACCCTGTGGGGATTACATGGGAGACGCACCTGGTGCATCCTAAGTGCTCGATTAAAATAACCTGTTATTATTATGCTCCTATTGTGCTTGAGGAGCTCAACCACAGCAAATGGGTGCCAGAGGCTGAAGAGCAGAGCTCAGGTCATCCAGGGACACCCATGCCCTCTGTCCCGGCCTGGGGAGCCTTGGGTCCACTCAGAGCCTCTGCAGCCACTGCTAGCACAAGGGGCTCTGACATCACCTGCGTGAAGGTGGGGACTGGCCACCTGGGAGGCGGCCTGGAGCCCGAAGCAGGGGAGAGTTGGGTGGAGGGGACCTTTTGGCTGTACAGGGATACCCCCCCGAGCCTGGGGCTGCTGTGCAGGGTGAACACAGGTTTGCATTCGGCTCACAGCAGCTAAGTGACTTGGGTGGGCTGAGTGGCCACTCTGAACCTCAGATTTCTCTTCTGTCAAACAGCCTGTCTGCCGGGAGCTCCACAGCCCAAGCCGGGCGTGGAGCCGGTGTGCAGGACATCAGAGCTGTTACCATGTCCCAGGAAGGGGCAGAGGACCCAGGAACACAGCAGGGCCAGCATACGTGGGAGACAGTGGCCGTGGTGCCAAAAGTCAGGGACCCCTGCTGAGATTGGGGGGTTGCAGAATGGGTGGGGGTCATCTGCCCGGCCACCCCAGGGAGAAGCTGAAGGGCACAGTCTTCAGGGTCTGGCTGGCCTGGGTTGGACTCAAGCTCAGCCACCTGGGGGTTGTGCTGACGGGGTGAATGCCTTCATGTCTCTGAACCTCACCTCCAACTACTGACAGAGCGTGGCCTCTGACTTCTGCCTCTCCCAGCTCTGAGGGTACAGCAGGCACAGCAAGGGGGAGAACACAGTAGTGTAACCCCATGGTGCCCCTGCACCACTGTGCTGGCCTGGGACAGATAGGGGCTGAGGGCAGGGAAGGACGGAGGGCGTGGGCTCCAGGGTCCCAGTTGCAGCCCCTTGCCACCAGCCAGGTGACCTTGGGCCTCCTGGGCTTGCTAACCTGGAGTCACCACGAGGTGCTCACCCCCTGCAGCCAAGCAGGGCCACAGCCCCGTCTGCACAGGCTCCGAGACCTGGGAAATCCCAGAAGTACCCGGAGCCTCAGTTTCCCTCTGGGACATGTCATGCTCCTCGTACAGTGTGGCCCGGGCTCTCCCCATTGAGCGGTGGAGGCCGTGTTCCCTCCCCTAAAGATGGACAGACCTTGTGGTTGCCTCGACCAATGGAGCAAGACACAAGTGACAGAGTGAAGGGCGACACAGCGGTCCCCTGGCTGGCTGACTCTCTAGTTGCTCTAGAACGTGGCCACCGCACTGTGCGGGAGCCCCAGCCACAGAGAGAGGCCACGGCAGGCGTTCGGGGGCCAGCCCCAGCTGAGGGCACAGCCGACTGCTGAGTCAACTGCCCACGGCCGCGCAAGGAAGCCCGGAGGGGACCCGCGCCGTGAGAGACGTGGGTGAGGAGCGCCAGGTGGGGTGCGGCCCAGCCAGCAGTGTGAGCGGGGTTGGTGGCCCAGTGTGCGGGGTATGCAGTCCGGCCGGGGTGCCCCGCATGGTCAGGAGCCAGGGACCACAGGTACAAGAGCATGTCGTAGACCGTGAAGTGCGGTGCGCAGGTGCTTATGTCCGTGTGCACCAGCTCACAAAACCATCATTTCCAGTGAACAGGACAGCTGGGGCGTGGAGGGTCACTGGGGAGAGACCCCCAACATCCTGAGAACAGAGCTTCCCCGGACAAACAGCCTCCCCCAGGGGGCTGGACGGGGGGCTGGGGTACGGCCAGACATGGTGCCCGGTGTCCCCAGGCCTGTGATTTCAGCTCCGGTCACCCTGTCGTCAGATGGAGGGGACACGGCACCACTGTCCACCTGGCCCCGGGTCCTGTGCACTTAGTTGGCCAGAGGCGGCCAGGCGGGGACCCACAGGAGGGTGGGGAGGGGGGTTTTCAGGGCGGGCGTTACCTAGAGTCTGCGAGTCGAGATCATCATCTATAAACTCCTCACCCTGGATGACGCTCTGGACGCCCTGGCTGTGGCTCACGGGGCTCGTCATTTCCTGCTCCTTCTCGTTGTGCATCTGGGCATACACGGTCCTCCCGGGGCGTTTCCTGCGGGGCAGAGGTGGGGCTCAGGGTGCTGGCCAGGCCTCTGGGCCCGGACCGCTCCTGGCTCTCCTCTGCTGCCCCGTCTCTGCTCCAAACCCACCTCCTCTGGGAAGCCCTCCCTCCTGTGAGCCCCCGAGGCCCTGGGCTTCCCTCCCGATGCCTCGTTCATCTGAGTGAAACCCGGAAGGTCCCTGAGAAGGAGTGGGCTTTCTCGGACGTGGCCCACCAGGCCCAGCCAGTTCTGCACCTTCAGGCCTGTGGGCTGGGCCAGACTAGTCCTGTCCTGTGTGGGTGACTGAGGGTGACCCATGTCACCTCCAGGATGGAACACGGAGAGAATAACTTGGAGCCTCCAGAACTCACTTCCCTCTGCTGCAGCTCCTGTATCCCGAAAAGGCCCTGCCCCGAGTGGCAACGAGAAGCTAGCCCTCCCGGCTCCAGGGCACAGCACGAGGGAGAGATCGGCCCTTGGTGGCTGTGAGCCTCTAAGCCGTTGGGGCTGTTTGTTACGGCGGCTGAGCCCAGCCCACGCTGCCTGCTACACCACCAGCAACTGACGCAGCTCCCTGGAGCCCCCGCCTTCAGGCCATTTTAGACCCTAGGGCCTCAGGACCAGCGGGGCATTTCTCTGCTGCCCAGCCTCAGTCTGCTGGGCTCACCTTCCCCGTGTGACTCAGCACCCTGGGGGTGCACACTCGCCCCCAAACTGTGCTCTGCTGTTTCCAAGGAGACCCCTCCTGCCGTCATAAGCATGATTAGTGACAACCCTGGACATCCCAGGTGGCAGACCAGCACTTACACCACCCGCCCTGTTCGGGGCACCCTCTGGGCTGACTCAGGCTCCTCCCCATCCTCCTCCTCCCTCTCCCCTCTGCCACCAGGTGCAGGGCTGTGGTCTCCTTCTGGACCTTTTCCACCATGTGCCATCACCTGGAGCAGTTTAGGGAACTGCAATCTGGCCCCTCAGGGGGTCTGCAGAACACTGTCAAAGAGGACAGGATTCCATCCCTCTGTGGCCTCGAGCAGCCAACCCTGCCTTGGACAAATCCCAGGTGACACCTGTGTCCAGACTGATGTCCAAGGGGGCAGAGAAATGGTGGGGGTGGGGGATGCTTCCAACCCTGCCCCAAGTCAGAGAAGCACCTCACCCGCTCTGCCCTGCAGCCTGACATGCACAGCCCACCCACTCCAGCCCAGCCCCAGCCCGGCCCCAGCCCATCTGTCCCCTTTTACAGGTGAGGAAGCTGAAGCTGGGGACAGGGAGCTGCCGAGCCGCTCAGGGGCAGGGCAGGAGCTTGGTCCGGGCCCTGTGCTGGACCGTCCCTCGGTCTGGATGGGCTTGCCCTTGGGATGAAGGGTGCTCCAGGACAGAGACACAGAGACCCAGACGGGACAGAGATGGCTGGAAGCCTCTCCTTTCTTGATTAATCTCTGCCAGTACACAGGACGCGGGGCTCCCATGCACACTAGCACAGTAGGGGAGGGGCTGGCAGGACACGTGCCCTTAACACCCCCCGGGGGCGGGGGACCAGCACGCTCATTCCACAGTTCAGGAGACTGAGGCTCTAACTTGGCAAGACCACACCCCCCGGCCGGTCTCTGTGGGAACCTGAGTGTTGGAATGGCAGGGGACAATGAGGAGGGAGTGGGGTGGGGAGCATGGACACCCCTTCACTGAGGGTGGGGTGCCTGGGTGCCTCTGGGTAATACCGGGCCCTCCCCTGCCGTATGTGTGGAGCTCAGCCCGATACCCATGTGCATGGTGCTGGGACAGGAGGAGATAGCAGAGCCTTGAGGCTGGGGATGACTCTTCAAGTGGAGACACGGGGACCCCTGCCTCAATCAGGATTAAGTTGTCAGCATCTGGGGACTCCTGGGTGGCTCAGCAGTTGAGCGTCTGCCTTCGGCTCAGGCGCTGATCCCAGGGTCCCGGGATCGAGTCCCACATCGGGCTCCCTGCATGGAGCCTGCTTCTCCCTCTGCCTGTGTCTCTGCCTCTCTTTCTCTGTGTCTCTCATGAATAAATAAAATCTTTAAAAAAAAAAGTTAGCAGCCGTCCACATGGCCGATGCAAAGGTGCTCTAGAAATGCCGAGGAGGCAGAGGGGACATGCACCTGCCTCGCTAAGGGTCAAGTGCATCTGTCATCCATCGAAAGACGTGGCTGCTCAGGGGGCCCAGCAGGGGCCTTGGCCGGTGAGGGAGCCTCTCTGTGCCACCGGGAGCGAACACCTGGACTTAGTCCTGGTGGCTCTGTCAACACCAGCTTTGACCTGGTGCTGTTTCGGGGTCAGAAGGGGCCCCAGCTTCCGCACCAGAAATCTGGGCCTCAGGTCCACTTCCCACCTCTGACACACCCCAGTCTCCACGTGGCCTCCCTCGCAGGCAGGGTGGGGCGGAGGGAGATAAGGCTGGGACACTGGTGGGTTGCAAAGTGGGAGTTGCAGGGGCCATGGGATCTTGAGCAGCCTTCTCCACCTGCCTTGCAGGACTGGGGCCACTGGGAACCCAGAGTGGGCCTAGACCAGTGCCCTCCCCTGGCTGGGAAGCCGCTGCCCAAGGCCCGACCTCGCGCCCTGCCTGCCCCAGCGGCCAGGGAGACTTGCCTTTTGAACTTGTAGAGGATGAACGCGCCCACCGCGAAGAGTCCGATGACCAAGAGGACCGCCACTGCCCAGTAGCCACCAGTGCCTCCCAGCCTCTGAGAATCTGCAAGCAAAGCAGCTGGAGGTCAGCGGGGCACCACCCGTCCCCAGCCCTGGTCTCCTTGGACAGGAAGGCGTTTCACACGGTCTTTCAGGTCCTCGGGTGTGGCTGAGGGGCCTGGGAAGCCTCGGGGAACTTCAGCGCCCAGGACTCCCGCTGTGACACACGGGCCCTGGGCTGCCTTCCAGAAGGTGGACAGAATGCCTGTGTGCACTTCTGGCGTGCGGCGAGCCTGCCACATTTCGCGATGGGCACCATGTCTCTACAGAGCACAGAGAAGAAGCTGCTCAGCTGCTGCGAACATTCTTGCCCAAAATAGGAGAGGTCACACGTGTGACCCAGAGAGGACAGTCCCACGGCGGGGGTGGGGGCCGAGGTCATCCGAGACCCTGAATGTGTAAATTAAAGCCAGAGCTCCGTGTTGCATCCATGCAGGGAGTGAGGCTCCTGGGTCTGACCTGGTCATAATCGGAGGCGACCACCCAGCCAGGAGGGGCTGTCTGCCCCCGGCCACCCTGCTAATGGTGTCACCTGGGGGGTAGGGTGCACACCCACCCTATCCTGCAGGGGCGAGCTCACACTTGGCCCCTCACCTGTGTCTGTGTCCCTCATGGACACCAGCACTCGGACCCCGCCCCGCAGAAGGAAGCTGATCTTCTGTGCCTTCAGCACCTGCTGGATGGCCATGAGTCTCTGCAAGCAGGAAGGGGAGAGTCAGGAGGGTCCTCCAGAACCCCCGGAGGGAGCAGGGAGCTGGGCCGACGTCTGCTCGGACTCTCCAGAGCCAAGGGGGTGGAGGGGCACTCCGTGGGTCTCAGTCTCTTCATCTGTAAAATGGGAATACTTGCCCACCAGCCAACTTGCACCGAGAACCTATGATGGGACACAAAGGTGACCCACTGGGGCCTAAGGGCTCCCCTTTTGGTTGGGACCACAGGGTGTGGTGAAGCTGGGGAACCCAGGGTGCTCCAGGAGGCCCCGGCCCTGGCCGTGGTCCGGGAAGGCTTCTCAGAGGAAGACCAAGGACAAGACAGGTGACCCAGGAGGGAGTGACCCCACCCATGAGGGATCACTGTCCCAGGACTGGTGTTGCTGGATCACGGGGTGGGAAATGTGGGGGCTTTGCCATTTCATGGAGGGAGCTCTCCTGGTGCTCAGAGGGGAACCAGCTGCCCCTGTGAACGCTCGGGGGTCATCCCTCCACAGGGCGGATGTAGAGGTGGTGGGCAAGGGGGCCTCCCCTCCCGGGGAGCCTTGAATTGGACACTCCCGGGGCCAAACTCAGCCTCCACGCACAGCATTTTAGCACCTGGTGTGCCCTGGGGACGCGGGGCCTGTGTCGGGGAGTGAGACATCAAGCCACAGCAGCCCTGGCTCTGAAGGGTCCCGGGAGGCATGTGGCCTGGAGAAGATGCACCTCAGTTTCAAGGGTCAACATGAGGCTTCAAAGGAACACGTTGCAAGATGCCTCGAGCCTGCACCCAGCGCCCAGCCAGGGCCAGTGGCCACCGCGCTGCCCGTGGCCAGGACAGTCCTGTGATTATTCACCAGCCTCGGGCACGTGGCTTACTCTCAGTGCTCAGGGCACCGGGGCCGGGGGTACCTGTGCCTCCTCTGCCTCCTTCCAAATCTCTCCTAAGTGCCCACACTTGACTACTGCAGCATTAGCTCGTCTGCTCGTCAACTTGGGGGTGGGATGGATGGGGGTGCTCCCAAGTGAGGGAGGTCCCCGGGGCCGGCCGTGCCTTCCCCACGCTGTGCCGAGCCTCTGTAGTCAGCTCCCCATCTGAGAAGTGGGTACAGTCACTCTCAAGCCTCTGCTGTCCCAGCCCCGGAGACGCCGCATCGGCAGGGGCTGGGGGCTTGGCAGGCCTGGGCGCCCCCAGGTGCGGATGCGGAGGAGGAAGCCCTCGGGGAAATGCTGGGGGTCAGGCCCACATGGTCACGGGTCTGCGGGAGGCAGCCTGGGCGAGGCGTGGAGCGTGGCCCTGCAGCCAGGGCAGCCGTCGGCTCCATGTCCCCTCCGTCCGACCTGATGCTCACCCCACGGAGCCCCTCTTCCCTCACCCGTGGAACGAGGTGCCACCACCCGCCCCACGGGTGTTGAGGCCTGTGTCACACCCCGCTCAGCACCGTTCAGCCATCCACACAGCCTCCGAGAGCGCCTGCCCCGTGACTTGGGGGCAGCTGAGCTTCCATTCATCTTTTCTTGAGATAACAGGTACTTTCTTCAAGCGTTCGTTCCACGGCTGTCAGGATACGTGCAGCTGACCACTATCTGTTTCCAGAACGTTTTCATCATCCCTTAGGAAACCTGGTGCGGGCCAGCACTCCCCGGCCCCTGGCAACCACCTCCGCCTTCTGCCTCTGCGCATTGGCCTATTCTGGGTGTTTCCCCCAAATGCAGTCACGCAGCAGGTGGCCTCTGTGACCAGCTTCCCTCCCTCCGCATCTTGTTTGCAGGGTTCATGCAAGTGGTAGCACGTGTCCGAGCGCCCTTCCTCTTCATGGCCGAGCACGATTCCGCGTGTGCGTGGACGCATCCTGCTCATCCCCATCCCCCCACTGATGCACGTGCGGCTCCCGCCACCTCTGGGCCACCGTGAACATTTGTGTGCACATGCATGTGGATGCACAGCCTCGGTTTCTGCCCCCCTGCGTGCCCAGGGGCGGGGCTGCCTCCCCATTTGGGGACCTGCTGAAGGCTGTGCATGGGGGGGTCCCCCGTTTCTGCATCAACCCCAGCTGCCGTCTGCTTCAGGAAGAGTTACAGCCACCCCAGGGGGTGTGAGGCAGCTCCGACGTACTTTGGGTCCCCATCCCAGGCCCCCCATGCGGTGGGTCTGCTCTACCAGATGAGGGCTATTATTATTTGGAAGTTGTTCTGCACCATGAAGACTTGCTAACAGGATGGGGGCTGATTTCTGCTCTGTCCTGAGTCCCACGCCCTGGGAGCTCTCGGCCCTCACGCTTAGCTTGGCTCCGGGGTGAGCAGCTCCAGCCCCAGAACAGGAAAGGAGGTGGTGCCCACCTCTGGCCCCGGTGCCCTTGTGCCTCCCCAACGCCTCAAACAGTGACCTTGGAGGCCACCGGAGCCCCAGGAGGTGTGGCCACAGATGGAGGAGGACTGTGTGGGGCAGTGATCGGTGAGAAATGGGCCTTCACGTGGTGATGAGCCCCTGAGACCACTGGGCCGCCAAACCCTCAGCCAGCCCTGCAGGGAGGACAGGAGATACCTTGTCGCTTGTGAGGCTCCTCTTCCTCGTAGGTGTGGGAGGGGGCGGGAGCACGTGCAGGTCGGCCAGGGTGGGCAGTCCCGGCTTTACAACGGTCACCAGCAGCTCCTCGGGGACGCTGGTCTCCTGCGGGGACACATAAAGGCCACTCTGATCTGCTTGCCTTCTCTGTTCCGGTCCTGCACCAGGGCCCCCAGGACACCCCCTCCCCACTTTAGGCCCGTCCAGGTCCTGGCCATCTGTCCTGCGAGCTATCCCTGACCCCTGCACATCATGGGATGGCCCGAGGACCCTGTAGCATCACGTCCCACCTCCTACAGCCCTCCTGGTCCCTCACTCCTGAGATCTGCCTCCCCCCAGGCCGGGCCTGCCCCCTCCAGTCCACTCCTTGCACCGTGGCTGGGTGCAGGTGAGCAGGCCCCTCTCTGGCTAATGTCCTCACGGCTGTCAGAGTTCCTGACCCTACAACTCCTTCAACCCACAAAGCCCAGCATACACGGGTCCTTGGCCTCCTGAAAATCCCACTCCAAGCACTTTCATGCAGCAAACTCCTATTCACCCTTCAATGCCCCGGCCAGTATCTGCAGCATTATTGCTGGGCTGAGGGGAGTCATGGCCAGAGCAGGCCTTGGCCTCTGACAGCCTCGGATGACTCTCGAGGGCTGGTCTTCCTCTCACTGCAGGACTAAGGCCCTGAGTGTCCTCTGCCCCCAGGAGCACTGCCTGTCTGTGCTCTGAGTTCCCCGAGGGCAGCAGGCAGATGCACTCCTCTCTGCCTCCAGTGTCCAGCCCAGAAGAGAAACTCCGTGAAGAAAGGAGAATCACATTTAGGGGACTGTGGGCCCTCAGAGAGACTGTGTCCTGGGCACACAACTGGTGCTCACTCGATGTGTATGGACGATGCCAGCCTGTCCCTCCCCTGCAAGCTGGCGCTGCAGCCACGTGTCCCCTAGAGCCAGGGCAGCGGGTCCTCTGAGCTCCAGGGGTGCCAGCCCGAGGCCAGGTCACAGAGACTGAGGGCAGCTCCACCCACCCCACCCTGGAGGTCTGGCCCCTCCCCTCCTCCGGGGCACACGCCCACAGGTGCTGGGAGGCTCTGGCGCTGGCTGGCCCGGAGCACCTTGGAGAGCAGCCGGGTCACCACCAGGCCCACGTCCTCTCTCCATTCAGGGGTGTTGGGATTGTGCGCATCCAGGTCCTTGGAAAACCGCAGAGGCACCACCTGAAATTGGTCTGAAAAGAGGCAGAGACGGGAGAGCCGGTCAGTCCTGGGCAGCGTGGCTCTGCCCCCACAGGAGGCCACCCAGCCCAGATGGCCCGGGACTGCCCTGCGGTCGGGCCCCGTGGTCCACTTTTGGAAAACAAGAGTCCTCCTTGTGCCAGTGGCTGGGCAGGGCCCACCTCACTGACTGGCACCTAGTAAACGACCATGACAACGCTGCTGACAATGATGATGATGAACACACCGGTGCCCACCAGGGAGGGAGGGCCTGGCACACGCACCATGAGATCTGCCCCACGCACTCTCCATCCCCCAGGGATCCACGGACTTCACTGGGCTGGTCTCCCCACCAGAGTAAGAGTCCCGCAAGGGCAGAGACCCCACATTTCCCTCACGTGTCCTGGGGTTCCCAGTTCAGAGGCCCACTCCAGAGCCACTGGTGGTGGTGAGCAGGCCCTGCAGCTGGCAGGCTCGGAGCTCATTGTACTCTGTCCATGTTCCTCCCAGGTTTCTCACTTGTGAAATGAGGGGAGGCTTTGCAGGGATGAGCGACCAGAGGGCCTTTGTGACCAGAGAACTCGGTGTCTCACAGCAGGGGAGGTGGTGATTATTTCCAGTTCTGGGCTTAGGCCCCTGTGCGCACATGTTTGTGAACAAAGGAACAGCCAAAGGCAGGCCCGCTGAATATTTAACTGATGGCCGCTGTCCACAGGAGAGGCTGTTCTCAAAGCAAACAGGTTTTTATGGGTGTGATGGGGCCAACAGCACGCTGGGCGGGGAGCGGGTGTCTTCCATCCTTAGGATTCGATTCGTTTCCTATGGTAAATGTCCCCTGTGAAGGAGCTGGGGGCCCCAGTGAGCGCCAGGAAACGGGATGCAGATTCAGAAGGAGTCTCAACAAAGGCTGTTAGGGGCTCAGATGACAGGCGTTGTGGGAGGGGTCGGGCTCCAGGGAGACATCACTGGGTGACCCTGACAAGTGCCTAGCCGCCCCCTCGTCTGTGCCATGTGAGGCCCACGGGTGCTACAGGACACAAGGACGCACCCGTGCTCATGTCACAGAGAGGGGAACTGAGGCCAGAGAAGCCGGGGAGCGTCAGAGCCGTGCTCACTGACTCCTCTCTCTAGCCTGCGGCTGCCTGCATCACCAGGGTGTCTGCGGCTTATGCTCCCTGCATCACTCGAACCCGAGGCTCCTGTGAGGGATGAGATATGCTGCATGACCCAGGGAGGGGACTCACCCAGCACGCGGACCACCTTGGAGTCCTGTAGCACTGAGTTCCCACAGGCCGCCTGCACCGTCACACGCACGTCCCCCGTGTCTGCAAACCGCGTGGTCACGGAGTTCTCCAAGGACAGCAACGGCTGTGGGGGCCGGAGCGGGGGTCAGGGCCAGGGTGGTGGGCGGCCCCCACGCAGGACAGTGGCCCATCCGCTGCCCAGGGCCTCACTGAGCACGCTCACTATCCCTGCCCTGGCCAGGACACGGGGCAGCACCAGGGGGCACGGGAGGGCCCTCACCCCGAGCCAGCAGCTCTAAGGCAGTCCAGCCTGGACCCAGCACCCCAGTGTCCCCTTCCTCCAGGACCTGCCCGAAGAGCTGGGCTGCAGGTAGCTGAGTTGTGATTCAAACCCAGAGCCTAGTGCCTTCCTTACCCTCCCCATTCCAGAGAAACACAATCTGGGGCCTCCTGCTCCTCCCCACCGGGTCCTGTGTCTGGGCCTTCAGGGGCTGTTGGGGTCTTTCTGCTTGGGGTGCAGCCCATTGAACGAGCAAAGGATGGCCCTCTGTGGGTCCCCAGGGTGCCTGGACTCAGACCCTCCAGCCCTCCCAGCAGCCACCATCTGTGGCTCCCCACTGCTTAAGGAGTCTGACCCAGGGCACTGGGTGGGGCTTCTGACATCAGGTCCAGCCCCAGAGGTCCCCTTCTCCATGAAGCCTTCCCTGACCACACCAACACCCAGACTAGAAATGGCCTGATCATCCCTGGAGCTCACGACACCTCCCCTGTCCCCTTCTCGTGACACGTATCACAACTCAGGTCACCTGATTTGCTCACGTCACTTTCCCCAGGAAAAGGCAGGGTCTGGTCCACTTTGTCCCATGTCTGCCAGACTCAGACCCAGCCAGGGACCCGAGCAGATGCTCAGCAAGAAAGGCCGGCGTGTGCGTGCCCCGATGCCACAGTGTCATACGCTGTGTCCTTCTGCCCAGGCCCCGGGGCAGCGCCCTGCCGCCCACTCCCACCCGGGGGCCAGCGTACCTGCAGGCTGCGGCCGATCCACCAGTAGAAGACGGTGAGGTTGGGGTTCAGAGGCAGCAGCACGGCCGTGAGGTTCACCTCCTGGTTGATGCCAACGACAGGAACCACTTCGAGGTGGAGCGCCTGCAGGGGGGCTGCGGGGGCCCGGGAAAGGCCCGGCTTAGAGGACGTCGGGGCGCTGGCCACCTCTGAGGGGGCTCGTTGGTCCCCGTCAACTGCATCACTTCCCCAGCCTCGCTGGCAGCCCCACCTAGAGCCCTCGGGCTCGCCCTCCGAGGCCTGGGGTCCTGTGGCAGCCCTGGGGGTCTCCCACACTTCCCCGAAGACTGGGTTCTCTCTGCCCCAGGGGGTGGCTCGTGGCCTCAGAGGGGGGACAGACTTACAGTTGACGTGGATGAAGAGCACGGCCTCGTCGTGGCCCGCCACGTTCTCTGCCCTGACGGACACGCGGTAGACGCCGGGGCTCTCGTAGCGGTGCCGGATGGGCTCCTCGGTCAACGTGAGGTTCACGTACACGGCCTTGAAGCCGTCCCCCAGGTCCACCTGGTACTTGGTGGTCAGGACATCACCCTGCAGGAAACAGCACGAGGCCACCGAGGAGTGACCGGAAGGCGGATGGGCCAGCAGCGAGTGGCTCAGGTGCTCGTTCATCCCCCCAGAAGGCGTGGGCCCCGGGACCCCGGGAACCTGCCTCGCCCTTGGGGCTTCCGGCCCGGCAGGCAGGGCTGCGGGTGGCAGGCGAGGCCCGGGAGCCGCAGAGATGCACGGGGGTGGCAGCAGGGCCCAGGCCTGGGCCACCTGGCTGCAGAGGGGAGCAGTCAGGGCAGCTCACAGGTGCAGGGAATCGGGGAAGGACACGGGAAGCAATATCCTTCCTGGCTTCACAGCGAGGAAGAGTCCTCGTGCTGCACCTCCCCTCCCTCCCCAGCCCCATCGCCCCTTCCTGCCGCCTGTCCCTGTGGGAACACCCCGGACCCCACTTCCTGGTGACCCAGAACAACACAGGAATAGCGCTGACCACTTAGAATCCTCTCATTCTGCACCTGCTGAGCCTTAAAACCTGAGGAGAGTCCTTTCCCATGAATCGTGCTCACTTAACTTGCCCCACAATTACGGGGACTGGGTGATCAGTGTCTGTGCCCCCAGGTCCACGTCCCCCAGGAGCTCAGAAGGTGGCCTTCGCTGGAAATAGGGTCTTTGCAGAAGCGATTGGTTACGATGTGGTCACGTCGGAGCAAGATGGGTTCCCATCCAGGGGAGGGGGCTTAGGACACAGAAGAGACGGCCACGTGACGACAGGTGGAGACCATGGCGACACAGCCACGAGCCAAGAGACCCTCCTCCCACCCCTCGGAGCCGCCGGTGGGAGCCAAGCTCTGCTGACACCTTAATTTCGGACATCCGGCCTCTGAAACCGGAGAGAAGCATGTGCTGCTTTATGCCTGTAGCACGTGGTCACTGGTGACAACAGCTTACTCCTGTGGCATTTTACGGTCCCCACGTGCTGGGCTAGAGCCCGGGGACCGCCGGACTCACCGTCCAGTGCTCCTGTGGAGCAGCCCCTTGGAGGCCCCTGTGGCTTCAAGGAGTACGTGGCACCACAGCACCCCTGGGACCCCGAGTTCCTGCCTGTGGGCCACTCGCTGGTGCTCGCTGAACTATTTAAACACTTCGCTCGGTTAAGATAACTTGTCGTTTCTCCCCCTGGTCAGAAAGGAGTCTAGTGGCCACACCGACAAACAGCAAACATGAGAGTGGAGAAGAGATCTGTCACTGTCACCCCACCCCGGCACCCGCCTTGCTCTGTGTGCTGCCGAGCACTTTAAGAAGACGTGGACATCTTATTCTGAGACCACCACCAGCTCGCGTGGATGTGTAGGGACCGAGGCAGAGATCCTGGGTGTCCCGCACCGCATGCCCGGTGCTGACACCTGCCGGAAACCAGAACGCGCCAACTAGGATACAGACATGGACACCGCCGGGGGGGGCAGGGCCACCGAGCCAGCGCTGCCATCACACCCCTGACACCCTGGCAGCCACACATCCATCCGTTTCTGCAACTTTGTCATCTCACGAATGTCCTATAAATGGAGCTCGACAGCACAGAGTCACTGGGGTTGCCTTTTTCTCATTCAGTTTAATTCTCCGGAGACTCACCCAGGTCGTGGCTCGTGGCAGGAATCTGCTCCTTTTCACGGGGGAGTAGTGTCCCAGGCTGTGGCTGCACCACTGTCCAAACAGACACCCCTCTGAGGACATCCGGGTGTTCCCGGTTCCCAGCATTTCTGCAATAAGCTGTGGTGGGCGCTCGCAGGCAGGGTTCCGTGTGGACACAAGTCTGCATTCCTCTGAGACAAAACACCCAGGAGTGCACTTGCTGGTTGTGTGTTTAGTTTCTTGAGAAACTGCCCAAGGGCTTTCCAGAGTGGCGGTACCATCTCATCCTCCCAGCAGCCGCGTAGGAGGGGTCCGGCTTCTCCGCATCCTCACCAGTGCTTGGTCGGGTCGCTGTTTCTTACTTTGGCCATCTCATAGGTGTGCAGTGACACCTCACTGGGGTTGGATTCCCATTTCCCTAATGGCCAGTGAGGCTGAACGACTGCCTACGCTCAATGGTCACCTGCTTGTTGTCTGCGATGAACCGTCCCTCTGTGTCCTTTACCTGTTTCCTAACCAGGTGTTTTCTTTCTGCTCTTGACGTGTCCTGGGTACCAGTGGTCACTGGATGTGTGCTGGGTAAATATTTTCTTCATGGCTTGCTTCTCACCTTCTGCAGGGGGTCTCCCTCAGAGCTCAAGCGTCCCACCTGGATAAAGTCCGATTTGCCAAATTTCCTTTATGGATGATGCTTTTGGTGTCTACACACGCCTGGCATGGCCCTAGGTTGGCATATTTTCTATCTTTTTCCTGGATGATTGATAGTTTTCTACTTTTTTAAAAAAGATTTTATTTATTTATTCATGAGACACATAGAGAGGCAGAGACACAGGCAGAGGGAGGAGCAGGCTCCCTGCAGGGAGCCAGATGTGGGATTCCATCCAAGGGCCCTGGGATCACGCCCTGGGCCGAAGGCAGGGACTAAACCGCTGAGCCACCCAGGTGCCCCAATAGTTTTCTACATTGACCTCTGTGGACCTCTGGGGTCCATTCTGAGTCCATCTGGTACCAGGTGCGAGGTTCCTGCCGAGGCTCATTATTATCGGCGCTCCATCCCTCCACTGGGATGCTTTGGCTCCCGTGTCAGGATCAGCTGCACATTTCTGTGCGGCTCTATTTCTGGGCTCTCTATCAGTCCTTATTTTTAATTCTTAGATACACACAGAACTTGGCCCCCGCCCCAGATCCAGCACTTTCCACACGCAGCTTGGCCTCTGCGTGAGGGTGGGTGTGACTTGTGTGTCAGTGTGCAGATGCGTGAGTGGCTACGCGGGTGTGAACACGTGGCGAGCGTGTGCCCGAGCCCCTGTGTTGGTGTATGAGCGTGTGAGTGTGCGTCCATGTGTGCATGTCCACCCCAACAGGGCTCCCACACTCTCCCGACCTCTATGAGGAAGCCAGCGGCCTCTTCCACACAGGGGTGTGCAATGGAGACATCTCTCACAAGAGCATCTCTGGGGCACTCCCCTCACCTCCAGCGGCCCAGGCCCCTGCAATCCAGGCTGGGCCCGCAGGGGGCCGGGAGGAGGCTGACGGGCCTGTCCTGTCCTGGCTCTCGCTGAAGAATTCACCCAGATGGGAGGCTCTAGGGGGCAGCAGAAGGCCATTCTTCTGGGAGTCTGTGCTGCAACTCGGGCACAGTTGCAGGGAGTCCACTCTGAGGGGCCAGGGGCCCCGCCCCCAGAGGGGGGCATCGCACTCCCCAAGGAGGCCAAGATGCTGCTGTGACAGATGCCTACCTCCAACCCCAGGGCCACCCCTGAGTCCCCAAGTAGGAGTCTCAGGGCCAGGCTCATCAGCAGAAGGGACAAGAAGCGGGTGAGACCCAGGGCCTGCCCCAGGCTCAGCCCAAGTCTGGAGGCCACAGACCAGGTGTCCATGCAGAGTCCCCAGGCCTGGGGCCCAGGGCCAGCTCTGTCACCTGTTGCTGTGTGGTCTCAGGTGAGTCACTGCATGTCTCTGAGCTGGGGTTTCCCTGGCTACAGATCAGGTGGGAGGAACACACTGGGGCTGGGCACACGGGCGCTCACCACACATACAACTCTGCGTCCTCTGGCCTCAGTTTCTCTGTCTGCATGAGACCAGGGTCCCTGCTTTGCAACAGCAAACACCTCTGTCATCATCACCCCACCCCATGTGAAGGACCTGTGCAAAAAACAGGTTATAAAGCTGAACTTGCTTCATTCAGCATATTTCTTAACCCAAACCCGAGTGCGCAATAGAGCTGGGTGTGCAGACGGCCGGGGAATCCTGGGCAGGTCTCCCTCCAGGGGCGAGTGGGCTTCCCTTCCCTGCTCTCCCATCGCTTTGAGTTTGGGAAAGTTCTTCTGAGTTCTGTTTCTGGATGTTCTATGGTGACTCTGTTACTTCCATACTCAGAAAAATAACTTTGCTGTGTATTAATTTCAAAAGACTAGAAGAAAATACAAAACCTCGAAGCTGTTACCTTGGGGGGAACAGGGTTTTTTGGTGGTATTTATATTCTCAACATTTTCAGGCGTTTTTCAAATGTTCTATCGTGAGTATAGATTCTTTTTTAAGTCAGAAGAATACGTAATACTTATACTAAAGAGAAGACGAGAGGAAGCAGAAGATTGGGAGGGAATTCACATTTTTGTATCTATGACATAGAAATAAATCTGTATCTATCATCTACCTACAGGATTTATCTTTGGTTCTGGGATTATAAGTAATAGTGGTTTGTCTTTTTTTAAAAAAAACTTTCTCCTTTTCTGAAGATTCCAGATTAACTAAATCAATATAATTAGAGGTTTAACGCACCACCGCCCACAGGAATGAATGAATCTTGGAAGCGTCAGAGCCCAGTAAACACACACACCGCCATGTGCGGAAGGGTCCCCGCCTCGTGTGCTGGCTGCACAGTGACCCTCCCCACCCCCGTCCATACTCCAGTCCTCTGAGGTTTGGATCCCATCCTTACGAGGTGACTCGGGCTCCATCTTACCACCCCCACCCCCACCCCGGCTTGGAAAACGCTGGCCTGGATGATTCTGCTCTAAACCACCTGCAGGCGGAGGGGACACCCACCCACGCCCGTCCCCTGCCTGCCCCGTGGAAGCGCCCAGTGGGGACAGCACACTGCACTCACTTGCTCCTGCCGCACCGTGAACAGGACGTCCTCTCCGGGCCGCACGGCCACCGCCTCACCGCGGATGCTGATCTGCAGGCCCCGGGGCGGTGTGAGCGGGCACTGCAGCTGCGTTGGGCTCTGCCGCGGGTCCACGCCACCCTCACACACATTGGACACCACCTTCCGGTACCTGCGGCCAGAGGGCAGGTCAGGGTCTGCAGGGACGGCGGCGGAGGGCACAGGTCCTGCAGCCCGGGGGACTCGCTGCCGGCGAGCTGTGGCTCTTGGCTGGAGGCCTCCCCACGGATGCCTGGCCTCCTCCTAGCCTCCTGGCCTCCACCTGGCCCCACCGAGGGCCATTGCTGCCCTGGGTCGGACAGAGCTGAGAAGCCGGGCTGGGTGGAGGGTGACCAGCGATGGTAGGGTCTGCTCCCTGGCTGGCTGCTTCCCTGTGTGGTCACAGTGCTCAGGACAACCCTAACACCTGCTGTCCTTGTGGCCGAAGGTGTGACTGGGCACAGCCCACATGCAGGGGCCTTGCAGAGAAAACTGCCCAAGACCGACCGGGGCTCAGCCGTGGCCGTGCTGCCGACATGCCCCCTCGGGGCTCCCTTCCTCACCACCCCACCAGAGGACACCTGATCCACCGTGTATTTGCTGGGGACGGGCTGAGCACACACAGCCCCTGCCCTTGCCGGGGCACCGCCCATTGCGAGAGGCGGACTGCATCGCTCTACGCCCCCCATGAGGTCAAATCACCACTGACAAGCTCTGGGAATCCGTCCCTTCAGCTGAAGCCAGAAGGGCGAGCAGGAAGCAGGACTGGCGTGGGCAAAGGTCCTATGGTGGGCAGCTGGAGCCAAAGTAGGGAGCAGGGCTGTGAGGAGGCTGGATAGGAGTTCGGAGGGCAGAGACCGTGGGCTCTGATGAAACTTTTAGGAGACCCCAGGCAAACCACGGCAGGGACAGCATCATCTGACTTGCCACTTGTGAAGCTTCCTCAGGATACACCGGGACTCTGTGTCCCTAAAACTAGCATCACAGCCAAAGTGCCTGGTTCTGCCCATGTCCCTAGGCCTGGTGCCCCCTCCTGCCCCCAGAGCTCAGCCACTGAGTATACGTTCAGGGGTTTATCATGCAAAACACATTGGACTAATTTAGAAGAAAATACATTCTAAGAGCTACTCCCACCCACAGCACCCTTGTGCCCAGAGTATGCTCATGGTATGACGTGCAACCCTTCACCCTTGATGTGGGCGCTGGCTCTGACACGTCAGACAAGAGTCTGCTTGCCAAGCCCTAGTGGGTGCATCAGAGCATCTTCTCTGGCTGCTGGATGTATGGATGCAGGGATGGATGTGTGGAGGGAAGGATGGAAGGGGGATGGATGGATGGAAGGATCGGGGTAATGATGGATGGAAGGATGGATGGATGGATGTAGGTGAATGATGGATGGATGGATGGGTGGAGGATACATGGATGGACAGATAGATGATAGGTAAATGATGGAAGGATGGGAGGAAGGATCGATGGATGGAGGGATGGATGGATGGATGGAAGGGGAGGGAGGGAGAGGTGATGGGTGAATGGATGAAAGGATAGATGGATGGATGGATGATGGTGGTTGAATGATGGAAGGATGAATGGATGGACAGATGGATGGAGGGATATGGGTGAATGGATGGAAGGATGGATGGATGGATGGATGGAGAGAGGGAGAGATGATGGGTGAATGATGGATGGAAGGATGGAAGGGAGATGGATGGAGAGAGGGAGGGAGGGAGGGAGGGAGGGAGGGATGATGGGTGAATGGCTGGCTGCTGGTTGGTGGAATTTACACTGCTGAGGCCAAACCCTGCAACATCTGGCCCTGCTCCCTCAAGCTCTGCCCTGCCCCTCCCCAGAGGAAGTAATGGGGATGTTCTAGTAAGTTCACTGATGTCTTCTTTCATCTCAAAACTTCCTCAAAGAGAAGCAGAGACCTTAAGAGGCAAGGTCCTGGGAACTCCTGATGCTGTGGGTTTATAGCTTTAGGTACCTAATCCTTCCGTTCCTTGTTCAGAGGCAGCTCAGAGCACAGACCCCCCTGGTCCTGCCTCATGAAGGCTGAGATGGGGACCCTGCAGGGTCAGTGCCAGGTTACTCCTGGGGGCCCAGCAGGCAGGACATCGTCAGCTGCCTCCCCTTGCCATGGTGTCTCTGCCCCTGGAGGGAGACGAAGAGGCCTGTGCCGCGCTCACCCGAGGCTGCTGGTGTAGGTCTGGCCCAGCACACAGTCGTCTGGCGGGGACAGGGGGTTAAACCAGAAGTTGGCAAAGCACTTGTTGGCATCGGACTCTGAGGAGGGGGAGCGCTCAAATCCGTAGTCACTGGAGGAGAGAGAACCGCGGTTGGGAGGTAGGCACCAGTGGGGATGGGGGCCCGGCTGGGGGGAGGCCTCACGGCAAGGGTCTGCTATGACCGTTTGTGGGGTCACAGGCAAGTCCACGTGGCCCTGTCCAGCCTGAACATCAGCTACCTTCCAGGTGAGAAGGCATGCAGAGGGGATTCTGGGAACTCACAGGAGAGCAGTGAGCCCAGCCTGGGTGTCCTGGAGGGCTGCCTGGAGGAGGTGCACCAGTCCCAAAGGAGATTAGAGACAGCCAGGGGAGGGGAGAGGCACTGCACAAACCCGCCCCCCCCCCCCGCGACATTGGCGTAGGGAGATGCAGGAGGAGGGGTGGCCAGCACATAATGGGGAGCAGGACGGCAAGGGTTGAGGATGGCTAGGGAGGCAGGCGCTGGGCCAGGGGCTTCCTGAACAAGGCTCTGAGAGTCTGGGAAGGCTGGGTGGGCGCCGCTAGCTCCCAGGACACCCTCCCTGATTCCTGGCACCCATCCCCCCACCGCACCCCTGGGTTCCTCAAGCTCCTCGCACTCCCCCCGGGGGCACAGCTGGACCTGGCGCTGGCCCTGGCGCACAGCAAGAGGCGGCAGGAGGACCGCGAGTCTGAGACCCGTGCCGGGCGGTCCTCACCAGAGGAAGTCGGACTCGCGGCACCTGCACACCCGGGACTCCAGGGCCGACGTGAAGCTCCTCCCCTTGATGCACCAGGACGTGGACTTCCTCTTGCGGAAGCTCCTCTGCTGGCCCATGATGCAGCGGTCGCCCTGCAGAGGGACGCGGGGTGAGAGCCCGCCCAGGAGGGCCGACTGCCCTCCGGAGGCTGGACTGCCCACCCTGCCATCTCCAGGACAGCCGATCCTCAGCCCCCGGGCAGCCGTCGGGGCACAGGGCATGTGCCCTTTCCCAGATGGGGAAACCAAGGCCCAGGATGGGGTTGGCGGGCCTGAGGTCCCGCTGGGGCAGCCTCCCTCCCATCCTAGCCCGCAAGCATCCATTGAGCACCCACTGTGTACACGCTCCCCCTGGGCCTGAGGGGTTGCAGGGCCGCTGGAAACCAGGTCCCTGTTACATTTCTCTTCGTCCCCTAGACCTGCAGGGTGCCCACCTGCATAGGAGCTCGGAGGAACCGCGGCCTCCGGGGCATGTGTGGACACAGCAGGCCCTGCCCCCGCCCCACAACAGTGACAGGAGCAGCAACAGGTGCGAGGTGCGGGAACCCCAGCCATCCTGGAACCCCGGTCTGGAACCCCGGCCCTCCCATCACAGTTCTGGCAGCACGACCTGGTCTGGACCGCAGGCAGGCCACTTCCAGCCCTTATTTCGCTTCATGTGACTACTCTTTTTGTTCCAGAAACATCTGTGTGTCTGAGATTCTGGGGTGGGGCTGTCCCAGACCCCGCCCCGGGGGTGTTAGGTCATGTATAGCGCAGGTCCCGCAGCACCGCCTACCCTGGGACGAACCCCGGATCCCCAGCACGCGGGACCGCACAGTTGGCTCGGAGCCCCCAGCCCAGAGCAGCCCAGGCGCCGGGCGGGGCCCTCAAGTCCAGCAGGAGGCCGGACGTCTGAGGGCCGCCGGGTCCTGGGAAGCCCTCCCAGGGGTGGGGTTCCCGGTGCCGCCGCGCAGGACGGGGGCTGGCCGTGGAGGGGCCACCCTGTCCCACGCCCAGGCCCACCTTGAGGTCGGTGAGGTCCCAGGAGCCATAGTCATCCTCGCTGCACTGCCTGGAGAAGGACGGCCGGAAGTCCACCTTGACGAGCTCCCAGTCGGAGCGGAAGCTGATGTGGCCAAAGACGCTGCGGACGGAGGGTGGGGGGGAGGGAAGTCACCCTAGCCCGGCCCGCGGCCTGGCACAAACCACCTCCCCTGGGCCTTGGCTCCCGCGGTGCAGCAGGCACAGTGACACCTCCCCTGGCCTCGCAGACCGTGCCAGGACACCCCAGTACCCCAGCACCCAGCTCCTGGCCACCCGGCTCCCTGGCACCCCAGTACTGCTGACCCCCTGGCCGCCTGGTATCCTGGCCCCCTGGCACCACAGCCCCCGGCCCCCAGCAAAGTGTCCAGCGGGCCGCAGGTATGTGGTCCTAACAGCGGTGTCCACACAACTAGCACACGCTGTCAGTGGCTCATGGATTGTACACGTGGGTGTTGCCCCCCACAGCCCCCTCAATGGACGAGGAAGTGGGCGCGTCATGTCAGGAGCCCAGAACCCCCAGCTGCCACCCAGGCCTTCCCACTGCCTTCCACGGTCCTCGCTTCTGTTCTGAAGATGACAGGTGGTCAGCTGGCTGCTGCCGGGCTTCTCCTGCCTCTGTCAGTGTCACTGAGCCAGGGGTCTGTGCCTGGGACCCCCAGGTCAGGGATGCCAGGCTGGGGTGTCTGTGCCTGGGACACCCAGCTCTGCTGAGTGGGGCCGCAGGCTGTTTTTCCAGGCACAACCAGGGATCCAAGGAGAAGTAGGAGTCAGCACATTGCTGGCAGCGGCAGGACGGGAAGGACGCAGCCCGTGCTCACATCCTGCTCCCCATGCGGCCCCAGCCTTGGCGAGTGGAGGAAGCAGGGACGGACACCTCGGTGCTCTCTAAAGGGCCGCCATTTACGGGGCACCCGTCATGGGCTCGGGGCTCCATCTGGGCCGTCTGCTCTAATCCCCACCATGGACTTGTGAGGTGAGTCCACCCCTATTTTACAGAAAGGGAGACTGAGGCACAGAGAGGTTGAGTAACTTGCCCCAGGTCACACAGCTTGTTTGAGCCGTTTCCTCTTCCTCAGTGCTCACTGACCATATACCCAGATCCCTTCCTCTCTGCAAGGACTGCTGTTTCAGGGGCTTCCCTTGGACTCCAAAGACAACCAGAGAAGAGGGCCCCTGCCTGCACTTCCGGTCCTTCCCCAGTCCATCCTACAGCATTCAGGACATATCACTAGAGGCTGAGCATCTGGGTGGGGGAGGCTATGCACCCTGCTATACTCAGTCCCTTTCCAAGCATGCTGACAGGGACTGATGCTTGGGGAAGGACAGTCATGATCCAAAGGGGTCCTAGCCCCACTCCAAGGTGTCAGGTGAGAAGTGTCTTGGAGTGTTTTCTTGGGGTCCTGATGGCTGGCTCTGAATATCTGAGCCCGATATGTGAAGAGGAGTTTGTGTTCCTAAGGCAGCTCTGAGCCAGGCAGGCCCCGTGTCCCGTGTGTGACCTTGGGCAGGTTCCCTACCTCTGTGTACCTCAGTTTCTGTGGCTTTAAAATGGGGATGATAGCCGTGCCCTTTCAGGATCGTTGGTGTGGGCTCCCGGCGCACAGGAGGAGCTTCACACACACAATGCCACAATTCCTCTGCTCCCTGACACAGACCCACGAAGTAGATACTGTTATCTGTACTTTGCAGATGAAATCCCCACCTCTGCACCCTGGCCAGGGGCCTTCGCTGGTCCTCGGGGACCCTGGGCCTCCCGCTGTCCCAGCCTCAACCTTCCCCTGCGGTCAGTGCCCTTGTCTCCCGTCCCCCAGAACGAAGCCTGCTGGGTCGGTTACGGAAACAGGGTGTGAGGGTCTTAGCTCGATAGGGATGCTCTGGGCACCCCTGCCGCCGAGCAGCCTGTCCCCCCTCCTGAAAACCACATTATCCTGAGAACAGCTCGTGCGCTGCACCCGCACAAACACGACACAGCCCGACGTATGCCCATCACGCGCCCCGCGGCTGGGCCCTTTCCCAAACCTGTGAGCCCGCGTTTCTGGCTCCTGCTTTCCGCTCTGCGGACGGCAGCCCTGCGACGCCGCCTGCACGCACACCCCAAACAGAGCCCTGCCCTCGCCCACACACACGGTGGCAACCTGCTGGGGCCCAGGAGGAGCCGGCCTCCCTCCCGCCCCTGACCTGAGCCTGGAATGTGACATAATGTGACATGACGCGTCTCCAGGCAGGGGCACGGCAGCGACCAGGTGTCCAGGGGAAGCACCCCACCCAGGGTCTCTAGGATGGCGTCACGGGGTCCCCGCCCTCTGCTCTGCTCTCGGGACCAAGGTCAGCTGAGGTGACGGGGGCTGCGCCCACCACTCCCTCGGTGCAGAACTGCTGAGATGTTAGCACCTGTGAAAGGGGGGGCAGGGGGATAAATCCCTCGTGGACATTTCCTATGAGGACAAAATGAGATCACGTATGAAAACACCCGGTCACATAGAGGGGGGCTCAGCACAGCGTCCCCTCGGCCCTTGTCCAAGGGGCCGTACTGGGGAAGAGGCAGGGAGGGCACTAGGCTGCCTCCGTCCTGGGGGTGGCAGGGAAGGCCCCCCAGGGACGGGTCACTAAAACCGAGTTTAAGTCCACCAGGAATTCAGAGGCTGCCTGACCCGAGGGAGGACCCGCACTCCCTGTTCCCGTGTCCGTCTGGGCCACGCCATCTGAGTTCCCAGGAGCCTGGAGGTGGGCACAGAAGTGGTGGTGGTCAGTGGCGGTCAGCAGCCGTGAGCTGACCAGGCCTGTTGTCTCCCAGCCCTGCCCCGGCAGCCGGAGGAACTTGGGGTGCCTTCACATGATCTCCCCGCTAACGAGGGGACAGCCTGGAGCCCCGCAGGTGGAGGCGGGCCTGGGCGTGGCGGGCAGCATTGTTGGTGCTGGGCAGTTTCCTGCCAGGTTCGGCCTGAGGCTGGGGGCTTATCCAGGTGGGCCTCTTTGGGGTGTTCAGGAGGACAAGACCGACAGGAGAGAGGACAGGGCCACAGGGTGGAGGCCGCCGTGGGCTGGGAGGGGATCATGCCAGGGAAAGGCTCCCAGGCCAGAAATCCACTCCTGGGGGAGGGCCCGCGGCCACCCCGGGCCGAGCAGGCGGGGTGGGGGGGTCATGCAGCCGGCTGTCCCCCTGGCCAGGCCCACCCGCCACAGGAAAGAGGGAGCCGGAGCGGGCGGTCAGTCCAGATCCTAACGTGGGAATGCACTGGCTCCTTCTCAAGCCGCCGCTTGTCCTTGGGCCTGTGTCTTATCCATCTGGTCCCAGTTCAAGATCAGCTGCTCCGAGATGCCCAGGACACCTGTCAGACCCCAGCATGCTGGCCCTGGGACTCCAGCATCTTTCATGCTAGCGACAAAGCATGCCGGGTGCCACTCTTCACTTAAATCTGATCTGTCTGCCAATCTGGACCAAGGCTCTGGGGGGTCCTCAGGGTCCCCAGGGCCAGGAACAGGGGGCAGCATGTTGCAGGCCTTGTTGGAATGACCGGAGGAGGGCTGGCCTACGGTCTGCTGCAGTGCAGAGCCAGGGGCGCTCAGTCAGTGGGAGGGCGTCTCCCTTGGGGAGCTCCCGCCCGGTCCCAGGGAGAAGGAGGACGCAGGGAGACTGACCGCATGCAGACTGGGTATTCACAGTGTGGGTGTCCTCTCTGCCGCCTGACGGAGCAGGAACGTTGTGGGGCCCTGCGGCTGCCTCAACACACTTCCACAAACAGGGCTGCAAACAACAGAGGCTTATCCTTCACAGGGTGGGGCCCTAGGGGAAGGTCCTTCCTGCCTCTTCCAGCTCCCAGTGAGTGCTCCCTGCAGATTCCAGATCCCAGCGAGTGCTCCCTACAGATCCCACCAGGTGCTCCCTGCAGATCCCAGATCCCGCAGATGCTCCCAGCTGTCCTGGGATCGTGGCCTCCTCCAGCCTCCGCCTGGGTTCACACTCTCCCTGCGTGATGGTCTTCATCCTTCTCCTTCTTATAAGGACGTAGGATTGGCCCCCCATGCCCCCCACCCCCAAGCAGCGTGACCTCATCCTGATTCATCACATCTGCGAAGACCCTGTTTCCACACAGTCACAGGTTCCAGGTAGATGTGCATTTTGGGGAACCTGGCCTCCCCCATGCGGGTGTTATCAGTAAAAGGCAGGAGGGCACAGAGCCCTGCCCCGTTGCACCCACCAAGGTGCACACCAAGAATCGGCAGAGCCATTAGGAATGTAGAGTCTCAGGCCCCTGCCCTGGCCTGTGGATCAGCTCTGCCTAAACAAGCCCCCAGGTGGTTGGCTCGCCCAGGAAGGACCTTCCACAGCTGGACCCCGTTTACCCAGGCTCTGGCCCCATGCACCCTATTTCAATTCCTACCCCCTCAGATCCCAACAGGGATGCCCGATGCCCCTTCGCCCCCTCCTCACTGTGCCCAGAGTGAGACCTGGCACCCCACGGACCTGAGCTGCAGTCTCAGAGCCCAGCCTGACCCAGGCCACAGCCTGGCTCCGCCCCTCTGCCCATGTGGGTGTCGGGTCCTCACTGGGAAGCAGGCCTGGGAGCCCCTCCAGGTGCCAACGGCTCGTCATAACAATGGTGATGAAGATGATGGCTGCGAAGGCAGCTTGGGGCAGTGGTCCACTCGAGCTGCCCCGACTCGGTTCCAGCCCTCACCACCCAGGCCATCCTGAGTAGGTGACGGATGTCCCCGGGGGTGACAGAGGACAGTGGGCAGTAAGACACAAGGAGGCAGGTGCCAGGTTGGAGACGAGAGTGAGGAGGACAGGGAGGGAGGTGAGGAGTCCCGTGCTGACCGTGCCTCGGAGCAGCAAGGTCCACCTGGGGGTCAGCTGCCCTCTGCCCGCCCACCTCCTGTGGCCACTCACGTCATGACCAGCGTCTCATCCCCCGGCTCACTCAGCAGCCCGTCCACGAACACCGAGGTGCTGGTGAAGTTGTGTGTGCTCCAGGTGAGGCCCTCGTCCATGCTGAACCTGCCGGAAGAAGGGGTGTCTGCACCGCAGGCAGACAGGAGCACTCCCCATGGCCAGGACCTGCTGCCCTGCTGGATCCAGCCCTGCCAGGGCCAGTGCTGCCCAGCTGAGGTGCTGGGAGAAGAGCCCGGCCCAGTGTGCTCTCTCTCCCGGGGGGGGGGGCGTGTAGCTGCCCGCCAGCACCACGGGGCCTCCGCCTCTCCTTAGGCTACAGCAAGGGGCTCGGGCGTGTCGTCTGGGTACCGTGAAGCTGCTTTGCAGCCCCTGGACTGCGGTTATCTGGGCCTTGGAATGTCCAGCTTAGCCCCAGCCAATGCCCGAGCCCAGCCCAGGGGGTGCCAGGCCAGGGACAGAAGCTTACTGCCCCGCAATGCATCATATTACGGAGTCACCAGCTTGCAGTGCAGGAAACTCTTTTTCAGACTCAAGTGATATCGGCTTCCTAGCAGCTTCCTGAGCTGCACCTTCTGAGTCCGGAGTTCACACGTGCCCTCACTTCCCCGCAAACGCCCTCCAGAGGTCTGAAGCTGACCCAAACGCGCTCTCACCTGGGCACATCCTGCTGGCCTCCTTGCCTGGCCCTGCCTCCTCCCCTTGACTAACTTGATGGACGTCACCTCCTCTGGGAAGCCCTCCCAGGCCTCCCTCCAGCCAGCTCCTTGACCGTGCTGTGACATTTCCCTGCATGCCCCTGCCTGCCCTAGAGCAGCTCCCAGGAGGCAGAGCCCTGCCCCCACTGCCTGCCCTGGCCCCTGCCCCCATGCTGCCCCCCACCCCCTGCATTACTTGAGGATCTTCAAGGGGATGGAGGTGTCCTTGATTGCTGCGATCACGCCGCCATGATCCAGGTAGAGGACGTGGTGCTCCTCCTCGAACACCTGCAGAGGGGACAGGTGACACTCTGAGGGCAGGTCACCCTCTGGGGGCAGAGCGGTGAACACACGGGCTGCGGGGCACCAGCAGAGGCCAGCTCCCCGAGGCAGGGCCAGCCTGGGGCTCCCGTGTCCCCCAGGCCCTCCCCACGCTCCCCCACACCACCAGACTCTGCCCATGGGATGACTGAACGAGCGTGGCGGTGTCTGGACCACTGACATAAGAACGTTGCACATAAACGCCGCAGGCAGCCCTCTGCCCAGGAAAAGCTCACCCACCAATGTGGTGGACGACGTGAAGGTGAGAAAGAAATCACAGACGTCAGCAAAGCCCTATTTGACATTAAGACCCAGCCGATGTGCCACCTCTTCCAGGAAGCCCTCCCTGAAGCCAGGCTGGGTGGGGAATGTCTCTGGGCCCCGGGCTACACTATTTGTCATTGTCTCCTCCAGCAGGGAGGCTCCTCCCAGGCAGGGCCTGAGTCCCCTTCGTGGCCCAGCTGAGAGCTGAGAGTGCCTGTGGGCGGCGAGCCGTGTGGGGATGAATGAATGGATGGATGAGTAAGGGAGTGAATGAATGAATGGCTGCTAAGTCTTCAGGTGACGCATGGTCATGAGGCCTGGACAGGGCTCACACAGGAGGAAGCTCCCCTGGTGGCCTTGGGCTCATGAGGAAGCCAGGCCGGGGTGGGGGTGCAGGCCAGGGCCTCGCCACAGGCAGGAGGCAGGGGTGCAGCTCCTAAGGCGCCAGGGCGCAGGGGCCTCTGCTACATCATCCATGAGCACAAATGTCTAGGGCTCCACCCTGCCCAGAGGGGGCACTGGCACCTCCCCTGCACCTCTCCCAGGGAGGGGCCCCACCACTGACCACACTCACCTCCCACCATGCCCCCCACCACGCCCTCCACACCGTGTCCTGCTGGCTCCCGGAAAATCAGCGCCACCTCCTGACCGTCTGAGCGTCAGGACCTGTGGGTGTCCTGGCAGGAGCGCAGGGAAGCTGGGGAGGAGACGGGATGGATCCAGGACCACTCCCCCTACACACACCCACACGCACACACACCCACACACATGCACCCTAGTCCCTTGCCCCAGGACAGGAGGAGACAGGATGGAGCCAGGACCACCCCCCTACGCACATGCACACACACACGCACGTGTGCGTACACACATATGCACACACGTGCACACACGCGTACACACATATGCCCACACATGCACACACACATACACATGCACCCTAACAACTCGTCCCAGGACAGGACACTGGATGGAGGCAGGACCACCCCCCTACACACACACACACACACACACACACACGCATGCACACCCCAGCCCCTTGCCCCAGGCCCAGGAGATGAAACAGAGCCAGGACCGCCCCCTACACACACACACGCACACATGCACATGCACACGTGTGCACACACACAGCCCAGCCCCTTGCCCGGGGCCGGCGCAGTCCTCCGTGCCAGCCTGTCCAGGTCTCCACAAGTGGTGGCGTGCGGGCTGGCCGAGCCGGCCATCTGTGCGTTGGGGGCCTGGGGGCAGGGGCCACGGAGCTGGGGGTGATGTGGCCCCACTTAGCGCTGGGCCAGGCCCAAACAAGTGCGGCTCAGCCGGCCCCTGCAAGCAGATGCCCACCCTGCCTGGGCGGGTGGACCTGAAAGCTTCCTGACTTGGGGGGAATGTTCTAGGAGATGACTGGGCGGGAACAGGAAACTGTCAACGGAACTTCAGGCGGCGCCTTTGCCTTCTCCCCGCTCCTCCATCGCGAGTCTTTCCTTATTCGAGGGTCGGATTTTCGGGGAGCCAGCAGGACACGGTGTGGAGGGCGTGGTGCGGGGGGCACGGAGCAGAGGCCCCACATCCTAGGAATTGGGAACTTTAGCAGACCTGGGTGGGTGCAGCCCTGACATACATCACATCCTCCAGCCCCAACCCCACCAGAACCTTCCAGCGGCCCTCCCCTCCCCCAAGGCTTTTAGAATCCCCTCCAAACCCTTTCATGGCCTCCAGGGCGCTGCAGGAGATGCCCCGCCTACTTTCTCCCACCCTCACACACACCAGCCACCCTGGCCTCCTTTTCCTGAACATGCTGCAGGCCCTTCGCACACGCTGCTCCCTCAGCCTGCAAGGCTCTTCCCCAGATAACTCCACCTCCTCCAAGTCCTGCTGGGGTTTCCCACAGCTCACAGGAATTCTCTAGCAAACACCATGACTTGAATAAGGAAGAAAGGCCACTTAGGAGAAATGGTGGAAACCCTGCCCTCTCCCCCTTACTTAGTATTTAGAGCAGGAGGCTGTCAGGTCAGGAGAAGTGACCCAGAAAAGGGGCAGCTACAGGACCAAGCATGGTGGAGCCCCTCCAGGACCCCAGCAGGCACCCTGCAGGGGTGCGGTGGGCCAGGCTGGGCTGGCTCAGCTGAGTTGCAGGCCAGCTTCTCCAGGAGAACCCAGAAAGAAGTCTGCTTTCTTGTTTGCTTGCTTTCTTTCTTTTTTCTTTTTCTTTTTTTTTTTAAGATTGTATTTATTTATTCATGAGAGACAGAGAGAGAGGCAGAGACACAGGCAGAGGGAGGCATAGCCTCCCTGTGGGGAGCCCGATGTGGGACTTGATCCCAGGACCCCAGGATCATGCCCTGACCCAAAGGCAGATGCTCAACCGCTGAGCCACCCAGGCATCCCATGAACTCTGCTTTCAAACATGTCTGCAGGCGGGGGTCACAGCGGGGGACGAGAAGGAAGAGGGCAGGGTGGTCGGCGTGGTGGCCTTGGCTGCACGTACACGGTCCTGTTAATGGCAACCGCGCTCAGAGGTCATTTCCCCATTTTCCAAAGAGAGACCAGAGGTGCAGAGACGCACAGGGTTTGTCTGAAGCCCCATAGCTGGTAGCTGGCAAAGCCAGGACGGACCCCGGGCCTGGAACCCAGCCCCTGGCCTTCCACCGTGACTCCTAGTCCATGGGCCTCCTGTCTCCGCCAGCAGGACACAGCCAGTGGGAGGAGGACGGGCTGCGTTTTGGGTGTGACGAGGCCGCAGGCTGGAGTGGGGGCTCACAGCAGTAACTTGGGTGCTCCCCAGATACACCCCTGCAGCACTCACTCCCCAGGCTTGTGGCCCCATCTGCAGGGGTCGGAGGAGTAGGTGTGCCTGATGTTGTCCCTCTTAACCATTCGCTCAGGAAGGTGCTATTGGAGGACGCATGAACAGAGGTAGAGGTTCCTGGATGAGGGAGGTGACAGTCTGCAGATCTTAGGACACTGTGTGGAAGGAAGGTTCATAACATTCCTCCCCAAGTGTCCACCCATCCAACAGACCCAGCGCTCCGGGTCCTCTCTGTTTGGGTGTTGGAGTCCAGAGGTAGAGATGAAGTCTCCCCTTGAGCGCTGCTTCCATTGCTCTGAACTTGCAGAGGGTCTGTCTGCCCCACAAGAACCCCCATTCTTGCTCCACTGGGGGTCTGATCCATGTTCTTGGGGGATCAGGCCATGGCGCCAAATGTGGTCCAAGGGAACCACCCCAAGTGGGTTTTCAGAGCCCGGTTGTCCCAGAGCAGGGGCCCCGTCTGCCCTGGGCTGTGCCTCCTGCCCGCTGGTGCTGGCTCCCCCCAGAGAACGGGCAGGGCACGGGCACATCTCACTCCCAAGATAGGGTATCTCCCAGTTACCCCAGGGGGTGCCCCAGAGCGACCCCACTCCCATTAGCCTGGGACTCAGGAAGAGGGGAGTCTGGGTCCTGACCCCCACCAATGGCGTTGGAGGGGCTTTGAACACCCATCGCTGTGGTTTTGGTGCCTTGATCAGCAGCCCCTCTGCGCCCGCTGCAGGCAGTGGGGCCCAGGGGCAGGCGGTGTCCCCTTCCCATCTTGCCCCTTCCCGCCTCCCCTGCACCCCAGGCTCCGAGGAGACTCCTTGAATGTTTCCTGCTTTGTTATTTTCATCATCCTAGGGAACTCATGTTTTTAAAAGGTTATGTCCATTAAGCGGATACACGCTGTCATCTGTAATTCCGATTCTGAGAGTTCTCCTGGGACATCTGATGTCCCTGACAATCTGCCTACACTCAGTAGGCTGCTCTGCCTCGAGTGACTGTCCAGCCTGTCCTTGGCCACCGCCACCGCTGCCTCCCACCCCCCAGTGAACGCCAAACCCCGCAGAGCACCTGTTCTCCTCGCACACAGACACACAGCACCCCTCCTCTGCTCCCCGGGCTCCGGCACCCCTACCCCGCACCTCTGCCCCGCAAGGGCAGGCCTCCCGCTCCCCACCGGAACCAGCGTTCCAATTCCCATATCCCCAAATGTGGAACCCCAGCAAGTTCCTCAACAACAGGGGTCACTGGGGATACCTCACCATCGGTTTCTACAAAATTAGAACACCTTGTCTGCTTCTCCCTGGCCTCCTTAATCTCACGGGGGGGCGGGGCACACTTCCTTAATAAATGGACAGACGGTGACCTTTAAGGAAGTTTGGGCACATTTCACAGGTTTTAGCAAAATAGAAATATTCTAACACAGTAAGTCTCTTTTGCCCTTTTTAAAATTCCTTGTTTCTTGCATATGATTAAAAATGTCAGGGCCTTATACCCAGGCTGTAGGTAGACGGGGTACCTTTGGGCTTGACATATTTGTCCTGAGCGTGACCTTGGCGGTGGGGGGTAGCTACAAGTGGGGCCTCACCATGGAAAACCTGCCCCAAAGTACAGCTCCTGACGCTGTCTGGAAGGGCAGACGCACACGAAAGTTTAGTGCATGCTCTGCAGTGTGAAAAGCAGGGGCTGTCACTCCATGCAGTTGGTGGACCTGACGCCGGCTCCTTCACGGCGTGCCCGTGACTGCACTGCTGGGGACGCTGGCGCCTGCAGCCCACTGCCCGCCCTCCAGGCTGAGAATGTCAGCTCCACGTGGGCCCTGTGCAGAGGAACCCTGGCAGGTCCAACCATCTCCTACAGAACTGCTTCTCCACTTTCTCTTCTCAGGCCCACTGCTACCTCGAATCCTCACCCCTACACACCTCCCAGGCCCCCCAACACAGACTCTGCAAGGCTCTGCCAAGCCTGTTCCTTCTCTTTCTCCTTCTCTTCCATGTCTTTGCCATATACCCAACAGTCACCCCTGCCAGGGACCTGGGTATCACCTATGGTCCCTGCGTCCTGTCCTCGGGGCTCCCAGAAGAGCTCAGCCCCAGCCTCCAAGGCACCGTGTGGCTCCCCACCAGGATGGCAGCTCCAGCCCCATCCCTGGCATTCACTGCCTTTGCTTAGACCCCCACAGTAACGGGTCTGACCATGTGAAGACACAGGTCAGGTCTCTAACCCCCCAGCAGTAGCTTACGTGGCAGACATTAACACCTGCTAAGAGGAGCCCTGTGTTCCCCCAGTCAGGCTGGCTGGAGGGTGAATACCTAAGTCTCAGAACTCCTCTGGGAGGGGAGGGGACCACAGATCCAATCATCAGCAGAATGGGTATGGGGCAGGTGTCAGGCCCCCTGCCTCCTTACCTGCCGCCAGGTGTGCCCGCAGTCTGACGTGATGTACATTTCTTCCTTATATTCCACCAGCTGTGAGCCCAGGTTACCTGGTCCAGAAGAACAGGGGCAAGGTTGCTCTTAGGATCAGCCAGCTTTGGGCCTTTCCAAGGTCTGTGCCCAGACAAATCCCCACACAAGTTACGTGTGCCCTGAGTCTCCATCTCCCACATTCAAAGCCGCCCACAGGCATGCCCCCTCTGCCTTCTCCTTACACTCACCGGCCTACAGAACCCCTGTGTCTGGGCTCTGGGTCCTAGTCTATGCAGTAACAGATGAGCCTGGCCCAAAGAAAGCCAGCCTCAGGCAGCCCCAGCAGGGCCCTGACATAGGCGGAGTGTGGGCACTTGAGGGGTCCACGGGGAATAAGTGGTTCAAGAATAAATGTGGAGTGCCAATCAGGGGCTGGCTAGGAGAATATGCTCCAGGCGGGCCAGGGTGGGGTCATGAGGGTGCCTGGCAGGCTTTATACTGGGGGCAGGACACAGCTGGTTTGCATTTGGAGCCAGCTTCCCAGGGCTGGGTTTAGGGGAGACAGAGGTCCAGGGCAGCATGGGAATTACAAGTGAGAGGCTGCCTAAGCCCATCCATTTATCCATCATTCATCCACCCATCCATCCATCCATCCATCCACCCACCCATCCATCCATCCACCCATCCATCCACCCACCATCCCTCCATCATCCATCCATCCATCCATCCATCCATCCATGTATCCATCATCCATCCATCTACCCATCTACCAACCATCCATCCATCATCCATCCATCCACTCATCCCTCCATCATCCATCAATGGATCCTTTATTAATTTATCCACCCATCCACTCACCTTTCATCCCTCCATCCCCATATTTCTCTTCATCAACTCCACCCACTCACCCATTCCCACACTTATTCAACAGGATTTGCTGAGAACCTGCTCTCTGCCCAGCCCCTGTGCTGAGCCATGGGGGGTCAGAGCTGAATAAACCACAGCCTCTGCTCAGCCCAGCGGGGGAAGTGTGCCATGCAACTACACACAGGGCCAGGATATCTGGAAGCCCAAGGAATCATGAGAGCAGACAGGGGACAACTAATGGACCCAGGAAGGAAGACCATCAAGAGGAGACTCCCACAGGGAGTGACCGCCAAGCTGTACCTGGAGAGACAAAGGCGTGCTGGCCAAGGGAGAAGGAAAGGGTGTGCCTGGTGGAGAGAACAGCCTGGTCAGTGGTGTGGAGGTGGGAAGGCACGTGGTGGAGACAGGGGCAGAGGGGCAGGTGCTGAACTGGGTACCCTCTCTCCACCTGGCAAACAGAAGGTGCTGAGAGATGGCCGTGAATGCATGAAAGGAGCAGGTGAACGAATGAATGGAATGGCGGGGATGGGAGGGGAGGAGGGCTGCCCTTGATCTCCGCAGCAGTGCAGATGGCAGCAGACACGCGCCGGCCTGCATGCATCACACGCGGAGCCGCGCGGCGAGTGCTGCGGCGTCAGGAAGACTCGGCAGGCGAGCTCCCTGTCTGGGACTCCGCGGTGCAGATGTCTGTCTTCTAAGGGATGCTATCTGCTTTCCTTGCACCGTCTCCCAGAGCTGTCAGGCTGCCAGTCACCCGACAGGCACTGGGGAAAAATAAAGGGAAATTCACGGAATGCGTCCCCAGGCTGTCAGAGCAGAAGGCCTGAGAAACACGGAGGCGGTGCCCTCATTTTACAGATGGGGAAACTGAGGCCCAGGGGACGCGACTAAGGGAGGGGCAGGGAGGCTGCAGAGGGCCCACCCTCTCTCTGCAGGGCCTGGGGGTTCGGCTGGGCTCCCCAGTCTCTGAGTGAGCACAGTGAGTGATATGCATCCAGATCCTCACAGCATCCGTGGGCAGCCAGGAAGTGCGTTCTGGGTGTGGGAGGCCTTTGAGTCATGGAAACATTTAAAATTGTGCCTTTTGTATTTTCGTTGAGAATTTGGGGGTTCATCCAACCAGAACAGTGCCTTTGAGGGACCGGGAGGCAGGCGGGCCCTGTGGGTGTCCCCTCACTCGGGAGCCTGGGTTGGGTTTCAGGCTTCCTGAGTGACGGTCTGCAGGTGGGGCAGGTAATCCCACTCCTGAGCTCCCGCTTGCTCCCCTGTAAAGGGGCGGGGGGGGTGAACCTCTCTGGCCTGGTGCCGAGATTAGGAGCTCAGTGCCTAGACAGAGGGAAGGCCTGTCCACACATCTGCTCATTTTCCCTTCCCTTCTGGCAGTGGCACTAGCAGGGGCAGGGGCTGTCCCAGTGCTGGGTGCAGAATGGCCCATAACCCTCAACACGCAAGGAAGATAAGACACCTGCCACTGCCTAGCAATATGCTTTCAAAACACATACTTTTAATTTTGAAAGATTATTTGAAGTTAAATAAACCTTAGTTTAGCTTGTGTTCCCTCAGCCCACAGGTACTCACCCCCGAAGGAGGCTCTAGTTAACCTGCATTGACAGGCACAGGCACGACTCTGCTTTGATATTTTTTCTCACGTTTGTTGTATGTGTCTCTCTCACTCCTTGACTGAACTAGAACCTTCTTCAGGAATCAACATGTCAGCCATGACACGAATCATTCTTCCATCCATCCATCCATCCATCCACACATGCATCCACTTCTTCCTCTATTGATCCATTCACCATTCTGTGATCCAGCCATCCAATTGTCCATGCTTCCAGCCACCCACCTATCCCTTCACTCATCCTCCGATGTTCACCCCTGTCCCATCCTTCAGTTGGCCATCCATCCATCACCCATCTATTCATCCATCCATCCATCCATCCGTCATTCACCCATTATCCATCCATCCAACCATCCATCATCCATTCATCCATCCATCCATCCAACCATCTTCCCATGCAGCAACATGTATTGTGTGCCCACTCTGGGCCACGCATTCATCCCTTGGGGTGTGCCATGATTGTGCCAGGCCCAGAGCCATCCAGCTCTACCCTTGAGGATGGAGCTCCCCTCAGGCAGCCTCCTACCTGCACCCATGATGAGGCCCGGGGCAGTGTCTTTGGTGTGCACGGTGCCCGACACGTAAGGGTTGTCTGCCCATCGCAGGTGCAGATGGAGGTGGCAGTCCGGCTGCAGGCGGGGGAAAGAAGGGGCCAAGGTCAGCTTTCAGGTGGGAGACATGTTCCCAGGAAAGGTAGGAGTGAGGCTTTTCAGGTGGGAAGGCAGAGGCAGGAGCATCTGGGAGGAGGGGATGAAGGGCAGGGAGGAGGGGATGAAGGGCAGGAAGGAGGCTCTGGGGCTGATTGCAGGGTGGAGGCCATTGGGTCCAGGGTGACTGGCTGTGAATGAAGCCAGTCGGGCTTCTCCAAGGGAGGGTTCTCCCAGCACGAAAGAGCACTCCCAGCATGGAGTGGGCATTCCCATATGCAGTGCCCGATCACAGAATGTGACTCCTGGAGCCTGCATAGCCTGTGGCCACATCTGTCCGTCTGTCCATCCATCCATCCAGCCCCGCTCCTGGGGGCCTCCTAGCAGACACAGTAGCCCAGGCACCATGGAACAGCTGCAGACACCCCAGCAGCCCTGCACCTTCTGTGAAGAGCCCAGCGGCAAACATCATGTGTGTCCAGAGGGCAGCACTGGGGGGCATCCTGGCTGGAGGGGTCGGAAAACCGGGTGTAATGATAATTCCAGTGGCGACCCACGTGGGCTGACGGCTGCCTCTGTGCCAGCCCTGAGCTCAGCACTACACGTCACTGACGTTCTCCACATCCCCGCCACCACCCGTTTCACCAGTGGGGAAACTGAAGCAGAGAGCATCTAAGCGACCTGCCCAAGGGCCATGGTGGGGCTGGGCTACCATCCAGGGTGCCTGGATCCAGTCTCCACACTCAGAGCCTGTGGGTGTCTCCCCGGGAGGGGATGCGCTTCCATCCAGGCCAAACTGGGCCAGGAGCCTCCCAGGAGGAGGAGGCATGAGCAGCTTCCTGTCTGGCCTCCTGGGGGGAAGAGACCCCCTCACACCCACCTGTCTCCTCCTGGCCGCCTGCACCCCAGCTCGTCCCTGGGTGAGCCTGGGGGTCCAGGGAGGACAGACGAGCTGAGAAGGATGTGCCCTGTGGCTGTGGCCTCCCCGAGTCTCCCCAGACCTCAGAGGCTCAATGCCACAATCTTGCCGGCACCCCTTGGCCACCCCCATGACTGAATGTAGAGCCATAGGATGAGCTCCCAGGTCTCTACACAGCACTGCAGGGGCGCCAGGGGCTCCACCTGGCAGGGACCATCAGCCATGCCCCAGGGCTGCCCATAGCACCTCCTTCTTCTCTCGTCCGTTCTGAAGACTGGGAGGTGGGCTCTGGAGCCTGACTGGCCGGGCCCACCTTGATAACACAGGAAAGGGAGCAGGAGGCCCACCAGAGACCTCAAAGGGGTTCTTGGGGTCAGGCTTTGGGGTGTCCCCCATGTCGGAATTCCCCAGGCCTGAAATAGCTGGAGCCATGGACAGGGCTACGTTTTCAATCCTTGTACCCACTAAAAGCTGTGTGACTCTGGAAAAAGTGCTCAGAGTCTCTGGGTCTCTCTTTCTTTCTCTACTTCACAGCATTACTGGATTAACACAGCACAGCTTTTGGAAAGAACATCGATCGTGGTGCACCCACCCCCAGAGAACATTTGCTTAATTTCTTACTTATCAGAAAAGTAATAATTTCTTTGGCCCTCTTTTATTTCCTGGAAAAATATCCAGTTTAGAATTATTGTGGAACCAAGTACTGAGAGATCCAGCTTCTAATTTAGGAGGCGCCTCTAATTTTGTGGGCCACTCTAGGCCTCAGTTTCCTCGCAGTGACATGCAGGCAGAGGCACACAGGAGTGACCCTGTGACCCTTGGGCCTCTAAGTTAAAAACAAAACCATTTAGTAAGTTGGACGGTGACCCAGGTCAGACGGCACCAGGTGGTGGCCCCAGGGTCCAGTCCAGTTGGGACCTGCTTTCCTGTCTGTGCTGGGCTCCTAAAGATGGGTCAGCTGTGCCCTGTGCACTGGGGTCATCCACATGAGAAGCCCAGGCAGGGAGTCTACAGAGACAAGAAGCAGATGGTGCCGGGCAGGGGCTGGGCGTGGGGTGGGATTGTGGGGTAAGGTGGGGATTGTGGGGTGGGGGAGCCCATGCTGCAGGTGAGCACAGAGTCACGGAGTCAGTGGAGGAGAGCCCAGTCTAGGAGCTCTTGGATCCAACAAGACAAACCTCCCTCCCAAAACTGTGGAGTAAGACTTTGCCTGTTCAGGTTTTCTCCTGACTTCTTATGATTGAAAAGCAGATTAGGGAGCTAGTCTCTTTGGTGAGACCACTCAGTTCTCTTCTCCTCCCACCTGGTGACCAGACACTAAGGGGCAGAGAGATTTCTATGACCTCTGTGGGCAGGGCCAGCTCCCAGGGGACGGGCATCCTGGCAGCCGTGACCTCTGTGGGCAGGGCTGGCTCCCAGGGGACAGGCATCCTGGCAGCCATGACCTCTGTGGGCAGGGCCAGCTCCCAGGGGACGGGCATCCTGGCAGCTGTGACCTCTGTGGGCAGGGCCGGCTCCCAGGGGACAGGCATCCTGGCAGCCATGACCTCTGTGGGCAGGGCCAGCTCCCAGGGGTTGGGCATCCTGGCAGCCGTGACCTCTGTGGGCAGGGCTGGCTCCCGGGAGATAGGTACCAGCCATGACCTCTGTGGGCAGGGCTGGCTCCCGGGAGATAGGTACCTAGGTGTCCATGACCTCTGTGGGCAGGGCCGGCTCCTAGGGGACAGGCATCCTGGCAGCTGTGACCTCTGTGAGCAGCACCGGCTTCCAGGGAACAAGTACCCAGGTGTCCATGACCTGTGTGGGCAGGGCCAGCTCCCAGGGGACGAGCATCCTGGCAGCCGTGACCTCTGTGGGCAGGGCCGGCTCCTGGGAGATGGGCACCCTGGCAGCCGTGACCTCTGTGGGCAGGGCCGGCTTCCAGTGGTACAAGATAACCCTGAGTCAGAAGAAAAAAGCCTCACCAAGGATGTGTTAGAGAAGGGAGGTAGCACAGCCCTGCCTCAGTGCCCCTGGTTTCCGGGTGGGCCAGGTGGGGCCTGGAGCTGCCCACACTCTGGGCTGGCCTCCTTGGGCTGCCACCAGGCTTTGCACGTCTCCTGATGCACCGTGCACAGGGTATGACCGTGTGTGCAGTGGGCAGAGCACGGCAGAGGGTCCTGCGTCGAGGAACCTGGCTGTCTCCCCTCACCCCTGCTGGTGGGCTGTCCTGGCAGAGCACTCCTTGGGTTCTGTGCAGTCAGCTGTGGCCCACAGGATGCTGGCAGGTGTGGCCAGACCTGGGGTGCCCTTTGGGGCCATGGAGGACCTGCAGACAGCTCTCTTCCAGCCAGTCCTGGAGCTTCTAGAGGGTGCTCTGCTGGTGTCTGGCAGCTTGACACAAGGCCTCATCATCGCCCCCAGACATGTCTGAACCGCGCAAGTGGAGGGCTGGGTGAGCGGGGTGAGGTGGAACTGTGGGGGCCCAGCCCAGGGCACTCAGATACCCTGAGTCAGGGAAAGGGCTGTCAGAGGGGGTCAGGGGTTGCCCCCAAGGGTAGGCTGGTGCCACAGTATTGTGCACTGAATACCCTGTCCCGAGAAAGGTGGCACCAGGGCTTGGGTGGGTGTGAGGCCAGCCACATAGGGAGACCACGACACCCCCAGCACCCCCTCCTTGACAGCCTGGGTTTGAGAGGGGCTCAGAGCTAATGGGTTTTCATTCTGAATTAAGATGCAAACTGATTCAAACCACTTCCAAATAGGATTTATCCTCCCGAAACAGAACGGATCCCGACACTCATCTATGTCATAAGTCCCCGTTCCCAGCAGGAGATCTGCCCAGCAGAGAGCCAGGCTACAGCCCGGAGAAGTGCCAGCAACCCAGAGTTAAGAGAAAGACAGAAGACAAATCACACACATGTCAGGGGCCCCGTGATGACTCTTGAACTGCATATAAGCTAACAGATTGTCAGGAAAATCCCCGATTATTATTATTTTTGGGTGATCCTGTTATGGCTGGACCTCATCTCCCTGTTTACACACTTCTGTATTCGGCAATAGGCAGGAACCCCCTTTGCAAGGAGAAGTGAACCCTCCATTCATGCAGAGGACACGTGGCCGAGGGAAAGACACAGCCAGTGAGGAAAGCCAGGCGAGCGGCCAGGCTTGTGCCACCCCGTGCCCCCCGCGCCCCCCGCCCCGTGCTGCTGCCACCACGTCCAGAGACACCTCCTTCCCCTTTCTGTATTTGGCTCCCCGCCGGCTTTCTCTCTCCTGGCGCTCGCTGGGTTCTCCACAGGCTGCTGGGGCCGCACACTCCACCAGCCTCCTTTTACTTCTGTTATTTTAATGCAGGGACATGAATCTCATGAACGTTATCTCCTCACTGAGCTGCATAATTGCAGACAAGAATCTATTCTTAGCAAAAAACTTGCTTTGACAGATTAATATGGCTTAACTTTGCTGCTGATGATACAGGAATGAGCCCTTCGCGGCATTCCTGTTCTCCGAAGACTTTCTACAAGCGGCAGGTAATTACTTCCTCACGAGGGTCGACAGGTGCTATTTCCCTGCAGTCTCAGTGGGAGGGCCCTGTGCCGAGGCTGGGCACAGGTCCCGGGGGCAAGGGGAGGCCTGGGCCGAGGCTCACCGAGCAAGGGCCATCCCCGCCAGGCTGACGCTGCTGCCCGGGGCTCTGGGGAGGGGGGTCAGTGTCCCCGAGGAGGAGGGAGGGACCCACTCTGCCTAGATTGTTCTTTACTCCGGCAGGGTAGGGGGGCGGGGATCTGTGCTGCACAGATCCAGGCAGGATCCCAGGAGGGCAGGACTGTCTTTTGGTTCGTGTGTTGATCTACTCCAAACGCCCAGAACAGCGCCCCACACATGGTAGCTACCCGTGTATCTTTACTGAACAAATATCCCTATAAAATAGACACCGTCCTTCTTTCTGTGTACAGAGAGACAGAGCTACAGACGGGCTCAGGCATCTGGAGCATGGTTCCTACCTCCGAGGGACTCACAGTCACGGCCAGTGGAAAACAGAGAAGCAAGTTTTCTGGTGTCAATAGGAGTTTGCTGGACGAAGCAAAAGGAAAAGGCATTCCAGGCCCACAGGACAGCATGGGAAGGGGGCAGTGCAGACGGGAAGGGACAGGCTCAGTCCTGCCTGCTTGCTCTGTGCAGCTCTAACTCCAGACCTCATGCCGTCCCACTCTGAGCAGCCAGGGAAGGTCCGGGTGCTGGTGCTGGGGGGGGGGTGGGGAGCTCCCCATGGAGCAAGGAGAGGCAGGTCCGCAGGGCGCTGAGCAGCCTGCCTCAGGCCAGGGCCCCTTAGTGCTCCATCTTTCCACCCCACAGGCACGGGCCTGCATGTCACCCACACCTCCCGGTGGCCAAGCAAGGGCCAGAGAGAAATCCAGCCTCCTGCCCCCAGGGCAATCAACAAACTGGGGCAGCCTACACTGGTTTCCATGAGAGAGGCACCCCTGGGATAGAGGGACTGGCTTGGGGCTCAAGACATTTGGGCTGTGGCCCAGCCTGGCCACTTATCACAGTCACCCCCCTGCCCCCCAGGCAGAGTGCACATCCTGGTCCTGCACGCTGGCCCATCGATCTAGCAGACGTAACACAGCAGGCTTGCCGTGTGCTTGCCTGCTTCTGCTCACTCCTCTGCCATCGCATGAGGGTGTGCCAGCACTGGTCCCAGGAGGAGGGGGAGGCTGGATTCAGGGAGCAGACCCCCTCCAAAATCAGCTGCCCTCTACATCTGTGAGTGAGCCCTGATGTGGAAAATGTGAGATTGTTGTTGCAGCTTTGTTACACGGCAACATTGCGGCCAGCGCTGACTGATGCACTGCTCCTCTCTGACCTCCAGGTAACCCTTCAGTAAAGGAAGGGGCTTCACAGGACCCTCTCTGCCATGCCCAGAGAAGTCTGTGGTTCCTGTCTCCCTGATGGCCCTTCTCAGACATCCCTGCCTGAGCTTCCAGAGGTTCCTTCATGGATGCCCTGTGCATCTCCCCCCACCCCTCCAACCCTGCGGTCAGTGCAGGATCAGGGAGGCACTTACTGGCTCACAGTTGGTGGGTTTTCCATTCATGTCCGTGCTGGGTGGCCTCAGGTGATCCCAGTCACGGCCCTTGTTGTAAGTTATAAGTGTGACCACCTTGCCATTAGTTTTTTGGTTCGCCAAGAAGACTCCTTTCACCCCTCGGACCTGGAACAGCAATGCAAGAAGTGTCATAAATACCCATCCGGGGAGCCCCCTGACAACAGAGCATGCACCATGTGCCAACCCCTTGCTAAGAGCTCCGTCCACAGGGCCGCATTTCACACCGGGAAGAGCCCCAGAGCTGAGGTGATCTGCCTACATTCTGGAGGTGAGTATGGCTCAGGGGGTGAGGATGACAGACTGTGGTCCCCAAAGCCCCTGGGTGCCTGCGTGACACAGAGCTGCCATCCCAGGCCCAGACATTGGCCATCAGACAGTGAGCAGAGCCCTGGTCCTGCCATGCCTGGGTGTCATGGTCACCCCATCCCCATCCCAGAGCCCCTGAACCATGCCTCCCTCCACTGGACCCACAGGGCCTGGGCCGACGCCAGTACGCTGGGCTCTCCTCCAGATTCTCTCAGCTCAGCCCCCACAGAAATGCCAGGTAGGGAGGACATGGGGTGGGCACTGACCACCCCCTCCTTGGCCAGGGGCTCAGGTTCACCTTGTCCCCCTTCTCAGTGTTTCCAGGGTGCCCGTGCAGTGACCTAAACACAGCCAACAGCTGGCTACTGACTGGACCCATGAGAAAGTCTGAATATCAGCAAAGGCCTCTAGGTCAGTGTCCTGAGCACACACAGGCGGGCTTTCCCCGCCAGTTCCTCCCAAACGAGGGCCTCGGACGTACAGCTATCGAGAAGCACCAGTGTGGCCGGGCCCCCAGGAGCCTCCTGTGCACCTGCGGCTGCGGCTGCTCCTCCATGGGCAGCATGTCACTACTTCTTGGAGGGAGCCCGAGAAACCGGAGCCTCGGGGAGCCATGGGATTTACCCAGGCTGAGGAATCTGCTTCTGTCACATGACGATGCACATTTCCCGAGCGCCTTCTCTGCAGCAGGCAAGCGAGGTTCAAGTGTGCCATCAAGGAGCTGCCCATGACGCCGGGGCCAGCACTCCCCCGCACCTAGCACATAGGCCCGCCACATGTCCCCGTGTGGGGAGAGCAGGGCGACCGAAGGAAAGACACGAGTGGAGGGTAGATGTGCGCCCTGGGGCTGCCGTAATGGAGTAATGTGGGCTGGTGGCTTATGACACTTCATTGCGTCACAGTTCTGGAGGTCAGAAGTCCAGCACAGGGGTCCCCCTGGGGTCGCAGGGCCGGCTCGTCCTGGAGGCTCCAGGCTCTGACCCTCCTCGTCAGCACCCCCTTTCAGGGACCCTCTTGATCCCACCAACTTTAACTGCCCTGTGCCATGCGCATCTACGCAGGATGCCACTCCAGGTGGGAAGGGTGTCCAGCCCCCATCCTGCAGACAAAGCTGGAGCTGGTCTCCCTGCAGCGACAGCCTGGGGCGTGGAGGACCGCGACCCCTTCTCCCACACATGGTGACATCGTTCTGCCTCCTGCTCACCTGGGTCCAGCGCTGGGTCGAGGGGCCTCCCTGACACCCTAAGGACAGGTCACATGAGGATTTTCCCAGGGCTGGGTGGCTTTATTCCACAATTGCCATGTCATGTTCTGCTGGCCTCCGTGAAAGCAGCCCATTATAGCACGGATGCCTCATGTCTGGGTGATGGCAGGTGGCACATGGCAGGTCTGGGCAGCACCCACCCCAGGCTTACTCTGAGCAGAGGGGCCGCGGCTCCCGACACCGACGTGACCTCACACAGGCCCCTTCAGGGCTGTATTTGCTCCCGTTGCTGCCGTAACCAAGCACCACAAACTGGGAGGCTAACCAGACATCTGTCCTCACAGCCCAGAGCCCAGAAGCCCAAAATCGAGGTGCGGCTGGGGCTGCGCTCCCCCTGGAGTTCCCAGGGAGGACCCTCCCTTGTCTCTTCCAGCGTCTGGTAGCTCAGGGGTCATGGGCCTGCGTCCACATCTCCCCAGCGTCTCCCCTGTCTTCACGTGGCCACCTCCCTGTGGCTGCATCTCCTCTTCTGACTTCAGGGGACATTTGTCCTTGGATCTGGGGCCCGGGTGGAGAATCCTCGTGCTCTCATCTCAAGGCTCTTCACCTAATGACAGTGGCAAAGACTCTTTCTCCAGCCAAGGTCATGGGCACAGGTTCCAGGGACTGACAGGGCCACATAGGCTGGGGGTCCCCATTCACCCGGCTATGACGGCTGCCTCCCACCTGTGGCCAGGACTCTTCAGGGGCAGGGGCAAGACGGGGATCCCCTGAACCCCCATTCCTAACCCAAGCTCCAGCATGGAGGCATGCAGAAAAGGGCCACTGTCTCTCCTTGAACCTGGGGCGCACACCCTGCTGAGGTGCCAGCTCACGGCACCTGAAAGCCAGGCCTTCTGGCGCAGTATTTGCCTGTGACGTCTGCGACAAAGCATTTTTCCCGGATGCGCCATTGGAGAAATGATAACCGTGATCGTAAGTGGCACATGTGGAGGACCTCACAGGCCAGGTTCCAGGCCAGGTCTTTCCTGTGCATCAGCTCAAATCCCTGGGAAAGGCCACTGCTCGGTATACGGTGGAGGGCTTGTGGAGCACGGACCTGGCACCAGACACTGCTCTCCATGTTCAAGGAGGCCTATTTCCCTGAAACTGCACTGCAATCCTATGAGGAAAGTGCCACTGCCATCCTCATCTCTTGATGAGAAACTGAAGCACAGAGAAGTTAAGGAGCCTGCCCAAGGTCACACAGCAAACACAAACCAGAACTGGGATGTGAATGCAGGCTGTGCAGCTCCAGAGCTGTGCTTGTAACTACAGCCCATGGCCCCCATCAGCTGGATTTCAGGGAAGCAGTGTCCCCCGTGAGGTGGGTGGGCAGCAGGTGTCACCTATATGACAGGCCACTGTGAACCTCCTCTAGCTCCTCATGTGCTCTTATTTCGTGGTCTTTGTCCACAGATTACTGTTCCCGAGTTCCCCAGATGGCTAATTTCTGCTCCATCTCAACTCAATCTGCATCCTCTCCTCCAGGAAGCACTCCCCGACTCCCACCCTGGGCTGGGCGATTGCCACTCACTGTGTCCCCTGGGTGCTGGCACACAGATTGGAGCCACCGTTGGGAGCTGGTCTTCTCACAGAGGCCGGCAGCTCTGTGAGGGGCGGCGTGTTCCTCCCTGACCCGAGGGAGAGGCCCAGAGCCTGGCGTGTGGGACCAGTGCCGCAGACACCTGTGCACACAGTGGGCCATGGGACATGTCCCTGTGCACAGCCCCTGGTCCTGGTCCCCTTCCTGAGCCACCGTCACCCGCTCCCTCTCCCCCTGCCAGCTGTGCTGTGCAGCAGCCAGACACCATTCAGCACCAGGTCTGGGATGTGTCCAGTGCCTCCCTGGAGGTTCTGCAGGACAGGGCCTGGGGAGGGGGACGGTGGCCACCTTGGACAGGACAGGCCACCTCTAGCAAAAGATCAGGGCCACAGGCAGTGTTCCTCTGCTTCCCCCTAGGGAAGTAGCCCTGCAAATGGGCTCTCATTGTAAACACATGATTACATTCATTCCTTTCTTGGGGAAAGTGGCTCCCTGCTGCTCCTTAACAGCTCAGAGGTGAAGGCAGGAGTGCTGGATCTCTCTGGAGGCTGCCTCCAGCCTCCCATGCGGCAGATGAACCCCACTGCCTGCTCCAGGCTCTGCTAGCATCCACGCACCCACACACACCCCAGCATTTACTGCAGTAGGGCACTTGCTCTGTTCCCACAAGGGTGGGGGGCTCCCAGAGGACAAGGCATGAGCTGAGAGCCTAAAAGTGAAGGATGGAGCCAGGGAGTGCCAGCGAGGAGGCTGGCGCCAGGCTTGGGGCCTACAGGCCTGGGCTGGTTCTGGTTTCCTGGCTTTGTTTCCTGTGTCTGTCCAGGCAGGTTGCTTACTTTCTCTGAGCTTCAGGCTCTTGACCTGGACATGGGCCGAGAGGCCCCCTCTGTGGCTCTGGTGTGACCAGAACAGAGGAGGTGACCATGACAGCCCAGTCCAAGAAAGGGACGGTGTCATGGATGTCCGTGGAATCCAAGTACCGAGTGAGATGGTGCAGGGGTGGCACCTGGCGTGGGAGCCAGGAGCCCCTGTTTGGAGCTTCCAATCGATCGGGCCCTCGCGTCAGAAGAGCACGAGCACAGGCTTCTGTGGGAGACAGTTGAGGCAGGGCTCCAGGGAGAGTGCAGGGGGAGAGGCAGCGAGGCAGGGACGCTCAGGGTGCTGGGACAGAGCCGGAGCCGGAGCCTCTGGCCCTTAGGTACAAACCACACTGCACCGGCTTTCAGGCTTTGGAGTGTGAGCCAGAACTGGCTTTACAGATGGTGGCCTGCGATCCCGGCCGTGATGCAGACCTCTAACACTGACCCCCAAATCAGCAAACTAGAGCGCCCCAAAGAATCCCATCCCTTCTCAGCATACCTGTATTACAGAGGATTTGCACTCCATTATCAAATTTTGAACTTTGTCAAGGAGACTATGTTTTCCCTCTTTGAAAGTACCTACACAGCATCCTCTTGGCCTGCAAAGCCTCCATCCAATACATGGTCCCTCACCGAAATATTTGCAGACTTGAGATAGTCTTAGAGACGACGGGGGGAGGGGGCAGGGAGAGAGTGAGGAACGCGGTGAGGCCTGGCCCCGACACCCCGCACCCAGCACCCGGGGCCACACCCCCAGATCTCTCTCTGGTGATCATCCCACCTCGAGGATGTCGATGACCACACTCTCCTCCGCCTGCCGGGAGCTGCGCACGTCCTCTAGCACCAGAGAGTAGCGCACGCCGCGCGGGTCCGACTGGTACAGGTTGTAGGTGTCCATCTGGTACCACTCCTGCACCGCCACGAACACCTGGTTCTCGTCCGTGCTGATGATCTGCAGATCCTGGGAACACGTGGTGGGGGGGAAGGATCAGAGGTGAGCAGGAGGTGGGCATGGGAGTGTGAGCCCTGAGGGGATGGGGCAGGGCTCAGGCCTGGGGGTGCTGCTCACGGCTCTCCCAGAGTCCCACTAACCCAGATTTTCATCCTGCTTCTGCCCTCAGCTTGGTGACCTGGGACAAGTCCCTATATCCCCTTGGGCCTCAGTTCTCCCACCACCAACATGGAGGTGATGCCCTGGCCTCCATACTGGGTTGTGGGAGGGACGGCCCAGGCACACAGTGGGGCACGCGGAGGCCCCCTCCTCCCAGCCCTGTGTCAGGCAATCTGTCCATCTGTCCCTGTTGTGTGGAGGACTTCTTCCTCCATGCACCTCCAGTGTCACCTCTGGGGACACAGGGGCTGGGTCTCCCCTGCAGGCCCATCCTGAGGATCAGGTGAGTCTTCTTTTGGATCATGCACTCACCATGCATTCATTAGGCACCTACTGTGTGCCAGGCACTGTACCAGGTGCTAGGCCTCAGCAAGGAGCCACAGGTGGGCTCTGCCCTCGGGAATGTCCCCTGGGGGATGGCAGGTTTGGATTAAGCCACCCGGCAGTCATCTTGAGGCTCTATTCCGAATTTTACAATTCAGAAACAGACAAAACCCAATCACATAAAAGGGAAGAAAAAGGAACCCCAGACCATCCTTGCTCCATTTATCTTTTCTCTCCCAGCCAGTGCACAGCGCTGGGTGGGAGCCCTGGGAACAGGCCCACTTCAGAGCCACAACAGGCTTTTACTCTCCAGCACTACTTCCCGTTCGTCACATCAAAACCTTCACTGCCCTGCTGGCAATACAGACGCTGAAAATGCAAGGGTGAGGCCGGGCATCACCAGCCAGCACCTGCAGAGGAGAGGCGGACCCCTCCATCCCCGCCCAGGGCAGGGCTGCTGCATTTTCGGGGAATGCTTCTCCCTATGTCTTCCCAGCTGGTATTAGGCGGGAACAGATGGGTAAGCTTCTTTGTCTAATAGCACACTGAGTCTCTATTCTGTCCAGGGGGTGAGGCCTCCAGCGGATGAAGGCCTGGCTGCCTGGGTGGGACACAGCAGTGATGGCTGGCACCCCCCTGCCCCACCCCTGTGCTGTAGGGGCTTTGCAGAAAAGGGACGTGTTGCTCTGAAGCACTGACTGTGCACCTCCCAACCAGGGAGGCCCCTGCAAGCACGAGCTGGGGCCCTTTGTCTACGGACTGAAATCTAACACGCAGCAATGACTGGAACCAAGAAGCTTGTCACCAGGGAAGATTGTCGAGGTCAGGGACACAGGGCTTGGCAGTTCCCATCCACAGTATGAGAGAAGAGGGTCATGGGGGAGTCCCAGGGATGCATGTGGAGCCTGGCACGAATCAAGCTTATCACTGCTCTGCTCTCTCAACCCCCATCCCGTTCCTGTGCTCCCGGCCACAGGCCAAACTGCGCTGTGTCCATTGGGGTTTGGTCATCCTGCTGCCTCAACAGGAGCAGGTGGGCCCGGGCTCAGGCAGCGCCTGCGTCCATCAGCACGCACCCAACATTAACCGCTATGGCATGAAATCCAACCTCGTCTCCTGTGCACCTGGGCAAGTACACGGGAGAGATGCTTACTAGAATCTGGGAAACAATGAAAAATGTATGATGTGGCTAAAAGCTGCCAGCAAACCCATCCCTAGATGAGAACTGATACTAACATTCAAAAATGTTTACTTTGGGACCTTTTCCCGAGTGTGAGTGATACGTGTCTTTCATGTACAGCCTGCAGCATCCCGCTGCCTCTCATTACATGAGGAGCACACTCCTCTGTCATGAGAGTTATGCATAAACACCATTTTTAATGAGTACGTGCTATTCCATTTTGTGGATGTACCATGTCTCTTTGAACGATTTCCCCGCTGGTGAGCCATCAGCATCTCCAACATTACATGCAGAACAGTCATGAACGTTCCTACACGTTGGTCTCTGCCTCTCTGATCACGTCCTGAATGTAAATTTTAAGGGATATTGCTGCGTTGGAGAATATGAGCATTTTTAAAGCTCCTCTTACAAAGTAAATGACTGTCCTGAGAGTTTATATTCATTCTTTGCCCTCCAGCATGGCTAACGGGTGCTCATTCCACTTCATGCATGCCAATGTTGAGAACGGCCTCTTAAGAATCTTTGCTGATTACAGAATATGGTAATAGATAATAGAGAAGAGATAAATAATGTGCAGTGCTGGCTTACATTTGAATTTATGTCTCTGTCTCTAAAAAGAAGAGTTAGAAGCCAGAAACGTTTGTTGGTTCCATTTTTTAAACAAAGGACATAGGTAACAGTCTGATGTCTGTACATGTATTTGTAGATATGTGTATATGTGTGTGTGTGTGTGTGTGTGTGTGTGTGTGTAGCCTGGGGAGATACCTGGAATACCAAAGTTGTCAATATTTGTCACTAGGGAGAATTAGGTTTGGTTGCTAGTAACAGAAACTGGAGGGGAAAAATAGTGATTCAAACAAGATAGCGCCTTCCTCCTACATGTAAAAGAAGTCCAGAGGTGGGCAGATGGGTACGGAAGCTGGACAAAGTCACCAGGAACAGAGGCTCCTTCTGGTTGCATGGCAGCTCCACTTCTGAACGTGTGGGCCAGATGTTGGAGACATAGCCGCTTGTCGTTGCAGGGGGAGCTGGGAAATGTGGTCTTGTACTGGTAAGCAATGTACCAGCTAAAAATGGGGGATTTGTTAAAGCAAAGACAAAGGGAAGAATGAATATTGAGAAGTCTCTAGGAGTTTTACAGCCATTATCTTGAGGAAGGAGGAGGTAGGACTGTTATGGAAATAAGAAATGGGGAAGCAAGCCAGTAAAAACAGTATATACACCTGTACTATTCCATTAGCTGTAGGGAATACATTTTAAAGAAGTGATTTTGGAAAGCGTAAAAAACACTTGTAATAAGCATGATTAGGGAAATTTCCCTGTAGACTTTTACATAAAGTGCACAGAACAGTCTAATGAACCAGCATCTTCATCACATTCTGTGAGCACCCTGCATATATAGCAACTCACCGCCTTCCGGCTCCGAGGTTTCCAATGGGAAATCTGCTGGTTACCTCATTGAGGATCCTCATACCTGATGAGCTGCTTCTCTCTTGCTATTTTCAAGATTTTTATTGTTTATTTTTATTTTTACTTTTTAATCATTTTTTATTAAGTATAGTTGACATACAGTGTTACGTTAGTTTCAACATATTGATTCAACAATTCTATACATTATGCAGTGCTTACCAGGATAGGTGTAGTCAACACCTGTCACCATAAAATATTATTGCAATATTATTGACTATATTCCCTATGCTGTACTTTTTTTCATCTCTGTGACTTATTTATTTATTTTTTATTATTTTTTATTGGATTGTTTTTTATCTTTTAATCATTGATTATAATGCATCTGGGTGTGGAACTCATTGTGTTCCACTACTTGGAGTTCATCAAGCATTTTTAAACATTTATATTCATGTATTTCATTAATTTGGGAGAGTTTGGGCCCTTGCTGCCTTTTAAAAAAAAAAGTTTTATTTATTACATTTCAGAGATAGAGAGATGGAGGAAGGGCAGAGGGAAAGGGGGTGAGAAACCCAAGCAGACTCTGCACTGAGCTTGGAGCCCAACACAGGGCTCAATGCCACAGTTCATGAGATCATGACCTGAGCCACAATCAAGAGTTGGATACTTAACCAACTGAGCCCCCAGGAACTCCCATTGCTTCTTTACATAACCTCCCTGCCCCCATCTCAAGCCTCTCCTTTTGGGATGCCCACAATGCATATGTTGATATACTTGCTTGTGTCCCACCAGCCCTTCAGATGGTGCTCACTTCTCTTCAATCCTTTTTCTCTTTCTGTCCCGCAGACTCCATAACATCAATGGTCTCACCTTCAAGTTCCCAGAGTCTTTCCTCTGTCTGCTCAAATCTGCTTTCCAACCCTCCTAGCAAATTTTGCATTTCAATGATTGGTTGTTTTCACTACAGGATTTATTTTTGGTTCCTTTTAACATTTTCAACCTATTTCTTGGTTGTGTCTATTTTGTTCATTTGTACATTGTTTCCTTGACTTGCTTCATGGTTTCCTTTAGCTCTCTGAGCATCTTCAGGACAGTTGTAGTAAAGTCTTTGTCTGGTAGGGTTGCCATCTCGTCTTCTCAGGGACAGTTTCTATTGCTTTTTCTCCTTTGATTGAATCATATATATATATATATATATATATATATATATATATATATGCCTTGTAATTTGTTGTTGCTACTGAAAGCTGGATATTGGAATCTAATAATGTGGTAACTCTGAAAATCAGGTTCTCTCTTTTCCTAAGGGTTTGTTGTTTTTTGTTTCTGTACCAGGGATCAGTCTTAGGTAGAAACTTAAGTGAACCTGAGATTTCCCCTGGGCATGCTCAGCAACTTTTCTAAATTTCAACATATGTGTGGTTGCTTTTGAATGTCATAGTCTCTAAATGTCCAGCTCCCAAAAGGGGAGAACAGGGAATATACATGGAAGTCAGGGGGTGGAAACAGGCTCTGACCTTTAAATCCCTTGGAAGCTGCTTTGGCTGGTACTGGTTGCAGCAACGGCTGCGCACCAGGATGTCTATACCTCCGTGATCAGAAGCAGCAATCAACCCCCAGAGCAGACCCCCAGTATTCAGAGAATATCCATGTGCATGCTTCTCCAGGCACATGAGCATAGTGGCCTGCCGCAAGGCTGGGGTGGGGAGTGAGCTGCTGCTATCTTGGGAAGAGCTGAAATTGTGGAAATTAACCTTGATTTACTGTCCAAATGTTTCCCTGGATGCTGCAAGCCTCTGAATAGACACCAGAGTTCTAAAACAGTTGCACTGGACAGATTCTGTAGGAGCCACTATTGTCTAAGTGAGAAGATGGGGAGCTGATGCTTCCTGCCCCACCACCTCCCCTGCTGCCCCTTCCTCCTTCATTCTTTTTTTTTTTTTTTTAAGATTGATTTGAGAGAGAGAGCACATGGACACGGGGGGAGGCTGAGGGAGAGAGAATTCCCCAACCTGACTCCTGGTTGAGTGGGGACCCTAATGCAGGGCCCAATCCCACGACATGTGAGACCATGACCTGAGTCGATGCCAAGAGTGAGATGCTCAACCGACTGAGCCACCCAGGTACCTCTTCTCCTTCATTTTTATGCTTTGTGGGTTATATTTTATTTTATAAAAGGTATTACAAATAAAGGACTATTTCACTTTAAAGTAAATTTGCATTTATTTTAAGCTTATGAATGTTATCTGGATTTTTCTCCCTTTAATCTGTTTATAGCCTTTGCTGATTTTTTTCTTGTTAAAAAAGGTGGTATTTTTAAAAAAATCATTACAAGTAAATAACTCAAACAAAGCATGCTGGCAAAGATAATAAAAACCTGTTTACGTTTTCTAGTTTCTACAGACAGGTGAATTAAAACAGAAGAATGGTACCAATCATGCCTTTTGAAGTAGAAGGAATGCCAAAAGAACTGATGCAACACAAAATCTGGCAGGGCTCTGTTGACACTGATGGGAACAGAAGGCTAGTTGAGGACAAAGCAAAGGGTGACACTCCGCTAATGACCCCCCCACCCCCAAGTGGGATGTGTGCGACATTCCTCAGGCACTCCTGGCTGCCCTAAAGCTAAGGAAAGAAAAAAACACAGAGTTAACTTATGGAGATCACAATCCTGCAAGACATGAGTCCCCTTCAGTTTACAAATGCCCTAGCAATTTACAAGAAAAAGCCATTTTTATCGATAACCTAGCTTCCAGAAGGAAATGTAGATACAATGAAATGTCCTTATAACCTGCAGCCCAGTGACAGATACTTGAAGTGAGCAGTGATGTGGGAAACAAAGGTAGAAGAGAAATTATTAAATTTCCTTACTACCTACAACCCACTGACAAGTCCTGGAAACAGGCCGAGTGACATTCCTCCAGGAGCTCAGGTGCCTCGATGTTGATACTGAAGGCAAAAGGCAATCCTAGCCCGACCGCAGGATCCTGTCAATCTACTGGGACATATAAAATTCCTTTAGAAGCTTCCTTCATCTCTACCTCCCAAGATCCACGTTGGCAATCATCCCCCAAGCTATGACCCACCGACATGCATCTGAAGGGTCTCAGGACAAGGGTTTTATTAGATGGTAATAAATAACCTTCTCCCAACAATAGCCAGTCCCCTCCAGGTCCTGGAAACCCCCGCTTCCAAATTCCTTAGACAATTCCACTCTCTGACCCCCTCCCAACTTGAAAGTCTATCATGGATCACCCCTCATGACCCCAGGGCAGCTCTTTCTGCCCATGGGTGCCATCCCTGTGCTTTAATAAAATAATCTTTTTTCCACCAAAGACGTCTCAAGAATTCTTTTTTGGTCATGGGCTCCGAACTGCACCTCACCAAACCTCACCTATATTCCAAAATTACATCAACACCGGTCTGTCCCAACTTTGCCAGGGGTGCAGTGGGACCCTCTTAGAGGGCAAGCAAGCTACATAAATATTTAAATTCTTTGTTTAGATGTCCTTCTTAAGACTTTACCTTGAGAAAATAAAACAAATACCTGCAGCCACAATGTGTAAGCACTGTTGCCCTGTTGGCAAGCCTGACAAATGGAAACAACCCAAGTGCCCAAACAATAGACTCTGGCTTAAACCAAGTGAAGTCTCCTCAATAGAAAGTTCTACAGTCCCTTTCAGTGGATCTCGTGCATCATTCTGGAAAAATCCTCACGATACAACATCAGGCTGTAGACTGAGTGCCCATGATGATTCAGTGACATAAAAGTCACCTGGGCATGTGACCAAGGAGGACAAGAACCCAACAGGATCTTGCAGATGAGGGAGGGGGTAACGGGAGGGGGGAGGGAGGCTCCTCTCTGGTGTAATTTCTATTGTTTTCCCGATGTGATTTCGTTTAAAGAAAAGAATAAAAGACAGAGGTGGATTGAGGGGAGAAGATAGGCAAGAGTCACAAACTCACCGAAGAGTGACAAAATCTGACCAGGAAACTCAATTAGCCAGTTCTACAGGCTGCTGGTGGGGAGACCCTGTGGCCTGGCTGCTCCCCTGGATTTGGTGAAGAGGAAGCAGACCTGCTGTTCTGCTGCACAGAGCACTCAGCAAGATGATAATGGTCTGGGGGCGAGGGTGGGGGGAGGGACAGGGAATGTTCCCAAGAGCAACCCAGCTGCCCATCTATCATCCCCAGCTGCCTGTCACTGGCTCGGCCCCAAGTGAGCGTGCTTAGTGCCAATGCAAAGTCACAATCCCTTGAAACTGGATGACACGGGGACTTGTATGTGTCTCTTTCCTGCCACCCACTTATGATGTGCAGGCTGTGCCTTCTATCAAAGCCTCAAGATTCTTTTTTGATGACCCCCTTTCCCCACAGAGATGGGGCTGAAGGAAGCTGGCAGGTGATGCTACACCATCAAGGCTCTGCAGCGGGGCACCTGCAGGGGTGCTTTCCACAGACCCCATGGGTGACTTTGAGGAACACACATTGCCACCTCATCGCTGCAGACGATGATGCTGAGGCCCAGGGAGCTGCAGCCAGTGCTCAAGACCTCAGAGGTCACGACTTGTGGCCATCAGCTCCTTAGAACTCCTTCAGAAGTGGCCTGGCTGCTGGTCCAGGCAAGGGGCAGCAGCTGCCCACAGTTGGGCCCCATGTCACGGGGGAGCAAGGAAGGCCTGGGCGTCCACCTCACTCCTCCTGGCCCGCTGTCCCCCTCCCCTGCTCTGGGACATCGGGTGCTTCTGAAGCTGCAGCCCCCGGGGAGTAGAGAGGAAAGGCCCCACAGGCTGAAAGGCTCCTCACCCTCAGGGACGTGAATGCCACTTGCCCTATGTGAAACCATTAGCTTTTCATTTCCTGGCTTATCCTGGAGTGAATCTCGGCAACTTGCTCATTTCCTTTCTTTCTTTTCCTTCCCATTTTATCCCCTTTCTCTTCTTTTTTTAAGAAGAAGTTTTAACGTTTTCTTAAAGTTTTCTTTTAAAAAAATACCCTTAAGTACTCTCCTTGTGCCTGGCTCTGGAGAGGTGTCCTGGTGGCCAGCACAGCCTAGCACAGGTGCAGGTGTGGAGGACTTTACAACAGGCACTGCACCCCCCTGCACCCGGGCTTGCAGGGCCCAGAGCAACTGATCTCCTCTCCCTACTCCCAGCCACTGCTTTACAGCCAGGCTCCCTCCCACCCCAGGGCCTTTGCACAAGCCCATCCCTCCAACTGCACAGCTTTCCCACAACCTCAAGACTTCAGGACTTCAGAGAAAATGTCCCCCCAGGGACAGCCCCCCTCAGGGACGACTCCCCTACCCCATCACCCTTGGTCTCTGCCTCTCCTTCCCTCATGGGGTAACGCATAACCTGAGATCATTTCATATATTTGTCTACTTGGTTTTCTGTTCATTCCCTCTCTGAAAGCCCCACAAGGGCAGGAGCTGGGGTATCTGGTCCACAGCCATAGCATCAGGCCCTAGCATGCTTCCTAGCTTATATTCGATGCTCAGTAAACATATGTAGGAGGAGGGGCTGGTCCCATCTGTGCCCGGGCTCTGTGAAGGGGCCACATCCAAGGTCCTCCGGAGGGAGAGGGGGCATGAGGCTACCCTCAGACCAGCTTTGGGCCCATACTAGCTGTGTGACCCCAGACAGGTTACTCAGCCTCTCTGAATGTCCATCATCTCCCTTGTGACACAGAAACAACATTGGCAGGGAGGGCACTGTGAGGCTTGGTCCTGAGGCAGGGCTGGGGGCAGGGTCTGCGCAGCCCCCACGCCCCCCTTCTTTGCCTGCCCAGGAAAGGGGAAGGAAGTAGCATTAATGCAGCACCTACTATGCATCTGTGGCCATACTAGGCAGTTGGAACATAGGGGTGAGTGAAACAGAAACGGCCCACACTTGCCGACTCCAAATGAAAGCAGGAGAGGGACTCGGGGTTTGCTAGCACCCTGTGCGTCAGGAAAGCAGAGGACGGGGAGCAGAGGGGAACCAAGGCCTAGACCGGCTGGGAAAGACCCGAGTAAGGGCCATTTCTCTGAGACGTCACAGGTGCCTGGGTTTGGGGAAGGGGCAGGCCAGGCAGAGGGAAGAGCATGGCCGAGGCCCTCTGACGGGATGGAGCTGGGCTCACTGAGGATGGGGCGGACCGTGGGAGAGGACAGTGGTTGCAGGAAGCACAGCTATTCCTGCTCTTGTCCATCCTGACCTGGGGACCACTGAGTGCCTGTCAGGAGCCCTGCGACCTGTGTCCACGTGGGTTGGGACCTGGCTACAGAGCCAGGTGGGATGGCGAAGTCACTCACCTTTGGCAGTGCGTACTTCGGCAGCTTCATCAGAACAAATTCACTGCGGCGATAAGAGATGTAATATTTGGTCTGGTTTGTTGAGGTGGCCTAGCAGGACGGGAAAAAAACACATTTTTAAGAAGCTAGTTTCCAGTCAAGCCGCGTGGTCATGAATGAAACGCTATACATTGTATTTCGGCTGCTGAGAGTGCCCTTTCACTCTGCTTGTACCTGCTCTGCCTGAAATGGACAGACTCCTACTCACCCTTCAAAACCCCACACCAGACGCCCCTCCTCTGGGAAGCCTTCTGCGTCTCTCTGTTAGAACTAACCTTACCCCGTGCTCTCTCACCACCTGTTCCCCTACTACATCCATGTTCCAGTACAAGGCAGAGGAAGGTTCTCCCCCAGGGAGAGTCCTTGGTTGAGCCACTGAGGGGAGGAAGCTCGAGCCACAAAAGACGACCATCAAACCATGAGGCAGGACGAAACAGGAGGCAACACGTGCTGAGACTGCCCACGTGGCGGCACCATCCGGAGCACCGCTCAGCTTGTCTGGTCTCCTGACAGCAGCTTCACAAACCGCCATCACTTCCATTTTAAAGATGAGAATACCGAGGCCCCGGAGATGAGTACGTCATCTCCCGCAGGCGGTCACAGAAGAGCCAGGAAAAGAGAGGCTCTCTCTTGGATGGGGCGCGGGCAAGAGGGTGGGGTGAGAGGGCGAGGGGGCGGCCAACAGGACAGGAGAGGGCAGTGGCATGGGGTGGGGGGTGATGGGCGACCTCTGTGTCTCACCACGTGTGAGCATGTGTTCCATGCTCGTGTCTGTGGACACGGCACCCCACATGTGTGCACTCGCTATGTGCAAGCACGTGGACGTGAATTCTATGCAGGAGTGCGTGAGCATGAGTCCTGTGGTGTGTACAAGCGTGTGCGCAAGGCAATGCAGCATAGGCCATCATGCATCACCGCCTGGGCTCAGACTCCAGCTCTACCCCCACGAGCCAGCTGGCCTGGGGACCGGCTTCTGAGCCTCAGTCTCCCCGCCCCATGAAGTGGGAGGAGCAGAAGCCAAGTGATGGGGCCGCTGTGGGGATTCGCACCGGGAAGCTGGTAGGGCAGCACGTGGCCCCTACATATCCACCCACCACAGCAGGCCCGCCGTGCGCAAAGCATCGTGATGACGAGGCTGACCAGCTTTCTCCAGACAACTCCGCCCCAAGGGCAGGGGCTGTGAGGTCTGTGCTGGTCTGGCCCCTGGGGCTCCCTGAGCTGGCAGTGTCGGGATGGGGGACGCACGGGGGTCCTGGGGGCTCAGAGAGGGCGCCCCGGGGTGGGAGAGGCCAGGCCGACTTCCTGGAGGAGGTGGCATCCTGCTTCCTCAGAAGGAAGCGCCACGCAGCCCAGAGAGAGAGACCCGCTGCGCAGGTCGGGGAGGACGCCGGAGAGACGGCGGGGAGAACTCACAGCCCCGTCTGCCAGCCGCTGAGCTCCCGGACATGGCTGCTCTGGGGCGCCCTGGGCGGATGCCCAGCCCGCAAACGTGACACCCTGCGTCCCCCACAGGCCACGGCACGAGGGGCCCGTGGTTCAGGCCCGAGGCAGGGGGCCAGCAGGGGCGCCGCCTTCCCCGAGATGTGAATGTGGCGTTTGCGCTGGAAGCGGATGGCGCAGAGCACAGCAACATCCTCATGGGGCGGGGTGGGGGCGGTGGGGGGTGCGGGTGCGGGTGGGGTCTGCCCGCGTGGCCCCCACCCCCTCGGAACCGCCACGCTGGCGCCTGGGCCGGGCTGCGGTTGAGCCTCCGACCCGGAGGAGCAGGTGGAGACGGCTGAGCTGCTGCGCGTCCTCCCGGGAGGGTAGGTCCTCGCCAGACCAGCAGGCCTGTCCCTGGCGCCATCCGTCCAGGCCCCCGGGCGGCCAGGGCTTGTCGTGCCCATGTCACGGGTCGGCACATAGAGGCTCTGTCAGTGGTACCATTAGCCCTGCTTGGGTGTCCTCTGTCCCCTGAGGCCCAGACCCTTCTTTTTGGTCCCACACCGGCCCACAGCGCAGCTCCAGGGAAGGAACCAGCACCGTGAACCACTCGGCGCCCTGCGGGGGTCCCAGGAAGGACTCTGGGCTCATCGCACACGGTGTTAGTGGTGAGGAGTGGCAGGAGAGGCCAGTGGGCACTGGGCCGGGATCCTCCGAGGACCAGGAAGGAGGGCAGGTGGAGGCAGGACTACCTCCCAGGGATTACAGTGGGCTCCCTGCAGGGAACCCCCCAGCAAGGTAAGAGTCTGCAGGGGAGCAGCCCCCAGGTGATCTCCGAGTTGGGGGTTAGGAACAGCTATTCTGGGCAGTTGTTGAGAAACACGGGGACCACGGCCCCTCAGGACAGGATCTGATGGAGACCCACGGCCCCTGGCCACAGGAGCAGGTGCGTCCCTAGTCCCAAGGTCAGAGCAGCCCACTGTGATGGTGAGGACAGAGCTGAGAGCGCCACAGTCCCATCTGAGCACAGACAGAGCAAACCCCGGATGACCAGGCACCCCGTCCTCGCGGCCATGAGCAAGGGCCGTGTCCTACTCCACCTCGCCCGTGGCCCGGTGAGCCTGGCTCCTTCCACATCGGATGGACCAGATGCCCAATCAGCCAGCCCCGTGTCCTTGCACACTCCCCCCATCTCTCCCCACTCCCCCACTTCCCACTTCCCCACAACCAGGCCTGTGACCCAGCTGCCCCCCAGCTCCGGGGGTGCACATCCTCCCTCTGGGTACAGATGCAGAGCCCACCCGCTGACTGCGGAGTCTGGTGTCGACAGTAAAGGATGATATGGCGTGGCCCGGCTGTGACCCAGGAAGACGTGGGGCTGGCTGAGCTCTGAGGAGGTAGCCAGTGGGCCTGACGTAGAATGGAATCAGGGAAGGCTTCCTGAAGCAGGTGGTGTGTGACTAAGTCTTGGAAGGAGAACGGGAGTTCGGCAGGTGGAGAAAGAGACGTGGGACTGGAGTGTGTGATCGCGCAGAGGAGATGGGAAGCCGAGGGATGTCACAGAGGCCAAGGAGAACAGGGGCAAGATCCTCTTGCCTGGCCTGCTCTAATGGGGGGCTGTGATGACCCCTGCCTCCTGCCAGTTTTGCAGGAGGGCCTGGCACATTCCACGGGTGGACAGGGCAGCTGGGGTAATGAAACAGCCCTGAGACCAGGCAAAGAAGAGGCCGCGAGTTGTGGGGAGCCTTCCGTAGGCATTTTTGGACTTGTCTCACGGAGTTCCAGAAGGCAGGACAGGAGCCACCAGATAGGAGTAGAGGAAACACTCTGTCTCGGTGCCAGAATGGACTCTAAAAATTTGAGCCATCCAGGAGCGGGATAGGCTGTTTTGCAAGGAGTGAGCTCCTCATCAGTGGAAGTAATCAAGAAAGTGGTATGACCAGCTGTTAACTGGAGTTTCTGAATGGTCAGAGCATATGGTCAGAGCACATGTCTTTTAAGGGTGGTCCCAACTGTGACCTGAGTACCTGTGTGTAGAGGCAGCTGGGTCCTGGCCACCAGGCTGTGCCCAACTGGTGCCTGGCCACCAAGGGCAATGACCAAAGAAAGCCCCTATCGGTTCCAAAGTCAGTGAAACCAAGGCGAGCAAACGGGGTTTGGGCTTAGGGGCCCCGAGCTGTGGGAGGTCCCCGAGGGGCAGAAGGGAGGAGGAGCAGGTGGTTTGGGCCTCTGTGGGTTCTCTGCAGCCACCACCACTGTGGTGGGTGGGTGGGGGAGTATGAATGAAGTAGCCCCTGGAAGTAAAAGAGCCATTTTATTGGCTCCTGTCTCCGTGCTTCCATCTTCCCCAGCGCGGTGTGTACCCTGCGTCGCCGACTGCCCGTTGCCAAGAGGCCCAGAAGCGTCCTTACCTTGAAGAAGATGTAATCGTCCTGCACCGTCAGAGAACCATGGTCGATGGGGCCTGGGAACGGAGCTGTCAGCGTCTTCTCCGAGCAGTTGTGGATCTGGCAGGTGACATAGCGGAACTCTGCAGGGGACAGGAAAGTGCCACCCGCTCCGACTAGGGCCGCAGGAAGAGCCAGACTCAGCCTCGGACACCGCGACACGCTGGCCCGCTCCCGGCCCCGCCGGACACTGCTGCAGCGGGCTTGTCTGCGGGTCTGAGTCCCAACAGGGGACTGCACCTGTCGCCCAGCGGTGGCGGCTATGAGCCAGGTGCGCTGCTGAATCCTCAGGACGGTCCCACCGTGGTCCCATCCCCTGGATGGTGAAACCAAGACTGAGGGGAGGGCAGGTAACGCGTCTAGGGCAGGGTCTCGCCAAGAAAGTTTGCGGGAACACAGCCGTGCCTGCCCCCTGGGGGGCGTGGACGGCCCAGCTCTCCTACTAGACCCGCAGAGTCCGCCGCGGCAGAGACCCCAGGGCCGCCACGTTGCAAGTATTCAGCAGTGGCTCTTGACGGGGACTGTGCGCGGACCCTGGGCCAAAGTCATGCAGGTGAGGTCGGGACGTGGGTGGGACATCCCACACCAGCCAAGGGGCCGGCGCCTACAGAACGTACAGCACGGGGCCACGGTGGGCACCCACAGCGTCCCTCATGGCAGGGGACCTCTCCTGCCCCTGGAGTCTCCCCTACCTAAACAGGGGTGGGCCGGGGTGGGAGCCAAGAGTCCTTTCTTCCCCCAACTTTAGGCAAAGGCTTTGCCTAAATATTCAGTCAGGCACAATCGAAAGCACACTTTGCAGCCGGCGGCTGTTTTTATTTACCACTGTTTGGGGGAAAGTTTCCAAGGAAGTTGTGCACGGCGGGGGCGGGGGTGGGGGCGGGGGTGGCGAGCCTACATGCCGCCGTAGGGCAGCTCTGCCTCCCAGCTTGTGGGGCAGAAGCAGGGTTTAACCACGGGCACCCACGTCAGCCCACAGGGGCACTCCCAGTCACCGGAGACTTAGGGGCATGTCCTGCCACCAGCCTGGGTGGCTGGAGGGCATGGGGAGTGCCCAGCGTGCAAGAAGACCCACGCCCTAACACGGCAGCAGGTCAACCCCCACCTGGGGTGCTCTGCCCCAAAGCCGTATGACGCGCACCTCCAAGGGTGGTGAGGGTCCTATGAGTCAGCGGCACCGGGAGGCCCCCCGTCCGCGTGGCTGGGCCCCTGCCCACCTGCCTCGGGACCCCGTCCTCCTCCCCGCTGAGCGGCCCGGCGCACCGGGGAAGACTCGCCCAGGCCCCGGGCAGAGTCAACAGTCTGCTCGCGCCTGTTCACGGGCTCACCCACCACCCACCCACCCACTCACTCATTCACACACTGACTCATTCATTTACTCACTCATTCATTCACTCATTTACCCACTAACTCAATCACCTACTAACTCATTCATTCATTCACTCACCCACTCATTCACTCACTCATTCATTCACTAATTCATTCGTTTACTCACTAACTCATTCACTTATTCACTCACAGAATCATTCACTCACTTGTTCACTCACTCGCTCATTCATCTACTTGCTCACTCCCTCAGTCATTCACTCGCTTGCTCACTCGCTCACTCAATCACTCAGAGTGGCCCTGCACCTGCTCAGGGCAGCTGACATTTGGTCCTGTGCTGACTCAATAGGCAGCTGTCCTGGGGACACAGAGGTGAATCAATCAGACCCCATCCTCTCCCCACAGAGCTCCAGGCCCAGGGTGGTGAGCGGAGCTGTGATGGCAGCCCAGGCACCAGGAAGGCAGCTGGCAGGGAAGGTGATCCAAGGAAACAAGAAACCCAAGATGGAGAAATGGGGGTGAGTGTCCCAGAAAGGGGAAGAGAGCTGCCAAGGTGACCTTGGGGAGCACCTGCATAGTTCAGGCTGGCTGCGGTGGGTGGGGTGAGGGGGTCACAACTGGGGGAGAAACAGAGGGTCCAGATGTCGTGCCAGAGCTTGGCTGGATTCTCATGGGGCTCCCAGGCTGGGGTGGGGCTGCCAGGTGTTGGGAAGCAGGGGAACACATGTGGTCTTCAGTGGAGGGGACACCACTCAGGGGGCATGTCAATTCTGGAGGGTCTTCATGTGCTCTGCCGCTGTTGGGCCGAGGGCTCTACTCCCCCCAGGGAAGGCAGGTCATGGGGAATCATCGCTCCGTGAAAATGGGTCTCCTTGTCCAGGATGCCGGCCTGTCCTTCCTCCTCACTGAAGATGGGCATACCCCGACACAACCTCCCCCGTTGTTGCTGCCTTGAGCCCTGTGGAGGTGTCAGTCCCTGTATCACCCTCAGCGAGGCCTGGGATGCTTTTGGATTTGTGGGTGGAGCATAGCAGGAGCTGGGGTCTATACTGGCCTATGACCTTGTGAGTGCGAGCAAGCCCAGAACCCCTCTGAACTTTGTTCTGGTGAAGCAGAAGTGACCATTAACACCTGCCCCCCACCTCCCCACAGGACAGCAGATCCTGGAAAGAGCTGAGGGCTTAGAAAAGGTTAAGAGGCCCATCAGCAGCTTCCACCCTCCACCACCAAGTGCTCGCCCATGACTTCCCCGCACTGAGCAGCACATGTGTGTTGACCCATTTCACAGATGAGGACATCGAGGAGCAGGGAGGAGAGGTGACATTCCCAGGGTCACGCAGCTGGCACTTGGCAGGCTGGGAGCCGATGCCAGTGCTTCTGGTCTCAGCTGGGACTCTCTGTGGCTGGGCTCTGACACTGCCTTCCGCATAGTACGTCCTAACCAAGGAGCTCTACTGCTTGGCACTTGTCAACTCCCACCGTTTGTTAAATGTGAACCTACAGAGGTCTCCACTCTAAGAGAAGCCCAGCAGGAGGAGGCTCAATGGTCCCAGTCCCTGTAGGGGAATGTGGTCAGAGCAGTGACAGCACCAGGGCAGCACCAGTTCTGCTGTCCCCGTTCCTGGCTGCATGCGGGTCCCATGGATTGTACTACAGGGTTGGCATCTGTACTGTCCCCAACCAGGCAAAGGGCAGGACTATGTCTTGTTCACCTGTGTCCCCAGCAGGTTAGCACTGGGCCTAGTCCACAGGGAACTCAACAAGTATGTGCTGAATAACAGTCATCTGGGCTCTGATGTTCTAGAACACCCATGGTTCTAGAATATTTCATAGTCCTAGGGCTGGTCAGTGCTCCTCCCTCAGGAGCACAGAGATCTTTCTTAGAGCATGGAAGGCCCCTGGGTGCATTCTGGCACGAAGCCAGCTGTGCTGGGGTGGCCAGGCCCCCGTCCATTGAAGGGGCAGCCGTCGGAGGCCCCCACCTGGCCTCAGCACTCAGCAGCACCAGAGGTGGGGGCATAGTGCACAGGAAACACTCAATGCTCATGGGCCAGAACAAATCACCCTCTTAATGGACTTTTCCATGGAGCGGAGCTCCTTGACTTCAATTTATCCCCAGCTGGGAAACAAGCACATTTAAAGTTATGCCACATCATCACACAGTGGCCCTGCTCAGCCAAGAAACTGCCTTAGGGCGCACCAGGCCGGGCCCTGAGCTGGGGTAAAGACACAGGGGGACACCTGGTGCACGCACCCCTCCCGGCTTACCTCCTCTGACGTCCTGGGCTTCCATGTGGACCAAATCAGGGTCAGCATCCACCCCAGATACAGACCTGGAAGAGAGTGCGTGGGGGTTGGTGCTGGGAACCGAGTCCCCAGGCCCCTGCCCCAGAGCCCGCATCAGGCCCCGAGCCCTGGGTAGCCCCTCCTGCTCCGTGGGTCTGAGGCTCAGTCACCCCCCCCCCCCGCTCCTGGGGAGGTATCCAGAACTTCTTTTTATAAGACTCTTTGTTTTTTTTTAAAAGGTTTATTTATTTATTCATGAGAGACAGAGAGATAGACAGAGACACAGGCAGAGGGAGAAGCAGGCTCCATGCAGGGAGCCCGATGTGGAATTCAATCCCAGGACCCCGGGATCATGCCCTGGGCCAAAGGCAGATACTCAAATGCTGAGCCACCCAGGCGTCCCTATGAAACTCTTTATAGAAGACTCTGCTTTACTGAAGACCTTCACATTCCTGGCATCTTTATTGTTGCTATTGTTTTGGGGATGATCAAAATATCCTGACAAGGTTAGGCCAGGTTTGGGAATATCACCCTAATCTTTTTTTTTTTAAGATTTTATTTATTCATGAGAGATATACAGAGGCAGAGACACAGCCAGAGGGAAAAGCAGGTTCCATGCAGGAAGCCCGATGTGGGACTTGGTCCCGGGACCCCGGGACCCCGGGACCATGCCCTGAGCCAAAGGTACACACTCAACCACTGAGCCACCCTAATCTTGTATATTAGAAAACCAAGGCTCAGAGGAGCAAAATGACTCCCTACCCCTGCCTAGGGGTGTGCAGCTGGAAGTGCAGAGCAGGGATTCACACCAGGCTCCCTCTCTTTCACCCTCGCTGCTCCCTGCCGTCACACCTGCCACCCACCACAGCGCCGGACCCTGCCTTGCTCATGTGATCCTGGGGCTCAGGCAGCACCCAGAAGGCCACAGTGCCTGTGGCTGCCCGTGGGATCTTCCATGAGACCGGAGAAGAGCAGACGAAGGTGCATCGTAGGGTCACATCTTTGGGGGTGGGCAGCATCCTCCAGGGGAGGCAGGGATGGGGCCACCCACGCACCCACCCAGTGAGGGCCTGGTGCCCAGGAGGTCAAGTGCACACTCTCCAGCTGAGAGGAACCTTAGAGGTCACGTGGTCCAGGGCTCCCCAGGTTGTACCATTGTGTATGCCTACTGGACGGTCATTGACTTGCCATTGTCTTGACCTCGACTCCCATGAAAACCTTCTGCCTGCTTCAGCCCTCACCTAAGCGAGAACGGAGCTGGTGGCCTGGGTCTGGCGAGCTGACTGCATCTGCTAGAACAGACATTCGAGCCAACACGAGTATTAAAATCCAGCCACCAAAATGACCTCTCTCCTGGACACTGGCCTTTGCCGAAGAGCAAAGTGAGAGTCGGCACACGGAGTCAGTTCCCGTGGTCACTCAGCCCAGAGGCTGCCTTCCCTGGGTCCCCTCCGGGCCACTGAGCTTCCCTTAGTACAGAGAGCGAGTGCCCTAAGCAGAGGGTCTCTGGCGGTCCCTCCCCCAGCGCGGGAAGGCCCCTGGGAACTGCCTCCTTTCTGCTCCCCACCTGCTAGCCTGTGGGGGAGGGAAGCGAGGGGGGCTGGCGCCGGGGCCCCTGTCTGTTCCTCATTCTCCAGGGGCCTCCGTCCCCCAAAAGTGGGTCTGAGTGCCACGTGCCCCGCAGAGGCCCTGCACGAGCAGGTGGGCGCCCCTGCAGTCCGCAAACCGCAGCTCCCGCACCAGCCGCTCTGGCCCCAAGTAGAGTCTATCTCCAGGTGAGGCTTGCCCCGGGCTTTGTGAACAGAGCACTTGTGCTCCAGGAGGGACGTGAGGCCCGCGGCCTGACATCTTCCTCTCCATTCTGCATAAGGCCGCCCCAGTCCCTTTACCAGGGGCCCTGACGACGGGTCCTCAGCTGCCCAATGGGATTTTAGTGGGACCACCGGCCACCTGCAGAGTACGTAGTGACACCCACTCACCCTCTCGCTCCCTCCTTCACTCCCTCCCTCATTCATTCATTTCCTCCTTAATTCATTAATTCATTCACTCACTCCCTCCCTCACTCATTTCCTTCCTCATTCATTCATTCACTGACTCCCTCCCTCCTTTACTCCCTCCCTCATTCATTCTCTCCCTCACTCATTCATTAATTCATTGACTCCATCCCCTATCATTCATTCATTCATTCATTCATTCCCTCACTCACTCATTCACTCCCTCATCCATTCATTTACTCACTCACCAGCTCACCCACTCACTCCTGCACAGACTCACTCACTCAGTCTGCACCTGCCCCTTCCACTCAGTGAGCAGCGCCTCCAGTCCCCCTCACTCTCTGGCTCTCCCATTAAGCACCCCACAACTGAGCCCCAGCAGCCCACACCAGGCCCTGGACCAGGCAGGGGCCCAGTGGATTGGGGTCCCTTCCCAGACCCCCTTGGTCATGGGTTTTGAGGACCATGCAAGGCTGCATGCCCAGCACCGCAGATACAGCCCAGTTCCCTGCAGAAAAGGTCAAATGTTGACCCCTGTGCCCTCCTGTGTGTTGGGGTCCCCAAAGATGGCATTTGGGGAAGGGCCTTGGCCCACTACTTAGAAGCAGCAGACATGTGAGATGACCCCTGGGCAGGCAGATCTCTGAAGAGTGCAGTGTTTTGGGGACACAGGGAATCAGCTTTCATGCCTGCTGGATGCCACTTAAGCACTAACACAAAGGGCCCTGATACACCCTCAAAGACTCTGCTCTAGGCCTGTGGTGTGATGAACTGTCTCCTGTTCCCTCCCTCCACTGCAGAGGTCCTGCCATTTGTCCCACAGCTGGGCAGGCACTGAGCTAATGGAAGAGGAAGGCTGAGGCTTTGCGAGTCAGCTTGGCCCAGAGCAGTGAAGGAGACACAGACGTGGCTGGAGAAATGCAGGCGACCAGACTGCCCAGCACAGAGGCGAATGGCGTGGCCCCAGCCACAGGCAGAGGAAGCCCACCCCCCTGGGCTGCCGCTTACAGACAGCACAACCTAGGACACGTGCCCAGCCTCCCTGAGCCTCAGATTCCCCCTCTGTAACATGAGGGGGAGATGACCAGGGTCTGTGGTTCTGACTTGATAAAGATGATATATTCAGACCCCTCGTCTGGTACCTGGTGGATGGTCAGTGTCCACAGTGTGGCAACTCCCAGGGGGCTGTTATGGTTTGGTTGCAGGGCCACTGAGAGACCACAGGGAGGGTAGTGGACCTCCCCACCCCGGGGGCTGCCCCACCTCAGCCCCACAAGGCCATGCTAATGAGCTTGCTTGCTGTTTAGCCCTCCAAAGCTTTAAGGGGTCAGAGCCTCAGAACGTGGGCTTTGGCCAATTCCTGCTGTCGGTTCAAGGACAAAGAATGCCCTAGAAATGCTGTCAAAATAGCCTTATTCACTGCTTATAAGAGAGGGGGCCCCATCACTGCCTGTCACCACATTCCAGGAGAAATTCCTGGGCCCCAGGGGCCAAGTGTCTGGACTGATTATCTCTTGCGCATAACAGCTCAGAGCAATTGGAGAAACTTGGGAGAGAAATCACTTGATCTGTCCGAGCTAACAACATGTTTGAATTAATGCCAATTTACCTTTCAGTATCTGCAGGCGGGCTGTCTACCAGAGATCTCCTGAGCACCCAGCCTGGCCTGGGACCCAGGCCATTGTGCGGGGGCGCTTGGCCATTCTGCCAATTTCTCAGGCCCTTGGGGTCCGGAAATCCCACCTCCTTGCCCCTCCCCACCTCCTGGGAGCCCTGGGGGAGCAACAGTTGACATCAGTGACAAGGCTCGTGATCAAGGCACCCCTTGGGATTCCAGGGAAGGAAGCAGGCCCTCCCAGGGCAGCCCCATCAGTGGACGGCACCCAGGCCACCCAGCCAGTGCTCCAGAGTTAGCGATGCGGGCCTCCTGCAACCTTGCAGCTGTAAGCCGTGACCCTAGCTCCCTCCGTGGTCACTGTTAGGGAGACAGGACTGTGGCCCACAAAGAGGACTGTCCAATATCTGTTGTACAAACGAGGTAAGAAAGGGAAAGGATAGGAGTGTATGCACGTGCGTGTATGTGCTCGTGTGCAAGAAAGAGCAATTTGGTGGGAAGAACACATGCGCACATGACTCCAGGGGTGGTTTAGGCAGAAGAATGGCCCATGGCCGTGGCTGGCGGGTAGCAGAGGTGGGTCTTGAACCAGCACCCTCAGCTGCCACCCCTCCACCATCTGTATGCCCCACCAGCAGGCACTTACCCCCCCACCCCGGCCTCACCCATTTAGCCCACTGATGCTTCTCCAGCACCAGCTTCCTCACTGGGGCAATGAGATTAGGACACTGCTCACACTGATCACTGAGACCCTCCCAAGAGATAACATGAGCGTGGGAGGGGAGCCCAGGCACTGGATGGGGCAGGAGAGGGGGGCCGATGCAGGCAGGGGTGGAGGAAGCCATGGAGCGGGGGGGCTGCATGGGAGAAGGGCAGCTCATCAGGGGCTGAGTCAGGTCCTAGGGCAGGAATGGGGAGGGAGGGGCAGTGGGGAGGGGAGGAAGGTGGTGGGCTTACTGTGTGCTGGGCACTGTGCAGCTAGATGGACTTGGCACCTGGCCCACAGTGAGGAAGTGGAAGCTCAGAGAGGGCCCAGCACCTGTGTCAGGGGCACAGCTGGTTCATGGGTGCACACCTGACCCGAGGACCAGCAAGCCCCCACTCACAACCATCTCCTACAGGTCCCAGCAGAGCAGAAAGAGCACTCAGGAGGTCCCCGTGGGATGGGGAGGTACGAGGCAGGGGTCAGAGGAGGAGAAGGCGGGGAGCCCTGAGCTAAGGGCTGCAGGGAGCAATGGGGAGCACCGGTGGGGGGTGGGCTCTCACCAGAACATGTGGTCTTTGGTCACTCGCTCCTGCAGAAGCGTCCACTTCTTCCCCAGGTCAGATGACACGTAGAGCTTGAGGGCAGAGAGAAGAGAGATAAAAGTCTGGTCATGCTGTGAGGATGAGCCTCTTCTGAGCCGGGGGTGATCTCCCCTGGATGATGAATGCCCTGGGAGAGGTCAGGCTGGTCCAGGCCTGGCTGAGGACCTGCTGGTGGCAGCCTCGGCATTCACCTAGGGGTAGAGACCGACCTCCGAGAGGTCCAGAAAGAGCCATCCTCGGCCCCAGGTCAGCTGGTATGAACCCAGGGGCAGTGGCCAGGCAGGCCCCCAAGAGGAGGTGCCCCTGAACACCTCTGTCCAGGAGGGACTTGACAACATGCTTCCGGGGCGGGAGGCTGGGAGGCTGGGTGTTTGTTGGGAAGAAGGGAGCAGAGTCTGCCAAGGGCAGGCAGTGTGAAGGAGCGTCCATGCAGGAACAGCAGAGTCCTCTGTGTCTGGGGTCTGCGGCAACTCAGTAGCTCAGGGCCTATGCTCACGAGGGTGCTCCACTTGGGCTTCACGCTCTGTGGCCACCACCTTGAACTTCCCAGTAAATGTATCTTTGAGTTTTCTAAGTGAAGCCCCATGAAACAATGAGTTTGGGAGGGAGGGCTCGGAGGCGGGGCCCCTGCAAGGTCCTGCCTCCTTCCACCTCCTGGAACAGACTCTGGGGGGCCTGGACTGGACTGGGGAAGGTCAGTGTCAGCCCCCCGCCGTGTGCTGAGCCCCAAAGCAGGGCCGTGGAGCCTGGGAGGGTCTGCACTCTGCGCCAGGGTCCCAGGCACAGCGAAGTGTGATGTTAAATGGCTCATGAGAAGCACCGTGACGGCCTGCCCCCCACCTCCCGCTGACGCCCATGGTGGGGGTGGCAGAAAGGCACAGCAGAGGGGCCACAGCCAGTGGCACCGTGATACTGTGGCATGGTGACAGGTGGTAGCTACACTTGCAGAGAGCACAGCAAACAGAGCCTTGTTACTAATGTAACATTGTGTGTCACTCTACTTCAATAAAAGCCCATCATGACAGCTTGAGAGAGAACTGCAGGAGGAACGTTTGCCCTGATTTCCAAAGGTTCCTCACATCATACTGGGCCCTGCAGAGCACACACCCGCCCCACCTGAGCCTGCACGCTGCCGCTGCCAGGATGAGGCACTTGTGGGGGTGGGGGTGGGGTCCTGGAAAGCAGGAGCCCTGCCTGCCCCTTCCCCCGCCTCCCGCCACCAGCTCTGCCCTGCATCAGCTGCAGTCCTGGGTGAGAATAAATGGGCAACCCCCCCCTGACTGGGATGTGGGCAGTTCTATAATCAAGGTCCCAAGGCATCTTTCATTGGTGATTTTGCAAAGTTTTGCCAGCCTCCCCTGTCGGAGGGTGGGGTTTATGGGAACACCGAGGCCTCCACTCCATTCTCGAGAACAGGGTGGGTGTGAGGATCTTAAGGGATCTGCGTACCCATGAAGCATGACGCACGTGGAAATCCTGCATGGCTCGCTCAGAGCACAGAGACCAAAGCGCTGGGTCACAGAGGCGGGCGGGGCATGTCACTGTCACTCCCCAGCAGAGAGGCCAGCTGTGCTCCAGGGGCAGAGACCTGGTTCCCCTGAGCCCTGCATCGCATTTGCTGTGCCTGCCTCAGTTTCCCCATCTATAAGATGGTGCCTGCCGCTATAACATTCTGCAGGGGTGAGTCTGACTTGAGAGATAGTGGGGCCCAGTAGCCCTGGCTCCCAACAGACACCACAGTACACAGTTATGTGACCCCCCACACACAAAGCTTCCTAAATCTCAGTTCAACACTTTTCTGAAATGGGGACCCAGATCCCTGCCTTCCTGGAATGTGCGGGCTCAACCCAGGCACCACTGCGGAAAGGTTACCCTAATTACATGCTCACAGCATCCTGTCAGCATCACGTAGGGACATCAACCCCCACCCGCTGCTGCTGAGGGCTGACCGCATGGGCACATGCCCTCTCGGGCCATCTCGTGACATCTCTGTGAATCGAATGCTTTTATCAATCTGTTTTACAGATGCAGAATGGCAGCTAAGAGCAGCTGAGTGATTTGCCCGGGTTGTTCACTGGCAGAGGCTGGATGTGAATTCTCTGTGATTTGAAAGCGCCTGCCTATACTCCCCTGCACTCTAGATGTGTCTAGAAAAAATCAGGCAAGCAGAGCAATTTCATGGCCAGACCTCAACAGGAAGGAAGGCTGATGCCAGCCACTGGACCTCAGTGTCCCCATCTGTGAAATGGGCCTAACAACCACGGCAACAGTCACTGGGACTAGAGCCCACATCTGCCAGCCTTCAGGGCCAGCCTGACACACCCTGTGTGACATGCTTCTCATCTGACCCAGCCTGTCCTCCTCAGGGCCCCAAGTTAGGATTAGCAAGTGAGGTCACGGTGTTGTTATTGCTGCTGTTCATGAGGGAAGGGTTTGTGGAACCTCAGAAGGGAAACTCGGGCTCCTCGAGTATAAGCTGTGTGCGATCCTGGCCTTCACTGCGGGCAGATGGACCACCATCCTGGAAGCCTGCCCCAGCCCTGCCTAGTGCCTGTCACCCACCAGCTCCCAAGGCCAGGACCCTGGCCCTGCCCTCACCACCCCACTGCTACACCCTAGAAGTCACCACGCTTCAAATGTGCTAATATCCTTCACCTAACCCATGGCTGCTTGACCCTGCCTCCACTCCATCCTGCGACCCCGCTGAGCCATCTGCGTCTCTGTGGCTTCCGGCAGCACCTCCTCTGGACCTCCTGCCTGCAGCCCCCTACCCTCCCACCCAGCCCTTGCTCCAGGAGACAGCCACTAGGATCCTTCTGGGACATGCACCTGACCACGTCTCTCTTGTATGTCAGAACTTCCACGGGATGCCATGGCCTTGGGATAAAGCCACATGCCTTATACGGGCACTCAGAGCCCCTGGACTGCCTGGCCTCCCTCCTGCTGCTGTCTCTGCTCATACATCCCACACCCCTGTCACATGCAGCTCTGGGCTCATGTGTGACTGTGCTGCTAACGTGTCTCAGGGGGTCCTCTGAGCATCTGCACCTGCTGTCCGGTCTGGCTGGAATGCCCTTCCTTGTCACATCCAGCGTACAAGACTCAGTGTAAAGTCACCTCTTGGTCAGGGTTTGGCCAAGGTCAATGCCCAGAGGCCCTGGTACTGCAGAGCTGGGCTCAGAACCCAGTCCATTGGGTCGAGAAGCCTGTGTCAGGTCTCAGGGCCCAGGTCCTGGAGAGAACTGACCTGCAGTGCCTTCCCTTTGCTCCCACTCTGGCCCAGGGGAGGGGTGTCCCTGGCACACCCCCTTGTGCTGTCACCCACCTGCACCAGAGGCCCTGGCCCTTCCACTCCTCATCTCCAGGAAACTCCTACACCCCTCAGCCCCCTTCCACCTCCACCTGGGGCCTCCTCCTTGTCACCTGGCTTCTGGTAGATGCCCTACCTCTGAGGCCACAGGTTCAAGTCCCGCATTCTAGATTGTTCCACTGCCCCTGGCTGACCCCCTTCATGGCTCCTTCTTCCCCACAGCTGCAGAATGTAGACCCAGTGGGTCCCACCTCAGTGAGTTCTCCTTGCCAATGTTTTGTCCCAACCTCAGCGATCTGTGAGAGGACACCCCACCCTGGGACGGCTGTCCCTGCCCGAGACGCTGCTGCAGCCTCCGGAGACAGTCGTGTTGCATGGCTGTGACTCCATACTCTGTGAGCTGGTAAGAACAGGGAGCATTGTCTCTGTTTTTAACAAACGTGGGAGTTTCCTTTGCTAAGCCACCCTCCTCTCTGTCAGCAGCACAGAGAAAATACCTGAGACGGGACCTTTTGCTCCACAAGGAGGCTGAGCGCCTGTGAGCGTCAGGGCCACCAGAGCCACCAGAATGAGCACCACAGACAGGGCCCAAGCAGCAGAGCCTCATTCTCTCCCGGTCCTGGAGCCTGGGAATCTGAGACCAAGGTATGGGTAGGATCAGTTCCCCCAGAGGCCCATCTTTCTGCTGTGTAGATGACTGTGTACTCCCTGTGTCTTCGCCTGGTTGTTCTCTGTGCATATCTGTGTTCCAATCTTTTTTTTTTTAAGATTTTATTTCTTTATTCATGAGAGACACAGAGAGAGAGGCAGAGACACAGGCAGAGGGAGAAGCAGGCTCCCTGTAGGGAGCCTGATGCTGACTTGATCCCAGGACTCCAGGATCACGCCCTGAGCTGAAAGAAGATGCTCCACCACTGAGCCACCCAGGTGCCCCCCAATCTCCTCTTCTTGTAAGGACACCTGTCCTATTGGATCAGGACCCATCCAGGTGACCCACGTTAACTTAAATACCTCTTTTAAAACCCCAGCTCCAAGTATGGTCACAGCTGAGGTGCTGGAGGGGTGAGGACTCCCACATACAGATTTTGGGGGGACACGACATAGCCCATTACAGAAGCCCACCTCCTACCATGTCCGCCACTGCCGTCCTCCTTCCCTCCCTGCCACAGGCCAGGCTCCACTGCCTGCATCTCTGCCCTCTTCCCCTGAACCCCCAGCCTCACACTTGCTGAGAGAACTCCTACCCTCTGAAACCCAGAGCTGTTTCCTTAGTTCCTTCCCTGTCTCGGCAGTTTTGTTCCTGCTCCTCTGCTAAAGCTTGTGCAGCTCACAGGGACACACCCTGCGGTGCCCGCCCCTCACCGAGCCTGGCCCTGGACGGATCGCCGCTGGGTATGCTGAATGAGTGGACAGATCTGATTCTAGGGCAGGAGCTGGCAAACTGTTCTGGAAAAGGCCGGACAGTAAATATCTTTGGCTTTCCAGGCGGTGTGGTCTCTGTTGTAACTGCTTATCTCTGCCTCTGGAACAGGAAAGCAGCCAGAGACTAGATGGAAACAAATGGGCTTGCCTGTGTGCCAAGGAGACTTTATTGACAAGACGGTGCCAAGCTGTCATCTACTGACACCTGCTCCAGAATACATGATATGAAATGATCACTTTTGTCTTTAAAAACGGCTTTTTGGAATGTTTTCACCCCCTGGAACATAAGATCCAGGACAC